TGTGTGAGGAATCAAACAAGGAAATGCTCACTGACTACAGGCAGGGCTTTGTCGGGCAACTTCTAGGAAGTGAAGAGGGAGTTTTTTTCTGTTCACATATTAGATGAACAAAAACGATGATGTGTTGAAATTAAATACATTTGTTAGAAATGATGCAGATTATTTGAGCAGTGTTCCCATAACAGAATGTAGAGATTTGAACTGCATGTAAGCACTTAATTGTTTCTATCAGTGAGCTTGTCATAACTCTTGTCGTTGGGTCGGGCAGGCATGCTGGTACACATGTGGGTGCTGATCTTACCAGACTTACGTTGTCGGAGGCAGCGGCGGTGGCGGCGGCGGTGGCGGCGGCAGACACATATGTTTATGCTGCACATTCTCCAGGATAGAAAAAATGTCACATATGGTGCTTTATTTTTTAAAGTTTAATGTTATTGACCGATGTAATGTTCAGACGAAATTGCGGCATATCACTTTTATTTGGTTCAAAGAGTGATTTAGTTTTTATGTGGTTGTAAGAGATGTGTACAAATGAGTTGGGTCAGAACAGCCAAGTTTGGTCTTCGCCTCAATTTTAGTGATTGTTACCCCAAATGCTTGCTTTAAAAAGATAGGAATCAGGTTTTTTTAGAATATTAATTAGTTTCTCAAGAGGTAACAGTTTCTTATTGTGTTAGACTTACAACTTTTAATGTCCTTTCATAATTGTATTTAATTAGTAGTTGGATCTAAAATACATGAACGAATGGTACTTACACATCATTGAGATTTCACTGGCATTTATTGTCAAACTTCATTTCTCCATCCTGATGTGAAAAAGATGAGTTATACTGCTAGAATTTATATTCTTGTTTATGAGCACCATATATTTAAATCTGTTTACCTTTATTCATATTTGAGGTGACTGCCCTCGTTGCTGCTGCCAAATAGGTCAGTAGGAAAAGGGGTTGTCTCATAGGTTTCTTGGGGTATTACCTGGCTAAGGTCAGTGGCTTTATGTGGCTTACTTATTCAGACTGTCTCTTTCAAAACAATAAGAACAGATTTCCAGGCAAATAGCCCTTATCAAGAAAATGAAATGGTTCGTATGTTCAATGTGGTCCCTGGAGTAGTGATTGGGACTGTGTAGAGCCCAGGCCTGGCAAGTCATGTTATTGACCAGTATAGTTATATACCTGCACATAACACTCGCACGACACTCATACAACACTCATACAACACTCTCACGACATTCTCACGACACTCACACGACACTCATACAACACTCTCACGACATTCTCACGACGCTCACACGACACTCATACGACACTCACACGACCCTCATACAACACTCTCACGACATTTTCACGACGCTCACACGACACTCATACGACACTCACACGACACTCATACAACACTCTCACGACATTCTCACGACACTCACACGACACTCATACAACACTCTCACGACATTTTCATGACACTCGCACGATACTCGCATGGCCATGGCTTTATCCTGTATAATGATATCAATCTGTGATATAACGGTAACTCATGACAAAATTCACACCGCATACACACAATGTTCACACATCTCTCACACTGCATACACACAATGTTCACACATCTCTCACACCGCATACACACAATGTTCACACATCTCTCACACCGCATACACACAATGTTCACACATCTCTCACACAACACTGGGAAACTGGAATTAATAAGAAATTCACTTTTCTCTCTTCAACATATCCCCAAACCATGTAGAAATGATTAGATTTGGGTAGTATTTCCTGTTATGTGCTGTGAAACTTTGGTAAATCAAAGCCGTTAGGACCATCGAGCGTCACAGCGTCGATATTAGAGCACCGATATGGATTCTTTTGTGACAGTGTCTCGTCTCCAAAGTTATTTCAGTGTATGACTTTCGTTGTGAATAAGGATCCATGGTATATTATTACAAATGTATTGTACCCATAAAGATCGGGGTTAGACCATGCTTGTTGTAAGAGACAACTAACGGGATCAGGTGGTCAGACTTGCAAACTTGGTTGATGCATGTCATCATATCCCAACTGCGTGGATCAATACTCATGATGTCAGTCACTGGATTGTCTGATCCAGACTCGATTATTTACAGACCGCCATCATATAGCTGGAATATGGCTGAGTCAGGCATTAAATAACAAAAATACAAACAGCAAACTTACCATCATGAGTGGCCTGAATTTCTGTAGCTAAATTTCCAGGTTACCAAAGTACCCCCCTTCCATTTCCACACCCAAGAAACAAATGATTTCTCGAACAGACTTTTATCATGAAAATTAAGAAATGTATAGAATTATTAAAATAAATAAATTCTAATTTATTGGTTTTAGTATAACATTTTAATGTTATTTTGTGAAAAACATCCTTTTCATAATGTTTTCAAAAATTAATTTCACTTACGTAAATAGTTGCAAGGGTAACAGGTTTGACACAGTCATTAATGAACAATTTCCTGGAAGATTGTGCGCAGGGTAGTGTTTCCATCGGTGGTGTATTGCATGTAATGGCGAGTTTGTCTCAATCTTAACACAGGGATCATTGTCTTGTCACAGACTGGATCTATTATTCATGTGTATTGTGATTGGCACAGTCAGTATGTCCTGCATCCCGAGTCGGTGTGACCTGAATTCATCTTCACTACCATTGCCATGCATGTCGGTGGCACATTCTACCTTCACGTAAGACACTGACTTCGGACTTGGTTCAGAAAAAACAAAGAACATTCAATCTGATGATGCTAGTTGTGTGGTTTGATGTCCAGGTAGAATCACACCGAAATCTATCCTGCACTGTATTGACGTTGAAGCTGTTTTTACTGCTCAAAACAATTGATTAAAAAAAATGAAGTTGTCGAAAAAGTGTGCCTTATATGTCATGGACAAACAGAGCGATCTTAACAGTAGCGAAACTCATAAAAGTAACATACTTAAATATAGACATAGGACAGTGTTGAGATCACTGGGTAGAATGGGCCTAGCCAAGGCCTAAGTCAAGTCCAATCGTATGTTTTGTTTTACCAGTTCTCTTGGCAAATATGTAAAGAAACAGAAGAATGAAAGAATGCTTAATCTGACTTGACAATTTCACTTGCAACCAGATGATGTTGATCACTTGTTTGACTTTGTCAAGAAAATCATCCTATCATTTGTCTTCCTGCTCTGAATTGTTAGCTCACCTTACCTTTCAGTTAATGTGAGGTTATGTTGTGTACATTGTCAGTCATTGCTCATTATTGTATGTAAGGTGAGCTTCAGTACCTAGGGACTACTTTTCTGAAAAGATAATTCCTCAAAAGATAATGTTACAATCCCTTTATTCATGCATATATATTATATAAATATTATTTGTGTACATTATTTTATGATATATTCTGAACAAAAACAGTTAGTGAGCATGTATGTTTCTTTGGGATATGTTTATGAAATTGTGTGCTCACTGTTCACTACAAAAAAAATATCCCCCAAATGTTCATGATCCCTAACTTATTTTGTTCAGTATATTTCAAAACAAAATATTTCTTGATTGTCACTAGCAACTCAGGATTGTCTCTGTCCATTCAACTCTTGACCTGCCAATCAGGATTGAACACCAAGCAGTTTATGGGTAGCTTTTGTCTGGAGTTAGATTACATTGATCTGTGGAGGGGGATCTTTTGTCCATCTCATCAGTGATGTTGATTGCCCCCAGTAAACTGCTGGGGTTCTTGACCAGGACAACTGACCCAACTCATCACTGTAGCCCAAGGCTGGTGGTGACAGTAGTGTTTTTGATGACAAGGAAAGGTCAGAGGTCCTTGATTGCTGTTATTAAACTATAAATAGAAGGCTTCTTTGTTCTTGTAGTTTACTACTATAGTCCTTGAGGTGTTTTATCCGGGTGTCCTTGTGTCTGTCGCCATTGGTGCAGGGCGACATGATCCATGCTTGAAATAGATTTTGCCCACCTGGTCCACACAAGAATGTTGCAAGATCCAGGTTGTTTGTTCTCTGGTGTTGCCGTTTTGTATTTATCTCGCCGTTTTGTATTTATCTCGCCGTTTTGTATTTATCTCGCCGTTTTGTATTTATCTCGCATTACTGTTATTTCATCTCTGATATCAATATGTAAAAGAATCTCAGTGATAGAAATTAATTTTTATTTTCACTAGTCGGGAATATTGATCTGGCAACAGAGTTGCAGTCTATCTAAGTAAAAAAGACAATATCACTAGTCCTGCTGCAGAGTAGCCATCTACCTAATGGAAGAAGGTGTGGTCCACAAGGAAATGTCACTAGTTCTTCCTGAACTTTTCAGTTCGGTCGGGTAGTAAAAGAGTTCGCTCGTTACGCCGGGTCTTCGGGGACTGCCATCATATAGCTGGAATATTGTTGAGTGCATCATTAAACAACAAACAAACAATCCCCAAACCATGTCATTCTGAAAGACGTTAAAAGATCGTGCTTATTGTTTCCCTGTCTGGCGCTCAGCATTGAGTGCTTAAACATGGACTGGTCTCTGAGAGTCTGAGTATACTGACTGGGATATCCATGTGAAACTGCAGCATGGTATTTCAGTGGGCTTTCACCACCTCACTAACACTGCTGTGATTGCATGAAGCATTATAAGATGATGTTTACCAGGCCTTTATTGCTCCAGGCACAGTTGACAACAGATTCTTGCTCTCAAGGTGTTCATCATTAGAGGCAGAAGACCTCTAATCATTACGTTATCTGAAGTATCACCTTACTCTCAAGGGATGGGATGGTCCTTTGATGTAATCAACAGTCACAGGCACATGGTGTCTCCAGTGGCTGAATTGCACTTCAGGAAAATAAAGACAAATCAGACCATCTTCAATTATTTAGCTTGTTAGACATCTGTAGGAATAATTCCATAAGTTATTTCAATGATGGTGTTGGACACAACATGCTCTTTTAATAATCAAACTGTTTGTTTCATTATTCTTATGTTGTAATTTCCTGTATTTCCAGAATTAAGGATATAGAAGAGATCAAACTAGCTCACCTTGAGTTAGACACATCCAGCCTTAAACATGAAGTGCCAAGTCCCAGTGAACCGCCGTCTGCTCCGTGCTCAGAGCAGGTCACGCCCGACACCTCAAGATCATGTACGCCAAATCCGTTCCTTGCACCATCAGCAATCACCATCCCAAGCAATAAAGACTCACTAAACTGCAAAAACTGTAAAACAAAGGTTGAAGAAAAACAAATTCCATGCCGATGGAGAAACTGCTCAGTGAAAATAGACCCTAGTATAAATATGTTGGAACATATACGACAGGTCCATGTAGATCCTCAACAACAGAGTGAGACTTTTGTGTGCCTGTGGGATGGATGCAAGGTGTATAACAAGTCCTCCTGTTCCATGTCGTGGCTGTCGAGACATATCGTGTGCCACAGCGGACACAAGCCCTTCAAGTGTATTGTGGAGGGGTGTGGGCAGAGGTTCACCACTCACGCGGGACTGGAGAGACACGTCAATAGTCACTTTAATACACTACCACAAGCCAATCAGAAGACGCAGAAACTTCGGGAAGACACGCCAACCAAATTACTGCGGAAACGAAAGATAAAGAGAAGGCGGCCTCAAGGAAGTAAGTATACAAACTGAGAAACTTGACCTTCACCTTGTCTCAGAGAAGTGAGTATACACACAGAAACATGACCTTCACCTTGTCTCAGAGAAGTCTGTATATGCACAAGAATATGACCTTCACTTTGACTCAAGGTAGTAAGTGCACACTATGGGATTATTATCAATTATACACTCATGAAGATCTGGGTCTTCAGCAACCATGCTTGTCTCCACCTGTGAAGATATGTGTTAGAATAGGCCTTCAGCAACCCATGCTTGTCTCCCCCTGTGAAGATCCAGGTTAGAATAGGCCTTCAGCAACCCATGCTTGTCTCCCCCTGTGAAGATCCACGTTAGAATAGGCCTTCAGCAACCCATGCTTGTCTCCCCCGGTGAAGATCTGGGTTAGAATAGGTCTTCAGCAACTCATGCTTGTTTCCCCCCTTGAAGATCCAGGTTAGAATAGGCCTTCAACAACCCATGCTTGTCTCCCCCTTGAAGATCCAGGTTAGAATAGGCCTTCAACAACCCATGCTTGTCTCCCCCTTGAAGATCCAGGTTAGAATAGGTCTTCAGCAACCAATGCTTGTATCCTTCAGTGAAGATCTGGGTTAGAGTAGTCTTCAGCAACCCATGCTTGTCTCCCCACAAATGAAGTTTTGGGTTAGAATTGGTCTTCAGCAACCCATACTTGTTGTAAGAGGGACAAACAGCCACACACACACATGCATGCACGTTGCTATATAAAGGCAGTGATCTTAAACATGACATTAGACCCCATTTAACCTCACTTTTAGGTACAGCTTTTGAAATGTCCATGCAACTTCTGTTGAAGTAGGATAAATGTTTAGTGCAGCTGAAAGGTTTTAAAGAACATTATACAATATCTTTGCTTGATACTAGAGCAGGAATTCTATTTCCAACATATTTAGTGAGAAACTTTCAGTTAGAGGAAAGAAAAAATGTATGTTAAGCAAAAGTTGCTTTTGCAAGTGTGTAAGTGACAGCGATGAAGAGTCTGTTGTCAGTGGAAACATACACCTGTCATGTTTCCATGGTTAAAGCATTTTTCAGCTGGCGTTACCGTGGAGACAAACACTGAATGAATGTACATGAAACCTTCTCTAGCCAAGTGGCATGGATGGCCAAGCTTCATCTGACACGTATATCGAGGACTGTCATTGACAATCATACTAAATATGTGACTTTATCCGCTAGCCTGAAGCCCAAGTCTAGTAAAATTCTGTGCAGTCTAAGCTCAGCTAATGATAGCTCATATTATGGCATAAAATTATGGAAGAGGATGCTTCGAGCCAAGTTTGGGCTAGACGACTTAAAACATTTTGACCACATACACAAAATGAGGAGATCAAGAAAAGTAGGATCCTTACACCTGACCGCTGTATACTAACCTATGCCGACTTCGATGAAGTTGTTTTTCTGGTGGTAAATTATACAGCAGTGTCTGTAAGGTCATAAGGTAGTACGCATGATAGCCATGGCTTACTGTCAATAAAGAACAGTGGCTGATAGAGCTGAGTATCGCCTGGTATCTTGCGATATGATTCGTATCACAGACTGACGTTACTACTGGTATCATGATACACTACATCAAATAGTAAGAAATGATGAAATATCTGAAATATCTACAGCTCTAAAACATCTTTCTTTGTGCATCTATTTATTTTTAACAAAGAAAACCACAAGAACAAAACAGGTTTAAATGAATGGATGGTTAGTAAATGTAACAGTTAGTCAGCACGTCCTCAGCCTCCACGTCCTTGTGTTCTGCCATGCTTACAAGTGGCGTTATTCTACTTCTGCATAACGGAAGGTAACACTATTAGTTCCTGTTCTTTTTATAGCGTATTGCGATGTCACAAACTGACAATTCGAGTATCGTGTGTACCTAAGTATAGATGATTTGGTAGGTATTGGTGTCCTAGTGGCCGCTGTATCATGCAGCCTGCTCTTGTTGTTGGAATGAGGGGCGGTCGGGTAGCCTAGTGGTTAAAGTGTTCGCTTGTCACGCCGAAGACCCGGGTTCGATTCCCGACATGGGTACAATGTGTGAAGCCCATTTCTGGTGTTTCCCTTTGTGATATTGCTGGAATATTGCTAAAAGCGGTGTAAAACCATACTCACTCACTGTTGTTGGAATGGATCCCCCGATACCTAGGTTTGTTGTAAGAGTTGACTAAATGGATCAGACAATCATATTTATCGGTCAATATTTACCTGGTTCCCCTGTTATTCCAATACATCGATACTTATCTGTTTCTCTTGATTTTCTGGTTCATAAATTTACCTGTCCATCTGTTAATCCATAACCCTTTTATTACAATTCCTTTCTTTGCATGGAATGGTTGCCTCTAATCAATGATCCACCTGGTATCATGGTCCACGGCACTTGAGTTACACAGGTGACAACACAGGTGAGGTAGGTGTGTCATTGTCCGACACAGAGGAGGCCGCCTCATCCCCCTTGCTGCAACCCTGCTGAGAGTATCAATACCTGTGATGCTATCAGCTGGTGTCAATCACTGACACACCTGCCTAAATGGGGGATGAATGGTCACTGATACAATTTTGAAGGAAGAAGGGTTTTTTTGAAAATTTTGCTCCAGATTTTTTTAATTACTGTAACTATTAATTTACGGACACCCCCTATTCCTTATAATTTACATATTTATCATCTGATAAAGATCCATTCTGTTCCTAAAATCCTGTTATCAATAAACAAGGAGCTTTCTGACATGATATTGTTCAATGAACCTTGATATCACTATCTGCAAATACACACTATTACAAAGGTTATACCTTAAGGGCATTATAATAGGGTAATTACCATGTGGGTGTTATAATGAGGTCACCTGTCACCAGGTGATACTTCTGGTCAAAGCAGGTAGACAAAAAAATAGATATAAATAGCATCGAGTGGGTCTGCGTTAAATACAGCGTAGAGGACACAGACTTATTGGCAAGACTTACTGAAGCACATTACAAGGTAACGAGAGGCTGTTTGCCCAGAGAGTCTCCACTGTCCTAAAGCAGTATCCAGTGTAAGGTTGACAAACATGTCATTATGTCTGATTGGTTTATGATGCACACCTGGCCGCCAGCTTATCTCATATGAGCGGTGATGACAGAACATATCTTCATATGATAGGGGCTGGGCTAAGACAGAAGGATAAATGACATCTTTGGAAGAGTCGGCTCCATTGTGATATTCTATTTAAGGTGTCCTGATACTAGTATCTGGAAGTTGCTTTTCTTACAGGGATTAGTGGGCTGGGTTTAAAGTTAATGGCAGTCTTGGAGTTGGAAACACATTGTACGATTGTATGGCAAATTAGGAAGAGAATTTATCGACGTCAGCTTCTTTATTATGAGGAACACAAGGTTTCAGAGTATATACGTACTCCTTCATCAGGTGATGTCAACTTCTTTGTTATGGGAAACACAACATTTCTGAGTACAGTCAAGTCTTGTTAAACTGACAATCGGCTTTATCCAACACAAATGATTGGAACCGTTTAAATCAGTGCTATTTAGACCCGTTAATCCGACAGTCTTGCGCTCCGACTCCGACACACCTAATTTGCAATGAATTACTGAAATCACTCACTAATCAGTCTCGTTAATCCGACTGTGATAAGGGTACTCCATGGTCATCTGCCCGCGACTACACAGCCTGTGTTTTGATGCGAGACGAATCAGCTAGTAGCTGCATATTTCAACAGAAGCAGAGATAAACTTGCTTAACAATAAACAATTACTGCTTTAATTAAACAAAACAGGATTAGTCACATGACTAGATTACCTCAATCTCATTAAAATCGGATACAAGTTCTCGCTACCGCTGAGGACATCCCATTACAGGTCATGTCAGAACGACCATTCGCAAACTTTGACCGACCAATGAAATTACTAACAGGAAGTCGACATTAGCCACTAAGAAAGCAGCTTCCTAAGCATTGTGGCACTAGTTTCAAATTGGCGACTTCCATTCCAGACTATGCTTTAAAAAGTATTTTAAATCAGTCAAAGAGTCTGTAACAATAGTTTTGTGTTAAACTTTAGAGGTTATCCTCATGATAAAGAAGTTGACATCCATAAACTCTCTCCCTTATGTGTATCACTTCTAAATGCCATTTAAAGACTTGTATGGCAAATGTTTTGAAGACTTCTCTCAATATATGGTTTAGGCAAAATGCTTCAGAAGCTGCTTGGGGCACAGGTGGCCCAGTCATCTAAGGCGCTGCGATTCGCTGTGCAGAGTTGAAACCTATGATAGTGGGTTCGAATCCCGGTTTGCCCCGATTATGTTTCTAGGTTTGTCAGCACCATACCCGTGCTCGTGGGTTTCACCGAAGTGGTAAACGTCTGAGACCTGCATCACTTCAGGCTTTCCTCCCACATTAAGCTGACATGCCGTGATATAACTGGAATACTGTTAAAAGCGGAGTTAAACCCAACTCACTCAGAAGCTGCTACTTTTTTACTTTTATCCATTAACATGTCAACTGTCTGCTAAAAAATAATTTGTTTTGTTCCCATCCAATGTTTAGTAGCAATAGTGTTAGCAGTCAGTAAGAATAGAAACTGATTTAATAAAAGTATATTCAAAAGTATGTTTCCACTTGACAGCAATAATTCAAGAGCTCTTTGATTTCAACATCTTATCCCCAAAGCAACTGTTTGTTTCACTTCCAAGTACCTGCAGAAGTGGTGTTATGAAGTTAGACGTAAGTGTGACACTTGATTATAGTGTGCCGCCACATGTTGGTCAAGTGGGCCCCACCAGTGTAGACGATCCTAAAATATAAACAACCTGACTTCGATCAAGCATTATGAGCACAGGCAATTATGTCAGCTTTATCACACCGTTCAGGGTTTAAGGACAATATCAATTCATAAAAATGTTGTTTTTTTAAATTAATTATTCCTTTGGGTTTTTTATTTGTGTGAGAAGACTTTTGGTCCAATTTTTAGCAATAGCCAGCATATTCTGGGCAAGGGACTCCAGAAATGGGCTTCGAACATTGTACGTAATCGAACCCTGTCCTCAGTTTGACAGGCGGGCGATTTTACTTTAAGGGTACTGACACCATGCAATCGAGATATTGTCATGTAATATTCATGTAGATGGCAACAGCTGGTGAAGATCATGAATAATTCATAAAATATGTAAAAATGTGTACCTATTTCACTGAACAGTGGTTCAGTTGAAAATCATTCAAGTGTTCTGCGTGTTGGTTAGATGTCTAGATGTCTAGTACCCCAGATCTTTATAGGTGAATAACACTACATGTCTTGTCCCCAGACCTTTATAGGTGAATAACACTACATGTCTTGTCCCCAGACCTTTATAGGTGAATAACACTAGATGTCTAGTCCCCCCAGACGTTTATAGGTGAATAACACTACATGTCTAGTCCCCCAGACGTTTATAGGTGAATAACACTAGATGTCTAGTCCCCCAGACCTTTATAGGTGAATAACACTACATGTCTTGTCCCCAGACCTTTATAGGTGAATAACACTACATGTCTTGTCCCCCAGACCTTTATAGGTGAATAACACTAGATGTCTAGTCCCCCAGACCTTTATAGGTGAATAACACTAGATGTCTAGTCCCCCAGACGTTTATAGGTGAATAACACTAGATGTCTAGTCCCCCAGACCTTTATAGGTGAATAACAGTAGATGTCTAGTCCCCCAGACCTTTATAGGTGAATAACACATCAACAAATCAAAAGTAAAGATGTTCCAGTATTTTTAGGGAGTTTATTTTTTGTAGTTTTTACAATGAGATTAGAAAGGATGCTGACTAAGGTGTGAAGCTGTGTTCTAGTTTGGAAGCATCCGTGGGTGAAGTGTTAATGGAACATTGATTTTCTGAAATATGACAAGTGACATCCTATACTAGTGATAATGAACAAGGCAATCCTGGACAGTGAAGCAGACCAGGCATCAGCAGCCTCTCTCCACATCCTCACTCAGGACAGACTTTGTAGTACTTTGTTGTGTGTTGTGAACATTGTACCGACACTCCTCAGGTTCCTACTGGCTGTTTGTATTTCCTATAAGCCGGTTATTCCCCAGAGGATACTTTGCGTATCACTACCCTTCTTAGGTCAGGATGACCTGGCATTGTATTGATCATGTGGCATATGGAATATTGATGTTATCATACAATGTGAGAGGTTGTTATCACTATGGGGCTTGAGCTATAATCCCTGCTGTTCGTTATGAGTCCGAGTCCTACACAACCAGTTAACCAGCAGCAGTTACATGGAGAGCTACGTCCTATTTCACCGTGCTCGCCGGTGTATGTTTTGTCCAGAGACATCGGAATAAACCTTTCTTAGTTCACACACTTCCTGTTCTAACTCAGACACAACATAGCGAAAAATGAATGTTGAAATACTGAAAATATAACAATTACTTCAATTTTTTATTATTGTATTTCGTCTGAAGCTTCTTTTGGGAAAGGTTATATGTGATGTATTTTCTTCTGCATAATCACAATTAGCCTGTCATTTAGAAACTTTTACTTTTATGCAGGTTTATATTTTGATTTTGTAACAGGGAATTAGTTGATTTTAAATCCTACCTTTTGTCACCAATTCAATCATGTTACGCCTTGGGGCACGGGTGGTGCTGTGGAGAGTTGCATCCCTTTGGTATGCCAGGAAGCTATGGTTGTGGTTTTGATATCCCAGATTCATCAACGTTAGAAACTAACAGTTTTAGTTCACTAGTCCTTTCAATGATAACATGTATAAAAACCCTTAAAAAGGGCAAATTTCTACTAATCCTTATTGTACCTTAACTATGGTATATATTATTTGTCAAGGACTATAGGACTAATGCCAATTTCTAACAGTGTTCATCCTGATATTGATTCTAGGTTTATCAGCACCATATCCATGTTTGTGAGTTTCACCAAAATAGTAAACGTCCAACACCTGCATCACTCTGGGCTTTAATCCCACGTCAAGCTGACACCCCCAGGATATAATGGAAACACATATCAAAGCTTCATTAAACCAAACTCACTCACTCACTCACTCACTCACTCACTCACTCACTCCACCCACCCACAGCTGAAGAGTTCAGCTAACATTCAACTCACACTGAAGTATTTGATGAGCAGTACTGAATGTAGGGAGCTACAGTGCCTTGTTGCTGCTGTCAACTTAGAGGTGTCAGATCTGTGATGAAGTAGTAATGAAGAGTTAACCTTGACACACTAAAGGTGGATGTTTGTGGAAAGCGTGTTATTTGTGACACTCGCAGACTGTACTGTTCTTCATTCCTTTAATTCCTCCGGTATTAACCAGTGGGTCTATGTGGGAGGCGAGTGATGCGTCATCCTGATGCTGCCGCCGACGGGACGTCCCATTCGTCATGTTCATTGGGTTATACACAAACTTATGCAAGACTGTAACACTGTGATACACTATCTAATGTATGCCTTGATTTGAACAATGATGACTTATTTATTGCTTCCTTTTTCAGCTCGAACAGGCGATTTCTTTGACAACTGCATCATGGCTAGATTGCAGCAAGAGTTAGAAGATCTCACCCAGCGCACACAGCTAGACGTCCTGGGACCGCCGCACTCTGTCACATTCCACAGTGCTGTAAGTCAGGGGAGGGACAGCTGGGGTGGGATAGGGAGTGGGATGTTGGGGGTCAGGCTGAAAGGTGTTGAAGAGTGTTGAGGGGACCGCCGCACTCTGTCACATTCCACAGTGCTGTAAGTCAGGGGACATGGGATGGCATGGGTGAGGGAGTGGAGTGGGGTATCGAGGGGCTGGGATGGGAGAGGGAGTGGAGTGGTGGACCGGTGGGGTGTCGGGGGGCTGGGGTGGGAGAGGGAGCGGAGTGTTGGACCGGTGGGATGTCGAGGGGCTGGGGTGAGACAGGGAGTGGAGTGGTGGACCGATGGGGTGTCGAGGGGCTGGGGTGGGACAGGGAGTGGAGTGGTGGACCGGTGGGGTGTCGAGGGGCTGGGGTGGGACAGGGAGTGGAGTGGGGTGTCAGGGGGCTGGGATGGGACAGGGAGTGGAGTGGTGGACCGGTGGGGTGTCGAGGGGCTGGGGTGGGACAGGGAGTGGAGTGGGGTGTCAGGGGGCTGGGATGGGACAGGGAGTGGAGTGGTGGACCGGTGGGGTGTCGAGGGGCTGGGGTGGGACAGGGAGTGGAGTGGTGGACCGGTGGGGTGTCGAGGGGCTGGGTGGGACAGGGAGTGGAGTGGTGGACCGGTGGGGTGTCGAGGGGCTGGGATGGGACAGGGAGTGGAGTGGTGGACCGGTGGGGTGTCGAGGGGCTGGGTTGGGACAGGGAGTGGAGTGGGGTGTCAGGGGGCTGGGATGGGACAGGGAGTGGAGTGGTGGACCAGTGGGGTATCGAGGGGCTGGGATGGGACAGGGAGCGGAGTGGTTGACCGGTGGGGTGTCGAGGTGCTGGGATGGGAGAGGGAGCGGAGTGGTGGACCGGCTGGATGTCAGGGGTCAAGGTGAAGGGCAGGGAGTGTTGAGGGGACCACCTTACTCTGTCACATTTCACAGTGCTGCAAGTCAGGGGACATACTGGTATGGGAGAGGGAGTGGAGTGGTGGACCGGTGGGGTGTCGAGGGGCTGGGGATGTTGAGGGTGTCGAGGGTAGGGGGTGTTGAATCGGTAGAATCATTCCTTGTGTGTTGACACTGACTTATGCCTGTTGCAGGTCATCGCAAAGCGAACTGAAGAATCAGGAAAAATCAAAGTATTACTCCACTGGACCCCAGAGGACATGTGAGTATATGTTATATAGACTGGGTAGAGAGGACATGTGAGTCTATATTATATAGACTGGGTAGAGAGGACATGTGAGTATATATTATATAGACTGGGTAGAGAGGACATGTGAGTATATGTTATATAGACTGGGTAGAGAGGACATGTGAGTATATGTTATATAGACTGGGTAGAGAGGACATGTAAGTATATATATTATAGACTGGGTGGAGAGGACGTGTGAGTATATATTATATAGACTGGGTAGAGAGGACATGTGAGTATATGTTATATAGACTGGGTAGAGAGGACATGTGAGTATATGTTATATAGACTGGGTAGAGAGGACATGTTAGTATATATATTATAGACTGGGTGGAGAGGACATGTGAGTATATGTTATATAGACTGGGTAGAGAGGACATGTGAGTATATATTATATAGACTGGGTGGAGAGGACGTGTGAGTATATATTATATAGACTGGGTAGAGAGGACATGTGAGTATATGTTATATAGACTGAGTAAATAGGATGTCTGAATATATGTTATAGAGAATAGTTCAAGGAGGCGTTCAATAAATTCATTCTAGCAGTTCATTATGTGGTGATAAGACAAACCTATCTTTGTGTAGACTTGTGGATGTGTAGGTTGACCTGCATGGCAGAGTTATCTCCCCTGATAAGCTTCAAGCCTGAAGGTGCATAGGTTGTTTACCTGTTGGTCTGAAAACACTCACATATTGCCATCCAAATCTATCCTTCGAAGTGTATGGGCTAATTTTTCAAATTTAATTCCCAAAAATGGTAGTTATCTTGATAAATTAACTACGAGGTCATTCAGGATGTTTTCAACATATGCTTGTAGTTTTAGTGTTGAATGGTAATTGCTATTCTACTTCATGAGGGAGGATGTCACCCTTCGTTATAAAGCATTGTTATTTAACCCATTCAATAGCCATGTAATGTAACTCATAACAGATTTGTTCAGTTTGAAAAAAGTAAGAAATTGAGAATCTCATCGGCAGTAGGTTTGTGTTAACGTTTAGCATTACCATCCCCTGTCTCTCGTTCCAGTTTGCCGGATGTATGGGTGCCTGAATCTCAAGTCAGCGAACAGTCACAAAGAGTCATTCCACTTACCCAGCTACCTCGAGACTCTACCGCAAACCTCCATCCCTCCCTCTACAGGCACCATAGGTTCCGAAAACATCGCCGAAAATAATACCTTCCCAGCATGCAACAGTGCAATTACCCAACTACGTACATGTGTGAAAGAGTGTGTGAGCCTGTATGGAGACTGTTTGTCTTGTTATTGTTGTCCTTGACATAGGATTGTGTTGCAGATACTGTAGCGAGTGTTCACTGTGTTTTCATGTCATTGTTTAGTGCTTTTAGCTTTTTGCAATGTTTAGTTGTTAAAGTCTTGTGTTATGAATGTTTTACCAACAGTTTTCCAGAAGTCCATTTCACCGGTTCAGGAGTTCAGTGTTGGATCTATTGTCAGTGCATTGTTAGTTGATTTTTAAATTCATTTTAATCAACTTGTATATTAATTGATGGATGAGTCCTTATGTACTATTTATTATTTTAGAATTTGAATTATTGAATATAGCAGTTTAGGAATATCCTCTCTTATGAGCCCTTAATGTCGAACAAAATACCATCTGTATCATATTGAATTTCCTTTGATTTGTAAACACCATCTTGTCCATTTTATTTTCAATTCATTTATTGAAGCAGTAATATTGACTCTTAATGAAACCAGTCTCAAAATGTCAAAACCTATTTGTGGTAAGGTTTACATGCAACACAATAAAACCATGTGAAAGTTAAACCTTGGACAAATAATGTTAACATTTAAGGAAAACTCTTTATAAGGCCAGACCAATTTCTGTGCTGTAATCTTTTTCAATGCCCTCTCTTCCGCCCAAATACTGTGAATTCCATTTGATTCCATGCATTTTTCGAACACCTTTGTTGTGTCCGAAATACATCGTCTTTGTTGAAGATGAAACAACACACAACTAGTCTTGTGGAAAGCATGAGATGATGATTGTTACTTTTCGCTTAGTAACTCACCTCCTGTCAACCACAAAAACAATTTCATTTTTTGCCTCCTGAGTCAGTGACTTTTGCCTAGAAAATCCATAATCACACGAAACAAACTGGTCTGGCCAAATGTTATTCTTGAAATGAGAATGTACTGTGGGTATTTTGTTGTGTAGTACTGTATAGCACGTGTTCTCTACTGTATGACGATCTGTAGGATGAACTGCTGGTTCTCAGGCCGTGTGACACCCCTTGTGACAATTCATCCTTTGGCAGCATTTAAAAAACAATTAAGTTTCAAAGTTTTATCAGAACCATGAGGTGAACTCGATCTAGACAGTCCTGCAGTTTTTTTATTCAAGTCTGTTGAAATGTCTCCATTTATATAGTTTCCATGGGAACATTTTTTAAATAGTATCCTTTATACTCCAACAGACTACCATAGAGCGCAAACCAAAGTTAAGGACCACACAATTCTTTCATATTACAATAGTTACTCTGTCATGCCATGACATACGTAAAAGTAGGTATGTTGTATTTTCCATTTTTCTGTGAAAGAACAAGTTATAGCTGAATCCTGGTCACCATTTATGTAGACATTTAGCAAGATGCAATTGATATCAAAATGTTTGTTTTACTTTCTTTTTTTTATATTAATTTTTATTTTTATTATTTTTATTTTTATTATTTTTTTTTATTATTTTTTTTTTTATTTTTTATTTTTTTTATTTATTTTTTTTATTTTTTTTTTTTTTGAATTTACTTACTCAGGTCAGCCACGGTGACCTAGGCTCTATAAAAGTTATTAATTGATCACAGCAGGTAAACTGTTTTGATGCAGTGTAAATAAGTGTGCTGCTCAGGTCTAAGAATGTTCATTGTCTTAATTACGAAGAAATACACTGTCATCAAGTTGGGCTGTCGTGCTGATCCACACAGTGCCTGAGAACTCAGAATATTTATTTTTAGCCTTACGTTATGTCAACCGGTATCACAAGGCCAGGACACGTGTCCTTGCTTGTGGGCGTCTCAATGTAGAACCATCACAATGGTAGGTCCAGGGTGTCTTTGATCAAGTGTAAATTGAAACAATCCTTGATGAGTTTCATGTAAATACGAAAACTATATTTGTGTACAGATAATCTGGTTTTATTTTAAAAAAGTAAATAGATGTTGTCATCAGTGCCTCCGGTGTCGGAACAGAACATGTCTTAAGCTGAAAATCATTTTGCACATCAATTGTAAAATTGGTCATAAAACCGATACTTTACCATGTTAGCTTTAAATCAGTCTTGGACTGGATAGAAAATATATTACTAGGTACCTATGATCTGATTTTTCATCTTAATTGATGTTCTGTCGGGACACCTATTCTCCAGCTATATTGAGTATAGCCTACTTGTATATACCTAGGCCACGTTGGCCACGTTGATGGAGGTCTGCAGTGTTTGTGGACTTCTTTGTGTCCGTCATAATTTGAGCATCACAGCTAAAATGATAAATACTGACAAAGTATTAAGTGGGTCAAGTTAAGGATGTTATCACAAATGTTTTCATTTATTTTTTCAAACATATATCCAACCGTGTTGTAAGAGATTTTTTTTTTTTCTGTAGATTTAATTATACAAACTGTTCTGTATCTTCTCCAAGTTTGCATGTAACTTATCTCACATTCTGAGCGGTCTTTTGCTGTTTCGCTATTTCTGTTCGTCTAGCTGATTAGAACTGCTGCGATGCTGATGTTGCTGAGAGGGCAGTTTGCTACTTTCCGCTGTGAACCAAAGTTCCCCCTGATGATATCCTCAGGGGTCCGGGGCATTTATCATAATAGAACGGAGATAAAGTACCCTAGATGACAGAGGATGTCCACCCCACTCATCCAGATCTGCCCAGAATGGGAACATGTTATTTCTTGTCTTTCATCTGTGGGTATAGGGACCAACTATTGTAGGGGGACAGTCTATTGTAGGGGGATCGTCTATTGTAGGGGGACCGTCTATTGTAGGGGGATCGTCTATTGTAGTGTGGGCTGTCTATTGTAGGGGGACCGTCTATTGTAGGGGGATCGTCTATTGTAAGGGGATCGTCTATTGTAGGGGGATCGTCTATTGTAGGGGGACCATCTATTGTAGGGGGATCGTCTATTGTAGGGGGGACCGTCTATTGTAGGGGGATCGTCTATTGTAGGGGGACCAACTATTGTAGGGTGGATCGTCTATGGTAGGGTGGATCATCCATTGTAGGGGGGACCATCTATTGTAGGGTAGTCTGACTATTGTAGAAGTGATCATCTATTGTAAGGGGGATCGTTTATTGTAGAGTGGGTGTGCATGATTTTGTTGATCATGCAACTTTTTCAGACATGAATGAAATATAAAAATAGTTCATTTTAATAACTAATCAATGATTTTTTTCAATATTTTAAGTTCTCCACCTGAGGTTGACCTAGTAAGTCCCGAAATGTATCTCGCCATGTTATTCCCTTAAAGTAGTAGTAACATTTCCCGAGCAACAGATTTTTCACACCAGAGACTTTCAAGGAATGCTTCAGTTTTACCGGCAGGGTGCATGGGTGGCAAGTTCGAAAACGCCACAATTTGCAATACAGAATTACATCCCTTTGGAATACGTTTGAATCCTGGTTTGCCCTGATTATGTTGCTAGGTTTGATAGTACAATACACATGTCCGTGGGATTCACCAAATATCTAGGACCTGCATCAGTTCACTTGAAATACAGTTAAAAGCGGCATAAAAGCAAATTTATTCACTCAGTTAGGTTTACTGGCCTGATTCAACAGTGCAGTACCATGTGACTTGGTGTTGCTGACTTTCCTAGGGGTGTTTTGTAACCATTCGTTGAAATGTTGGGTTAGAAGCAACACATAAAACAAATAGTGATGTTAGATCAAACATTTCCACACCACAGTCAAACATTTCCACATCGTAGTCAAACATTTCCACACCTCAGTCAAACATTTCCACATCGTAGTCAAACATTTCCACACCTCAGTCAAACATTTCCACATCGCAGTCAAACATTTCCACATCGTAGTCAAACATTTCCACACCACAGTCAAACATTTCCACATCGTAGTCAAACATTTCCACATTGACGGGATTCACAGTATGGATGAAGATTTGAAATAGAAAATGTTTTATTTATGTTGGTAGGTGAAACGATGTGTTGATATATTAAAAAAACACCATATCCCCATGTGGAAAGAGGCTGTCAGATCTGATGGCGGTTTCAGTCAACAAAACCACACTTTGTTTTGGTGTAGCGAATAAAGGTACTGCTAAGTCGATGACATGTTTCCATGACGATGTAGCTGTGTAATCATTACATTGTTGCTGAGTGAAGAACAAGACCAACATCACGTGAGTAGGCGATGGAGAAGCAGCCAGTCTTCATGCATCGTAGCTCGTTAGGTTGGACAGTAATTATATTTCCCTAGATAATGATAAATAATATTCACTTGCAGACTTCAGTTGGCAGATTTCCATTTAAGAGAATGATTTCATGCTTACGTGATTCTTTTCTTTTTTGTAACTTGATGCTGTTGCAGAATATGAAATTAAGCAGTTTGTTGGTCGCTGTTGAATAAATACCAACTTGGGTTTGTATATTGCGCCATGACATAGATCACTAGCTGCCATTACATCAGTCAAGAATGATTTTTTCTCAGTTATGGATGAAATGATACCAAAACGCACGACAAAATGGATTACAATTGTCCTACATCTTTCTATCTATGCAAATTGTCGTTTAAGGATATTGTGTCATGGTGATAATCCCTTCTACGTTACTGTTCAGTATTAAAGGTTGTGTTAGTCTCATGTGAGCCAGATTGCTGAATCGGAGTCCAGTAAAACTTACTGGTCGACTTAGACAAGGAGAGAACTGTAAAACATCTAGAAACCACCTGCACCAGCTTTTCTGTCAAGGACGTTAAGAGATATGTGCAGATGTTTTTAGCTGTACTCTTCCCTATTTCCTCATTTTGCTGTTAGTCACACCGAGCTGAACAAGATTTATACATGGTATATTAGGATGGTATAAATATTTGTATGTCATGCAAGGAATTGGACCTTGATTGGAAGGAGCATCCCTGTGTAATTTGTCTGCATAATGTTACGGGACATAATTGATACACGGCTACCTGTGAGTGGATAGCATTAACGTGTGGCTGTGGGGCTGTCACTGCAACACCGCAATAATCTCCTCAAACTTCATTTGCTATGCCAGTTTTAGTGTTAAACAGTTTTGTATAATGATTCTTTGTGTAGTAGTACTGTGTTTTGAAGAGGATCTTTGTTGTTTCAATAAATGCCTAGTCTTTTTCGTAACCAAATCTTGTCCATTTTTCAAAAGAGTTTAATGGACACAATAAGCAATTGATAAAGTTTGTTGAATATTGTCTGAATATTGTCTTCTCCTTTTGTCAGTGGCTTGATATTGTTAATACACAAATACTTATTACTACTCCCAAGAATATTTCTTTTCTATTACTGCTTATATCTTGAAACGCATTTACTCATTAAGTTCTGTTATCAAATGCATAGAGAAGAGTGCTTACCTCTGCCAGGTGAGGGAGCACTGGTTGGTCTGTGCCCCGTTCCTCAAAGCGATCTTAGCGCTACGATGACCGTAAGCCTATGTTAAAGTATGGGACTTACGATCACCTTAGCGCTAAGATCGCTTTGAGGAACGGGGCCCTGGACTACATATGACTTACAGACCCGTAATAGGTTGAACTTTCTGTTGTATATTAGTTGTGATGGTCTTGTGATCAATTTACAGACTTAATGTGTCGTGAATGAACTGTGCTGTCGCAGGAGAAACTTCACCCACACAAACATTGACCAGAAGGGAGAAACATGATCAAGCCGAGTGTGTACAGTTTAGTAAATTTGGGGGTTTTTTTGTTTGTCAGATATTTCATTGTATTCACTGATCAAAATACCCTCCTGTTCTTCTGTCCTAAGTTTTTCTGGTAGTTTATAAAAAAAATGAAATAATTAATAGTATTTTTTTTATGTTTCAGTTACATAATATAAATGTCTGGGTTTTCAATTGTTGCACAAACTGAGTTGGTAGCAATCCTGGCGTCGCTGTAATGTTACCATGTTTTTGTACAGATCTGTTGATGTCATGTTTTTGTAAACACCTCATTCAGAAATTATCTCTATGCGTGAAATATTTTAAGTGGATTTTTAACAAAACAGGGATATACTTTATGCTGTTTTTCATAGAATTGTAAAATCAACTATTACCTGTATGCTCAACAGTGCAAATTAATATTCTATAACTGCCAAATAGTGTTACGGCTATAGTGTCCATGACATTGTGAGAGCTTTAATATGCAACTTTGAGGTATTAATGCGGCGTGTTTTTCTGACGGGAGTTATTTAGCTAATGGATTTATTAACTGCAAAACAACAGCCATATTGTAAGTTTGAAGTTCATTTTGAAAAAAATATTGTTTTAATTCCAAGTTGGTGAACTAATGGTATATAAGGCTGCTGCGAGAAATGTTCGACCAACTATAATATCGTCATGACAGTACACACCAGGTCAACACTGATGATGTGTACATTGCCTGGTGGTGTAAGATAATTAATTGTCCATAAGGAAATTTCCAAAATCATGATCTCCAAAGGGTTTATTGTAAAGCAAAAATTATCAAAAATCATTTTCAAGATTTGGTTTGTAATAAAATTTCACTGATTTTTGCAAGAACATTGACAATAAATTGTATCATCATTATTACTAATATTTCTTTCTTAGAAAAATGCAAATTACATGTCTTATTTTTCTCCATACTGCTCAAGGCACTGTAGTGAATTTGCTCAAAATAATGTTTTCAGGGAAGAAGAAAATGTATAAACATAACATGTAGCCTCATGTGACAAATTGAATCAAATCCTTAAAGAAGTACCAGTAAAATAAAATGAAAGTTGTATTACGCCAGTGGCACAGAACCCTTTGGATGATCACTTTTGGTAAACGTCCTTGTGGCCAATGGCTGTAGTTTCGCCTGAATATGTTGCTGGGGAACATTGTTTTATTACATACCTAGTGAGGTATATGACATACCCAGTGGGGGTTATCACATACCTAGTGAGGTATATGACATACCCAGTGGGGGTTATTACATACCTAGTGAGGTATATGACATACCCAGTGGGGGTTATCACATACCTAGTTTGGTATATGACATACCCAGTGGGGGTTATCACATACCTAGTGGGGTATATGACATACCCAGTGGGGGTTATCACATACCTAGTGTGGGGTATGTAATGTACCTAGTGGGGGTATACGACATGTTATCAGTCTCTGTTGACTCAGGTTATCCGTGCTAGTGACTGATTAGAGGTGTTATCACTCCTTGGGACAGATGACATCAGAAACTTCACTTGGAATCAGACTAAGGAAGTGTTGTGTAGCCTTCCATCAAATATAATCACAGTGTGCAATAGACATGTTCATTCTGGCTGCCCATCAGTAGCTTGTCCCAATAAGGCTGGAACAATTCATGGAGATCAAATCCAAATTTAAATCTTAAGTCAATATGACACCCATTATGTATGAGTACGTAGCTTTTTACAAAATGTTATAAATTTCTGAACATCAAATGGTTAACAAACGGATACTGATCAACAGTTTTAGTTCTGTCGAAGTTTATTGTTCAATCTGATCATGTATTCGTCTTGTCGTAATATAACAACATTGAAAAGTGTTGTTTTCAGTCATCAACTTTTCTTATCTTTTTTTTCTTCCCAAATATACAATGTTACCTGAAATAGGTTATTAAAATATGTACATGAGTCTCATGAACAAACAACTGTAGAGCTTTTGGAAAAAGGGGTGCGTTTTTGGATTTGGACATTTTCATTTTGTAACTCTGTAAATTTTGTTGAAAGTAATCATGAAAAGAGTTACAAAGTTGTAATATGTTTTGGTATGAACACACCCCTACACCTCTGGGTCCGCTTATGAGGAACCATATTGTAAGGACTTCAGTGCGCAGCCTTTTTGAAATTTACGCTCATCTGCTATACCCAGACTTCTAAATTGTGCTGGACAAATAATAATCCAATAATAGTTGTACTCATAGACTAGTAGCATCATTCTGAGCCAGTCTCAATGCTTCAATTTTGCCACAAATTGAAACGGAATAATGTAAACAGTAAGCATTATGGTTTGTTCAAGGAACTAGCTGCAAACTCTGACGATGAGTGAAATAAAGTTTCCACTAGTCTTCTGGGGCCTGTTCCACAAAGCGATCTTAGTGCTAGGATTGTCGTAAGCCTGTGTTAAAGTATGGGAGTTACGATCATCTTAGCGCTAAGATCACTTTGTGGAACGGACCCCTGAACATGTCCTGAGAGAAAAACAAATGTCAAAGGCTGAGTGTGACGTCAGTGCAGTGATTCAGCCATACATTGTATTTCTAAATGAAAAATATACAAGGTATTTGGCAGGCTGGAGACCAATGTGATGAGGAAGAATGACAAGATGGCTTTTATTCTGTACTAATATCGAGTGTGTCCCAGACACGGAACCATGTCGAGATGTTGTACGGGATTATTGGTTAACGACCCTCCTGGATGGGTTCCTTGTACAGTCGGTGACCAGACCTTCAGGACAATGTCACAAGGGCATCTGTAGACAAAGATTCTTGTATGGGCCCTGTGAAGTTTACTAATTGCTTTGAGAAAATGAAGAGTTGATTGAGGAGCATTGGTTAAGAATCATGCTAACCGGTATATTCTTTTTGAAACTTAGTTTAAGTCATATTTGTCTGATAAACAAAAAAAAATAAATTTCAAAATCTCAAGCAGTCATTCTGAAGTATGTTGATGAGACAATTTTATGTGTTAACAATGTCGTTCAGGGAGGTACCACACGTGTAGGTGCTGCCACCTAGTGGGGATCTCCTGCACAATAGGTAGGATGAGACACAGGTACAACTCCCAAGATTCAACCGCACAATAGGTACCGTTGGGGCGAAACACAGGTACTCGACTACAAAAATACCAACCACACAATAGGTAGGATTAAACACTCAACTAATATACCACAGATAAAACAAATTGTTCTTGTTTGTTGTTGGTTTTTTTGTTAGAATTTTCTTTCTTTTCACCCTCCGTTCATAAAGTGAGAAGCTCCCATAATGATGGAACTGTTTTCGGTATTGGTGTTTCAGTGCCTGTGGGATGTATGCGAAGCATGGATGAACACCATTAGCATCTCGATCTCATTGTAGATAGTACACACTACCATGACTGGGAGTGCCTGTCTTGTCACACCTTGTTTCCTATATTGAGTATGTCAGTGTCGTCCTCATAATGCCATGGCAACGCAACAACTTGCACTGGGGAACCACGCCTCCGTCACAGCCAGGCGGCCAAACGAGTTCTGATAATAATGAAGTAGTAAGGTGATTGTTTTGTTGATCAAAGTCAGCTGCTTGTCTAGTATTTCTTTATTCCAAACTTGCTGTTTGCATGCAAAGTAATGTCCCGTAAGTTCAGGATTATTCCAATCTTCTAATAGAGAGCTGGAATGAATCTTATGGTAACTCCCAAATTGGATATTACCGGTAGATACATTCTAAGAACCTTAAAGGTCATTACAGCAAATGAGTAGGTTTTACATGAAGGGGAACACAAGAAATGGGCTTCAGACGTTGTACTCATGTGGGAATGGAACCAGTGATATCGGTGTGATGAACCAACGCTTTAACCACTGGACCACCCCACTCCCCTTCATTAAGCTTTTCTGTAGCTGGTTTTCTGCAGGAGTAGTCTCTGGCTGTCTTGCGGAACTAGGATGGTTGTGCGACTCCCCGGAGCAACGTTGTTGTGTAGGTCATGTGACCATGCATCATACACAAATCCACCAATCATGTGACACCATATCCATCAGGTTGCACTTCCATATTTATTTTTTCATTGCTGTGTACGTATCAATTTGGTGAAGACTTGGAAACATATTCTCTTGTTTCAAGTTATTTATAAAGCAACGGTAGCTAGCGTTGTATAGATAGTTTTGTAAAAATAAACACTTACAGTTGAAATTGTTTGTTTTGTGTGTATTGTGTGCCCAGTGTTGCTAAATGCTTGGGCTCAGATGCTCACAATTTTAATTATTTGTCTGCAAAAGTGAGGACCGCCACCACGTTGATGAAAATTGTCCTGCACCACATCAGTTTACAGCTGTGAAATATACACTCATATGGTAGTGAGTGAGTGAGTTGTGTTTAACGCCGCTTTAAACAGTATTCCAGTTATATCACAGCGTGTCGGCTTAATGAGGGAGGAAAGCCCGAAGTGAAGCAGGTCTCGGACGTTGACCACTTCGGTGGAACCCACGAGCACGGGTATGGTGCTGACAAACCTAGAAACATAAATGGGTTGAACCGGGATTCAAACCCACAATCACAGGTTTCTGGCGTGCCGAAGGGATTCAACTCTGCACAGCGTATCGCAGCACCTTAGACCACTGGGCCACCTGTGCCCCCGTAGTGTGTAGGGAGACAATATCTTACACCTGAAGTATGCACTCACCTGATATGGAGGAAACCAATACTCCTGACAGCAGGATGAAGTGGGTGATAAACATGCTGTGTTTTCAATGTAGGTTACCTAATTGTTTGTTGTTTTACGCCGCACTCAGCAATACTCCAACTGTATGATGGCGGCCTGTATCAAGTTTGGACCAGACAATCCAGTGATAGACATGATGAGCATCGATCTACACAATTGGGATACGATGACATGCATCAACCAAGTCAGTGAACCTGACCATCCAATCCCATTAGTTGCCTCTTACGACAAGCATAGTCACCTTTCACAGCAAACATGGGTTGCTGAAGACCTCTTCTAACCCGGATCTTCATGGACAAGGTTACCTGTAGATTTAACTGCGCTAAATTGAATTTGGGACACATAGCTTGGTTAAATCTACAGGTAACCTCGCTCTCCACTGAAAACACGGCATGTGTATCTACACCATACCATAAAATTAAACGCGAACTTGTAGGTGTTGGTGAAGATATAGATCGGCATTAGAAGAGTTCTAAACATTGAGTTGGTTTTCGATTTGAATAATGGACACGCTGATAACAGGCTGTTAAAGTACAGCGCTGTATACGCTCAAACATTGTTATGTAACATTTTCTTTACTGGCCAAGAAATTGTGTAGCATAGATACTTTGTAAGCTGACAAAGTCGTCACCCCTGAAGAAAATGCAAGCCTTTCAAATGCCTACCAAAAATGATTGAGAAAAAAGCCCTTTTCTAAAAATATTATCTTCCATGGTAATTGGGAAGTTGATTGCTTCAATCAGAGGTGGTTATTGTGATTTGAAACCTCTGATTGACCAAACAGAATTGACTACGCCGAAGACCCGGGTTCGATCCCCAACATGGGTACAATGTGTGAAGCCCATTTCTAGTGTCCCCCACCATGATATTGCTGGAATATTGCTAAAAGAGGCGTAAAATCAAACTCACTCATTATGACCTGGTAAATGTAGGGCTCTTCACTGAACAACAAGTAAAGAAAAGATATCCATTTTCTGATTGTATTTTGAAACATGATTTTTATTACACATTCACACATATGTTAAAAAGTGTTAAAAAGATGTACAAAATCTACATTGTGGCGGTTTGGGACCACAACAGACGAGACTTTGGCTGCAGTAGCCAGGGTGCATCATGAAGACTTCATTGCGATACTTCGGAGAGCCCTGGTTTCTTTGGTTGTTAGACCCAGCGGACATTATGAAGATTTGATTAAAGGAATATTCAGATCTGCATCATCAATAATATTTCAATACAAAGTGATTCGGCCTGATAGGAAGCATGGGCATGCTGAGGAGAGGCAACTAAGGGACACAACTCTGCATGAGAATACTGTTGAGGGTCACAACTCTGCATGGGAATACTGTTGAGGGTCACAACTCTGCATGGGAATACTGTATAGGGTCAACTTAGGGACACAACTCTGCATGGGAATACTGTTTAGGGTCAACTTAGGGACACAACTCTGCATGGGAAAACTGTTTAGGGTCAACTTAGGGACACAACTCTGTCGTGGTATGCTGACGAGGAGCTTATGAGGGACACAACTCTGCATGGGCATACTGTTGAGGGTCAACTAAGGGATACAACTCTGCATGGGAATACTGTTTAGGGTCAACTAAGGGACACAACTCTGCATGGGAAAACTGTTTAGGGTCAACTTAGGGACACAACTCTGTCGTGGTATGCTGACGAGGAGCTTATGAGGGACACAACTCTGCATGGGCATACTGTTGAGGGTCAACTAAGGGATACAACTCTGCATGGGAATACTGTTTAGGGTCAACTAAGGGACACAACTCTGCCACGGTATGCTGACGAGGAGCTTATAAGGGACACAACTCTGCATGGGAATACTGTTGAGGGGCAACTAAGGGACACAACTCAGAACAGTAGCAGGGCCTTTTAAGTAAGGTCCAACATATCACTTGTAACTACATGAATGGGTACATTCTAGGCTATGTTCTCACCAACACCACTCAGTAGTTCATCAGCACAACCATGTTACTCAGCAAACCAACAACACCTCAATTCCTCTCAATGTGAAGCACTGGGTTTACATTTTGGCAGGAGTGAAAGGGGAAGAAAATGGACTTTGAATACTGATCCCATCATGCAGCATCAGCCCTGGAAACTGACAATAGGGGCTAAAAGAGTTGCAGGATTAATATGACAGTTCATATTAACAATACCACTCAACATTTGCTAAGAGTTCGTGTTTTTGAACATGTCCATAGGTTCATCAGGGACACACTCCTCCTTGGCTCCATAAAACAACTGTGACAGTCCAGCGGGTATGTATTGGTATGTGTGGACTGCACAACCACCCTTCCTCAACATAGCCTTGCCTTCAATGGAAGCTTATGAGACCTAAAATGGTGAACCTTACACTCTTTTCTTGATATACAAAAACATGAAGCCGATTTTAAAACTAATTTGAATATACAATAATGAAGCTTTAGCGGTTATCAAATCCTCTGCAGCAAATGTTGAGGAGTATCTTTGTCCAGAGAGGTAGTACAACAGATATGGAGGCATGTGGTATCAATTGCTTATTATCACAGGTACGTCCATCTGGTCCGACAAACGGTGAAAACCTGGAAATGTCCTATTGCTGGTTATTGAACCTCAACTCCCGACTTCCTGTTCTGGCATGCTGGGATTGCCCTGGGGACTGTGCGGAGGGGCATCAAGCCCCGAGTCTGACAGCTGCGAGTCCTGGGTGAGATAGTTAGGTGCAGCTTTGTTGGATGTTGTTGCTGAGGGGTTGAAGGCTTCGTTGGAGGCAGGCCGTTGTTGCTGGATGTAGCGCTCCACAAACCAACTCGGACTCCTTGACGAAAAGTTGCTGCTCAGCTCAAACAGGTTCACCACAGACAATTTCTGCTGTGCACATTAAGGAAATGAATCATTTGTCCTGCAACTCTAGCATCAAACTTCCTCTGAAATTATCGTTTGGACATAATTAATTTTGCATGGACAAAAAATCATGTCAATGAAGCTCTTCTGTCAAAGATAATTCAAACTTTGCAATATTGTAGCAGTATATGGTCTCTGGCAATACGTATCACAGATTACTGGCCACTTACAATAACAAGAAGACAGAGTCATTGGTATCCCCCGCCCTTTTAAATATGTGCATAAAATAACAAGAAGTATGTCATATACCTCACTAAACCTGAATGGTAGGGACTGACCATACCATTTTGTTTGTTTGTTTGTTGTTTAATGCCACACTCAGCAATATTCCAGCTATATGACGGCGGTCTGTAAATTAAAGAGTCTGAACAAGACAATCCAGTGATAGACATCATGAGCATCAATCCACGCAATTGAGATACGATAACATTGATCACCCAAGTCATTGAGTCTGACCACCATATCCCGTTGGCAGCCTCTTACGACAAGCAAAGTCGCCATTTACGGCAAGCATAGTCGCCTTTTATGGCAGACTGACTTACCTCAATCCATTAATGCTTGCAATATCTTTATCCAAGAATGTGAATTAGTAATGATACTTTTTATTAGATTTTTCATTGATAGCAATGTTAAATATATCAATATTTTCAAAACTGTAAATCATAATTCCATAACAAAATAACAAACACGTAACAATTCCTGAACCGATGTATGATGCCGTGCTTGTTATAGAAACTCTGCCTATGAGTAGTGTCCCGCTCTGTCAGAGCACCATGTCCCACAATCAGACAAGTCACCAAATCTGACCACCGCAAACTTAGAAATGCAAAATCTACCGTATATCGCTGTGTATAAGGCGACCTAACGTATAAGACGACCCCCCTGAACATGCCTTCAAAATCGACCCAAAATCCTATACTCCGTGTATAAGGCGACCTGGAAAGAAGCACATCACAAGTGCGCACACAAACCTTACATTTGCAATAAAAATATGTTTATCTTGCATTGTTTTTTCTACGATGATTGGACGACCCCCTTCTTCACCCCCTCATTCTAGGTACGAAAAACTTGCCTTATACACAGTGATATACGGTATAATTAAAAACACCTGAACATCAGAAGGCACCAGTTTAGCACATGTCTGATGTGTATACAAAGTTTCACAAAGAAATGAGAAACTATTGGGTTACATTATGGGAACGATCCTACCTCCATTTGAACCTAAGTCAAACTTATTGCCTTGGAAACAAAACAAAAATTACAAACATTCTTCATTAACAAAAGCATCCAGTTCGGCACTTGTATATACGCGTGAACAATGAAGAGATTATTGCACTAATATTTGTATCCTACTGATTATACAAAACAAGCGTCAGAATGAACTTGCTCTCTATTTACAGCTAGGCCACAGAAGGATACATTGTGTTTGGTGAGCGGCGGCAGTTGGAACATGGAGGGCGGCTGAGTCAGACGAAGGTCCGTGGAACCTGGCGACACACAATAAATATACAAGGTATCAGCCTCAGGAATAACCACATAATTACACAAGATCACAGACACAGGAAAAGCCACAGAAACATGGTTACACAACATGTACCAGGTCAACTACAAAAACAGCTTTTTAATACACAAAAACAATATGACTTGACTGATGAATAATGCCCCTCACCTGTTGGGTGGAAGTACTGATGAGCCCGGGGGTTGAACACTGTCCCACTCCGGAATGGCATAAACAGCGCCGGCAGGCTGACGTCTACAACAGGAAAACTTCAGTCAGGCATCTTACTATCCAGACCCCTGGTACCTCCCTCCTACACTGGCTTCCACCCACCCAAAACACAATCACTCACTCACTCACTCTCCCCTCCACTCACTCACTCACTCTCCCACCCACCCACCCACTCACTCACTCACTCACTCTCCCCTCCACTCACTCACTCACTCTCCCACCCACCCACCCACCCACTCACTCACTCACTCTCCCCTCCACTCACTCACTCACTCTCCCACCCACCCACCCACTCACTCACTCACTCACTCTCCCCTCCACTCACTCACTCACTCTCCCACCCACCCAAAACACACCCACTCACTCCTCACTCACTCACCCACCCACTAGCTCACTCACTCACTCTCCCCTCCACTCACTCACTCACTCTCCCACCCACCCAAAACACACCCACTCACTCCTCACTCACTCACTCACTCACCCACCCACTAGCTCACTCACTCACTCTCCCACCCACTCACTCACTCACTCTCCCACCCACCCACCCACTCACTCACTCACTCACTCACTCACTCACTCACTCACCAACCCACCCACCCACCCACTCACTCACTCACTCACTCACTCACTCACTCACTCACTCACACACTCACTCACTCACTTACTCACCAACTAACTCACCAACCCTTCCACACACTCATCCACTCACTCACTCACCCTACCACCAACCCACTCACTCACCAACCCATACACTCACGCACTCACCCACCCAAACCACACACTCACACACTCACACACTCACTCACTCACAATGGAGGAGACCAGATCAACTACACAAACAAATGGAAGCTGTACCTTTCAGAGCATCATACATGGCTTCCTCTCGTTTGCTGAGTCGATGTTGTCCAGCCAACTTCTTCTCCAAGTTGTCACGAATGTCGCGGAGTGTTCGTTCATTCAGCTCGGCCATGTGCTGTTTACTCTCCTCTTCGTACAACCGAAGTCGCTCCAAGAACTACAATGACATGTCGTGTTAATGGCTTCCTTTGAAACTGTACACATATACTACATATATACTCCTTATTTTCATTTTGTGTATCATACTTAAGCTGAACCAAAATATTTTTGTTTACCTAACAAACCTACAGTAAATTTAATAGAACTCTTTTGAAAACATTGTGCTTTCACCGAAATATATTTTAGATTCTTCTATTCTTCAAAAGTCTTTCCAGGGAATATATGAACTGATAATCAACTATGACAACATGTTTATTTCTTGCTGCGGCGATTAAGTTTTTATATAATATTTATGGACATGTCAACATGAAAAATAGCAAAATGAAAATAGGATTAAAATGACTTTTCTGACATTGTTTTTAATACTGACAACTCTAATGGTATAAAAAAAAATTAAAATAATAAGTTAACATGAAATATCACTCAAATTAGTTTGTGTTGAAAAGAGGATTCATGGCAAAATTTGCAATGCATAGTGAAGTGTTTACTACAAAGTTTTAAGCAATTTAGATCTATGAAAGTTACAGCCTTTATCCGGTTGTGCAGTTGTTTAGGCATGATTGCCATTGAGAGGAATAAATTCAGGAAGTTCAGACATGTTCATTTGAAAACAATTTCTTTTGTTCTTTGACCACCGAAATTGTAAAAACAAAGTAAAATTCTGTAAACCAACTGAAAAAAAATGAATTGCCAAAGATCACTTTGTGGAACGAGACCCTGGCCTATTGAGCAAAAACTGTAAAACAAGGGAAAAGATTGATCTAGCTTCAAGGAAAGGAGGCCTGCAGATTCACATTTGTGATCATGGCTGAATGGCTTGCCATTTTAAAAAGTGCCTCAAGTTTCAATATAGATAGCTACCCTCATATCAAAGTCCAATAAACTCACGTCTTGTGGCAAAGCCTCTCCCCACTTTGGTAGAGGGCGACCTACGCGGAAGTTCTTCCTTGGCTTGTGTGTGGCAGGAGGTGCTGGTCTACAAGGGAAACAACTCTGTCACTGTCATGTTCGTAACTGATGAGAGTACACTGTTCTGGACAAAGTAGTCATCACTACCTGATGTCTGTATACAATTACTTGTTATAACTGTAGTGTGAAAATGCTCTTTCAGCATTTCAGTGCAACTTAATGATATTCCTTGTATTACACTGACATGCAATCTCACTCCAATCCGATCTTGTACTCTGATACGACACTGTGTGGTTCACATAAGGGGCCTCCCTCCTCCGTGGTCTTGTGGTAGAGCGTCCTCCCGGAGAGCGGAAGCTCCGGGGTTCGATCCCCGGCCGCGTCATACCAAAAGACGTTAAAAGATGGTACTTGTTGTTACCCTGTCTGGGGCTCGACATTAAGGGGCTAAAACAAGGACTGGTCGGCTCGGAGTCAGTATACTGTGTCTGAGTGGGGTACTCATGTTAAACTGCGGCATGGTATCTCAGTGAGCTAGCACTTTAAATCGGCATCAGTCCGGACTAGTACAAGCAGCCACAGACACACACGTGCATGCACGTCGCTATATAAGTGCAATAATCTTGGACCCGACGTTAAACCCAATTTCACCTCACCCATAAGGTGACCTCTGCATGAACTTTGATCTGACACTCTAAATGAAGGATGTTTATGCTCTAGAGCCAATGAGATGTCAGCTTTCGAAAATGATTCTCATTTGTTTCTTTACCCCCTCAATTCAAAATTGTTATTTGCACAAAAGAAAACCCATACAGAACACAACTATTCCCTAAGTGGTACTCCCTTCCAGGTGAAGATCCCCTGGCACAGAACATGTGTACCCACAACAATATAATGGCACTGCCTTTATTACCTACATTTGGAACTGGTCAACTAAGTTTGTTTTCGAGATACAGAAATCAGACATACTGGCCTGAATGCTTCGCTGACTTCTCGCACTGAGTAATGGTAAGCCTTAATAGATATCATCCTGACGTGACGACCTCCTGTATCGTATCAGAATAACAACCTGAGATTGAGTCTGACGACTACCACTTACCTGTATTTGGTGCCTGGAGACACGGGAATGGTAACTGACACCTTCTCCGATTCTGCCATGTCCTTGTCTGGACTGTGAGCGGGAGTCCGTCGTGTGCTGGCTCCCCGTGACATGGCGCGTGGCGGAGAGGTGCTAGTTCTGCTGCGGGCCGACAGGGGGCGCATGTTTTGTTGCTGCTCCTGAAGTAGTTTCCGCTCTTCCTCCAGATGCGAGATGTTCTCCAGCAGAGCCTTCAGCTGCTTTCTGGGAACAGTGAGTGAGTGAGTGAGTGAGTGAGTGAGTGAGTGAGTGAGTGAGTGAGCAAGCAGGCGTGTGGGCGGGCGTATGTGTGAGTGAGTGAGTGAGTGAGTGAGTGAGTGAGTGAGTGAGCGGTCATGTGGGTGGGCGTAGAGGTGTGAGTGAGTGAGTGAGCGGGCAGGTATGTGGGTGGGCGTATAGTATAGTATAGGTATGTGTGGGTGGGTGAGTGAGTGAAGGAGAGGGTGAGTGGGTAGATATACTGTCTTATTTGTACGATAACACCGATATCTTCTGAAAGGTTGGTACAAGAACATCACATGTTCTTCCAGGTGTGCTAGGTATTATCATATATTGTAACGACAAAGAGGAAGCAAAAGGAAAGGTACTCAAAGAACTACTGTCATGGAACAGGTACACAACGTATGGACAATATATAGTTATTGTTTCTGCATGTATTTCACTTTGAGTCAAAAACAGATGTGTTTTGAAAGAAAATTACAGGATTGATTTTCTTAACACAGATACACGTGGAAATATACAGAAGGAGGTGCTCAGCTTGATGTGTACAGTACAAGGTATGACAACAAGGAACACAACTCACTCATACGAGTCCTTCATGCCCGTCATCTCCTCCGTGTGCTTCTTCTGCAGCTCTTCCACCTCAGTCAGGGCAATGGTTTCCTGTGGAAGAAAACAGAATCGCATACATATACCACATGGAACTGGTGATAACCATTACAGACAGATTTAGCCCTTTCCCTTTCCCTGGTCACCTCCCCTCCCCTCACCTCCTGGGGTTCTGGTGTGACCTCCATTGCTGACAGAGCCTGCCCCAACCCCCTCCCCTCACCTCCTGGGGTTCTGGTGTGACCTCCATTGCTGACAGAGCCTGCCCCAACCCCCTCCCCTCACCTCCTGGTGTTCTGGTGTGAACTCTATTGCTGACAGAGCCTGCCCCAACCCCCTCCCCTCACCTCCTGGTGTTCTGGTGTGAACTCTATTGCTGATAGAGCCTGCCCCAACCCCCTCCCCTCACCTCCTGGGGTTCTGGTGTGACCTCCATTGCTGACAGAGCCTGCCCCAACCCCCTCCCCTCACCTCCTGGTGTTCTGGTGTGAACTCTATTGCTGACAGAGCCTGCCCCAACCCCCTCCCCTCACTTCCTGGTGTTCTGGTGTGAACTCTATTGCTGACAGAGCCTGCCCCAGCCTCCTCCCCTCACCTCCTGGGGTTCTGGTGTGACCTCTATTGCTGACAGAGCCTGCCCCAACCCCCCTCCCCTCACCTCCTGGGGTTCTGGTGTGACCTCCATTGCTGACAGAGCCTGCCCCAACCCCCCTCACCTCACCTCCTGGGGCTCTGGTGTGACCTCCATTGCTGACAGAGCCTGCCCCAACCCCCTCCCCTCACCTCCTGGGGCTCTGGTGTGACCTCTATTGCTGACAGAGCCTGCCCCAACCCCCCTCACCTCACCTCCTGGGGTTCTGGTGTGACCTCCATTGCTGACAGAGCCTGCCCCAACCCCCTCCCCTCACCTCTTGGGGCTCTGGTGTGAACTCTATTGCTGACAGAGCCTGCCCCAACCCCCCTCACCTCACCTCCTGGGGTTCTGGTGTGACCTCCATTGCTGACAGAGCCTGCCCCAACCCCCTCCCCTCACCTCCTGGGGCTATGGTGTGACCTCTACTGCTGACCGAGCCTGCCCCAACCCCCCTCCCCTCACCTCCTGGGGTTCTGGTGTGACCTCCATTGCTGACAGAGCCTGCCCCAACCCCCTCCCCTCACCTCTTGGGGCTCTGGTGTGAACTCTATTGCTGACAGAGCCTGCCCCAACCCCCCTCACCTCCTGGGGTTCTGGTGTGAACTCTATTGCTGACAGAGCCTGCCCCAACCCCCCTCCCCTCACCTCCTGGGGCTCTGGTGTGACCTCTATTGCTGACAGAGCCTGCCCCAACCCCCCTCACCTCACCTCCTGGGGCTCTGGTGTGACCTCTACTGCTGACAAAGCCTGCCCAAACCCCCCTCCCCTCACCTCCTGGGGTTCTGGTGTGACCCCTATTGCTGACAGAGCCTGCCCCAACCTCCTCCCCTCACCTTCTAGGGCTCTGGTGTGACCTCTATTGCTGACAGAGCCTGCCCCAACCCCCTCCCCTCACCTCCTGGGGCTCTGGTGTGAACTCTATTGCTGACAGAGCCTGGTCCCTCATGTCTTTATGGAGGTCTTCCTTCGTGGTTGTGTTCAGGTCGATCCCCGTCAGCTCAAACACGACCTCATTGATGCCAAGGGTTCCTGCAAACCATCATGACAGTTCAAGAAATGCATACATAGAGATCACATGAAGGCATTATACCCAACTTGGTACACAAAGTACAACTTTCTTTTCCCCCAAAGTTTCTCAGAGATTTCAATAACAACATAACCTGCAAACAAGATCTATATAGTAGGGAAGCAACTCTTGCACTTAGTTCCAAGAATCCAAGTAAACAAAGTATGAAAAGTATCTTGAGTTTTTACAATTATTTGTACACTGACTGAGAAGTGTTTGGTTTTGATTTGATGTCTACATATTCCCGAGGCAAGGGAGTTAACTGTCTCTAAAAGTCCAGTTTCCACCCTTGCCGAACTAGGCTGGAATTTCTGGGCTTGATCATTGCACCACCAGGGGCTATTATGACTTATGTCCCTTCTTTGTCCCTCCTATTCACCAATCAGATTCCACCTCTGATATCACTTGCATTTGCTTCAAATAATATGGCGTCACCTAGTGAAGATGATAATCAAGATCTATGTTGTAATAAAACAGGTCTTACTTTGCGAAGTGTATCAAATCACGTGAGCACCTTGACTAAAAACATGAAAAGATGTGGAAAATATCTATTGATGCTAAGTTGATGGTAACACATGCTTTGCAAATCCTGCAATCGACCGAAATCTGCATGTCAATTGAATGCCGATTTTTGTTAATAGATTTTAATTGGACTATGCATATACATAGTGGCAATATAAATAATGGCAGCCGAGTTTGGCAAGGGTGGAAACTAGACTTTTATAGTCAGTTGACTCCCTTGCAGCTGGAAGATGTGATACCGAAGGACATAGGCTCCAGTGACTCAAGGCCCACCTGTTTGTCTGTTGAAGACTGGCGGCCTCCTCTTCCTGCCCCAGTAGAGTATGAGGGGCTGGTTGCCGACGGGCATGTGGACAGCATCAGACCGACCGCTGACTTGTAGGGAATACAGGGGGAAAGGCAGGGGGTCAACGTCCTTCACTGGGTCCTCCCGAGGCTTGGGAGTGCCATGCTCGGACTCGTCATCACCAAACGACAAGTCAATGGAGTCGGACAAGGACAGGAGGTCGTCCTCACGTCCTGCGCTGCTACGGGGGACGTCGTCATCCCCTTTAGGTGGGGGGTGGTACACTGTCCGCAGGTCCTGGCACAAGAACATAGGTGACGGAGTGTGTACAGAAATGACCCTCCCAAATGCTTGTCATGCTGTTTGTGATGTACGTTCAAATGTATAAAAACATGAATAAACATAACATCCAGACGTCATTGTTAATTATATTTTTCTGTAAAACTTTGATCAATCCAACAAAAACAAAAACATTATTAAGAAAAAAGAAATACAAATATTGTAATTGTCCCTTCTCTTCCAAACACCCAACATTACAAGATAATAATTTTACCAACAGAACTAAATAAAAATATTTTAAAACAGGGACACTCAACATCCCACCCCATGTTATCACTAAATACCAGATTATTAGATAATGAAAAGCAATTGAGACTTAAAATAATTAACAGAGGATAAGGCCATCTTCCTAATGTGGATAAACAGTAATCTGTCTGTAACTTTATAAATCCACATGCTTACCAGTTCCTTTAAGTCCTCAAGGTCTAAAGTTGCCATGGCGATCATTTCCTCAAACTGCCCATGATGGACTGCTATCTGCACATTGTTGGGCGTGTCGGACTTGGCCTTGTCAGTGATTAGCACCCCACGGGGAACCTCATCTGGTAGTCTCACCATGAACTCCTCGTACCTACAACACCATGAACTATGTACTACAACATCATGAACTATGTACTACACCATGAACTATGTAATACAACACCCTGAACTATGTACACCATGAACTATGTACTACAACACCATGAACTATGTACAACACCATGAACTATGTAATACAACACCCTGAACTATGTACAACACCATGAACTATGTACACCATGAACTATGTACTACAACACCCTGAGCTATGTACTACACCATGAACTATGTACAACACCATGAACTATGTACACCATGAACTATGTACTACAACACCCTGAGCTATGTACTACACCATGAACTATGTACAACATCAAACAACACCCTGAACTATGTACAACACCATGAACTATGTACACCATGAACTATGTACTACACCATGAACTATGTACAACATCATGAACTATGTACTACACCATGAACTATGTACAACATCATGAACTATGTACTACAATACCATGAGCTATGTACTACAATCCCATGAACTATGTACTACAATACCATGAACTATGTACTACAACACCATGAACTATGTGCTACAATACCATAAACTCCTCATACCCACATCATGAACTCCTCATGCCACATCACCATGAAATCTTTGTACCACAACATCATGAACTCCTTGTACTACATCATGAACTCCTTGCACCACAACATCATCACCATAAACTCCTTGTACCTACAACACCATAAACTCCTCGTACCACACCATGAACTATGTACCACAGCACCATATCTCCTCATACCACAACACCATGAACTCCTTGTACCACACCATGAACTCCTTGTACCACAACATCATCCCCATGAACTCTTCTTAAAAAACATCATGAACTTCTTGTACAACTACAATTGTTTCTATTTCCCTTAAATAGGAAGTCTGGTACCTACTTTTTGTTCGTTGACCCATCCTCTTCAACCGCTGCTTTTGAACCTGTGAAGATAGAAGTTGTCGTCTTATAAACATTATAAATGGTTTGTCTGCACCATGCACCATTCAACTGCAACACTTCGGCATTTCCACCTGCATGAAGCTGACATGTGATTTAACTGAAATAATGTTTATATAAATTCAATTATGGCATAGATTACTTAGACAGTGCAACCGTCAGAAAGTATGTGTGCACAGCAGTTGGTGGTAGGTAAGTATGCCTGTTATTCTACACACAACAGTTACCATGGGGACAGTACAAGATGGTGCTCCTCACCTGGGCTAGTTCTGCCTCCACTGGCTGCAGGGGGTCTCTTTTCTGACTTAGACATCTCAGCCACCTGCTCTGGCTGGAACACAGGAAGATACTGAAAATCATTACCATTATCAACATCAACTAACTTCCCTCTTCTCCCCTACAACTTCCTCCCTTCTCCATCCCCACTCTAGTCTTCTGTCCACCTCTTTCCTTCCACCTACAAGCACCTCCCTTCTCCACCTTACTTTCTCCCCTCCCCTCCTTCCTCTCCCCTGCAAGCACCATCCTTCTCCACCCCCACCCTACGCTCTCCCCTCCCCTCCTTCCTCTCCCCTGCAAGCACCTCCCTTCTCCACCCCCACCCTACTTCCTCTCCCATGCAAGCACCTCCCTTCTCCACCCCCACCCTACTCTCTCCCCTCGCTCCTTCCTCTCCCCTGCAAGCACCATCCTTCTCCATCCTCACCCTATTCTCTCCCCTCCCTCCTTCCTCTACCCTGCAAGCACCTCCCTTCTCCATCCCCACCCTACTCTCTCCCCTCCTTCCTCTCCCCTGCATACACCTCCCTTCTCCACCCCCACTCTACTCTCTCCCCTCCTCTCCTTCCTCTCCCCTGCAAGCAACTCCCTTCTCCACCCCTACTCTACTCTCTACCCTACCCTCCTTCCTCTCCCCTGCCAGCAACTCCCTTCTCCACCCCTACTCTACTCTCTACCCTACCCTCCTTCCTCTCCCCTGCAAGCAACTCCCTTCTCCACCCCTACTCTACTCTCTCCCCTACCCTACTTCCTCTCCCCTGCAAGCAACTTCCTTCTCCACCCCACCCTACTCTCTCCCCTCCCCTCCTTCCTCTCCCATGCAAGCAACTCCCTTCTCCACCCCCACCCTACTCTCTCCCCTTTCCCCCTCCTTTCTCTCCCCTGCAACCAACTCCCTTCTCCACCCCCACCCTACTCTCTCCCCTACCCTCCTTCCTCTCCCCTGCAAGCACTCCCTTCTCCACCCCCACCCTACTCTCTCCCCTACCCTCCTTCCTCTCCCCTGCAAGCAACTCCCTTCTCCACCCTCACTCTTCTCTCTCCCCTCCTCTCCTTCCTCTCCCCTACAAGCAACTCCCTTCTCCGCCCCACCCTAGTCCCTCCTCTCCATCTTCCCCCTGCATGCACCTACCTTTTCCACTGCCACCCTACTTACTCCCCTCCCCTCTTCCCTGCAAGCACCTATTAACCACCCCCATCCCCTCTGTCTCTCCCCACAGGCACCCCCCTCGTTCCATCTCTCACCCCCAACCACCCACCTCCTTGTCCTTCTCCTCATCCAGAACACCAGTCTTGTACATCTGATCTCTGTACGTCACCGAGCACTTGAGACCCTGATGGTTGAGGTCCTCGGGAGCAAACATCCGCACATGAAGGTAAAGGTCATACTCTGGCTCTCCCGTGTCGATGCTCATGTCTCGCATCTGAGGTTTCACCACAGGGGGCGGTGCAGTCTCACCAAACCGAACTTTCTGCGAGGAAAATTTTGCAGGTAACACAATATTCTATTTTCATAGAATTCATGCATGTTGTATTTTCCACTATTACCTCCTAGATAAAGAAGAATTCAGGGGGAAATGTAGCAAGGGGTTAACTCAGGTATAAGTGGTTTCTCATCAATCGATTGACTAAGATGGCTTAACTTTGGTGAGGCAGGACAACTGAGAGCTGACCAGACAGAGCTCACACATACCTTTGGTGAGTGAGTAGGATTTAAGGGCGCTTTGAACAGTATTTCTGTCATATCATGGCATATAAGCTTGATGTCAGAGGAAAGCCCAAAGTGATGCAGGTCTCAGACATTTACCACTTGATGATCATGTACCTTTGGTGAGGCATAATGACCGAGCTGATTGGCTACAGATCACGTACCTTTGGTGAGGCAGAACGACCAAGCTGATTGGCTACAGATCACGTACCTTTGGTGAGGCAGAACGACCGAGCTGATTGGCTACAGATCACGTACCTTTGGTGAGGCAGAACAACCAAGCTGATTGGCTACAGATCACTGACCTTTGGTGAGGCAGAACGACCAAGCTGATTGGCTACAGATCACATACCTTTGGTGAGGCAGCACGACCGAGCTGATTGGCTACAGATCACATACCTTTGGTGAGGCAGAACGACCGAGCTGATTGGCTACAGATCACATACCTTTGGTGAGGCAGAACGACCGAGTTGATTGGCTACAGATCACATACCTTTGGTGAGGTTGAACGACTGAGCTGATCAGATGATTCTTCATCCTCACTCTCCTGCGTCAGGTTGATGGTGACGGTGGGCACAGCTCCCTCCTCAGGGTCTTCACTCTCTGCCTCAGACTCCTCTTCTTCTTCTTCTCCTTCTTCGTCCTCCTTCTCTCCCCGGCTCTCCGTGGTGTCCTCCTGTACACATCAATATCTTGGTCACCAGACATTAATCAAGGTGTTCTTAGAGATCTTTTAACTTATGCAAAAGCACAAGGAGCTTATTATATAAATCATTATTGAACAATAATCATAACCAATATTTCTTAATGTTCTGTTGGGTTATTTATTGAAGAATAACAATCCTTTAAAATTTATCATTATTACGTCAAAACGAATCATTTTTAACTTCAGAAATAATAACTATCCACCAACATTCCAATTTATACAGAAGGAGCTCACTGAATTTTATAAGTTAACAAAATATATTACCATCATTAATTGTAATAGAGATTACTTATAAGCTTTGGTCAAGCTGTCATGCTTTATTTCTTTGAAAATATTGTTATGCAAAACAGTGTAAATGCTCTAGAAAACTTAAAAATTTAAAAAAGATATATATATTTCTTTACTGTTTTCTCGCTGACAACATCAATGGCCTCTGGTGAGGACTCGGTGGCCTTGGTGGTGTCAACAACCTCCTCCTCCCCGTCCTCCGAGTCTGAAGCCTGCTCCAGGGCCTTCGTGTACTCCTGCACATGCTCCAGACTGCAACATCATCCACAACATCATAATCAACATCATCCAGCAACATCACCACATAGTACACCCCTTAAAATAACCACATGTACCATCTTAACATGGAATATAGCCCTAACATCACCACAATTCAAGGAGGTATACTCACCCCATCTCCAACCCCCATCCCCCCAACCCCACCCCTTGCACCTGCATACCTCCCTCCCCGAGGAGTACTCACCCCATCTCCACCCCCCACCCCTGCACCAGCATACCTCCTCCCCTAGGAGTACTCAGTCCATCTCCACCCCCACCCTGTGCACCTGTATACCTCCATCCCCGAGGAGTAGTTACCCCATCTCCACCCCCCAACCCCCACCCCGTGCACCTGTATACATCCCTCCCTCCCTGAAGAGTACTCACCCCATCTGCACCCCACCCATCCCCGTGCACCTGTATACATCCCTCCCTCCCTGAGGAGTACTCACCCCATCTGCACCCCCCCCACACACACCTGATAACCTCCCTCCCCCTGTGTGAGGAGTACTCACCCCATCTTCGCCTTCTGTTTGATTGTCTCGATGAGGAATTTCCATCTGCGGCCATGACCTTTTGTTGATGTGACTTTTGAAAAGAGCTTCTCCCAGTTCATGATGCGCTTCTCCTTGGCTATTCTCTTGGACTGCAAACAGCAGGATTAGCATCAACACAAGAGTCATTGTTTCAGAATTAACAATTGGGCATCACCAACTACAAATGAAACAACTTGTATTACATAAGAGCTAATGTTGATCGACAAATTTCGGAAATTATTTAATTCTGATGGTTTTGACAGTAACTTTAAGGTGTGGCATAGTTGGTGGCCATGCAAATGTTGGTCAAGCTTTTGTCAGTTTGTAGATGACACAAGTGCCTGTTTTGTTACATCAATGAAAAAAGGTTGGGCTTACCGTATATGACCGCGGATAAACCGAATTTTGAGGACCAGAAAAAAGATTCTGTAGAAAGGGGTCGGCTTATCCATGGGATACACTTTCATGATAGTATTTTTCAGATTGTGATCCGACAGAAACATTGCCTGAATGACGGTCCGATAGATTACAACCCGAAAGTTTGGAAGTTGCCACGACTAGAGCCATTATTGTTATAAATTATCAATAAAGTTATTATTATACACCAATGTTGTCATAATTAAAAAAATGTTATGCATGTTACTACTTCCAATAATAAGTTTTCAACTGAATGTTCAAAGTTTATCGTTCTTCATAAACTCCACAATCTTTATATATAGGATGGAATGCAGTCATCATTAGAGATGATAGTTACAGCATACTCTGTGTTACACAACATTTTTACCATCAATTCTGAAAATGTTGGCAGAATTTCTGTAAAATCCAAAATGCTTATCCCTAGACTGTATCAACAAAGAGATCACCAAACACTTTTTCTCTAACTAATCTCCTGAAATATGGCTGCATATCTTATCTCGTCAAACAAAGCAATTACTTTGTCCACATGATAATGTCTACATGAGTGTCTTGTACAAGAGCCAGATTTACTGGCTACATGTGGATCTTTTTACCCCAAAATAAAAAAAATTCTATGTTAAATTTCTTTTTAAAAAATTGTATTTTTTTCTAGAAATCCAAATATTGAAATCAAACTTCGCACAGCACCTCTCCTGTTGATATAGAAAGTGTTCACCAAGTTTGAAAAGAATCTATGAAGTAGTTTTCAAGGCATAGGTTGGAAGGACGGACAGACAGAAGGGCTGATGGAAGGATGGGACTGAAGGATGGACGGAATTCCTTGGTATAACTATATAACCCTGCCCTTTTAGGTGGGGGTATAATTAAATCTAGTCACTAACACTCCATCAATTCATGCAGTGTTAAAGTATGCTTGGGTCAATTGGCAGTCCCTACAACTTTGTTTCAAGTCATTCAGCTGAGGTGAAATTGGGTTTAACGTCGCGTCCAAGATTATTGCACTGATATAGCGACATGCATGCACGTGTGTGTGTTTGTGGCTGCTTGTACTAGTCCGGACTGATGCCGATTTATAGTGCTAGCCCACTGAGATACCATGCCGCAGTATACTGACTCCGAGCCGACCAGTCCTTGTTTTAGCCCCTTAATGCCGAGCGCCAGACAGGGTAACAACAAGTACCACTTTTAACATCTTTTGGTATGACGCGGCCGGGGATCGAACCCCAGATCTTCCGCTCTCCGGGCAGACGCTCTACCACTAGACCACAGAGGTGGTCTCAAGTCATTCAGAAATTACGTGGTTGTCTAGAAAATCAAATTTAATGATGCATTTCCATCTGGTATTTCCTGACCCTATGACAAATAGACAATGTCTCAGTCTCACACTAACTGAAGCAGCGGGATCTAGACTCAACATGGACACAAGCTCATGAAGTTCCTCTTCAACAGCAGCTAAGGCTTAAAGAAATAACAGAAATGGTTCTCAGGCAATGGCTTTTAAAACATAGAGCTGGAAGGCGGTGTTTTTATTTTGTTTTGTTTTTTGGGTTGTTCAAACTAGTATGTAACCAAAAAAACAGTTGTTAACCAAATAAACGTTGTGTAACCAAATAAACAGTTGTGTACAATCAACCTGGGAAAGGGCCTACCTACATAAATGTATTCCTTGATGAGTAAAAATACTGGAATACAGTATTTGACTACCGTTGGACTTGGAATATTTTAGGATTTTTTGGTTGTTTTTTCAAAATAGAGATAAAAATGATGCGGGCGGTGCCTGAGAACCAAAACTATTATTCTTTTTAGCCTATATGAGAGAAAAAAATTCAATGAATCTAAAAAAACATATTGTGTCCATAACATTTTTAACCCAAATAATCTTGGGAGAACAAACTATCAACTTAACATTCCCTAGTCCTCACATGAGCATCGACAAGCTGCAGTCTCTTGATGGCGATGTTGAGCTGCCGTTGTTTGCTCTCGTAGTCTTCATGCAACTTCTTGAGGGCAGCGCTCTTCTCCTCCCACGGCGTGGAGTACACACGCACCAGGCGTACCAGCTCGTTCATGGGCATGTTCATGTCGCTGATGCTGCAGTAGAAGAAACAGTCACCGCGGACCACATGTATTACCTGCACTGTAGGGATGACTATCTGAACCTGGATCGTTATTTTAATATCAGTTATGTTATCTTCTCTTTTAAGATTCCTTGGTACATATAGAAAGATGTCTAGAGCCAAGAAAGTAAGAAAAACAGTCAAGTTTGGCCTAATTTCAGGAAATAAATACACAGCCTATAACACAAACAAAAATGTGTATTTCCAATTAAAAATAACACAAGGGTAAAACAAAAAGTTCAAAGGTCTGATTATAGGCACTAAGTTAGAAATTAGAGGAATGACCCTATCAAAAATTGGGTAGTATCTGTTACCTGCGGAAGACTTTGGCTGTGGTGAGGGCGAGTTTGACGAGGAGTGTTGGCGGGAGGGCGTGGCCTAGAAGCTCATCTTTCAACTCCAAAAGCTGCAAAAAACAACACTATACCTGTATGCCTCGTTACACATTGTTACACCTGATTGTTGTTTTATCTGTTAATGCACAGCGCCAGGCAGGGTAACAACAACTACCACCTCTTAATGTCTTTTGGAATGATGTGGGCAGGGATTGCACCACCAACCACTCCGGGCTGACGCTCTATCCACTAGACCATGGATTCAGTGGAGATAATTGGTTCAGATTTCTTTGTTTGTTTTTGTTGTGTAACGCCGCACTCAGCAATATTCCAGCTACGAAGGCAGTCTGTAAATAATGGAGTCTGGACCAGACAATCTAGTGATTGATATCATGAGTATGATCCACACAATTGGGATGTGATGACATGCATCAACCAAGTCAGCCAGCCTGACCACCCGATTCTGCTAGTTGCCTCTTAAGACAAGCATAGTCACCTTTTACAACAAGCTTGGGTTGCTGAAGACCCATTCTAACCCGGATCTTCAAGGAGCCCAGATTTCTATGAATATTTTTACATCCATCCCAAGTATTAGTTTCTGATTTCAGAGAAAATTGGCCATTATCAAAGTCTATAGGAAGACAAAAGAGACATAACTTACAGAGAAAGTGCAACAACACTGTAGCTCACCTGGATATGAGTCAACAGTTAAAACTTTCAACAGAGACAGCCACATACGAGTTGCTGTCGGCATTGATATTCAACTATTTCCTGCATGAACACTGAGGGCTAAAGACTGACACTAAATTCTAAAGATTTGAACAAAATATCATATCACCAAAAGAAGAAACAATCATGTCAAACTTCAGCTTTGCCAGTCTGGCAGTTATAGAGAAGATGTTACAGAGCCCAAACTGCCTTTTGAGAGAATTAAAGAGCATGGTCAGATCACAAAGATCAAAACACAATCAAACTTTAAAATGTCATTAAAAATGGAACATATGGGTTGAGACCAGTTAATACCAAATGTCATTACATTTTGAACACGAATGGCTGAATAAATGGCTGTCATGTGAGCCATATTGAAAACTGGATTTATAGCTCTTGAACAAATTCAGGGGACATCACTGGTGGGAACAAGTATATGAAGTCTCAGCTTCATTGGTTCACTGGTTTCTGAGACGGTATTGACAGTGCGAGAAATTACATTTTGAGAGAATCTAGAAAATGCTGAGGTCAAAGTGTATAGGTCAAATAAAGGATAAATTTTAAAATAATAAAACATGGGACAGATGTGTTGAGCCCCACTACTGACCATGAAACAGTTTCATTATAATTATTAATTATTATTATAGAGAATACTACACTCATTCTCATTAGATATCATTTTTACGAAAGGAGTGGACTTTCTAAGGTATCTGACCGAGCGAAAGCGAGGTCAGGTACCATAGAAAGTTCACGAGTAGGTGTGACAGAGGTCACGGTTATCCAATCAAAACGAATAAAACAAGGTCAACCTTGTACGACACACATGTGACGTACGGATTTAGTATCTTACCACCTGTATCTTCACCACGTGGGTAATAAATAATAATATTGACCATGTGTTTAGTTACCTCCAGCAGGGACACCTGTACTAGCGCTGTGGCGTTGAGCACCCCGTCACACAGCCCTTCAAACTTGTTAGGTTCTCCTCGTACAGCACCAGGGTCTCCGTCTTCATCTTCTGAGTCTGACTCTGAGTCCGAGTCCACTTCGCTCTAGTTGGAGGAGAGAGGACAACATGCAGCAGCTTGTTACAGGTTGGCAACGGAGCACACATTGGAAACAACAAATAGGCAGTCTCACGTGAGAAAAGTTTTCTCAAAGTAGAAACGCCAGTTATTTATGAGGGACAGTTTGTCTTACTGAAATCTACTAAAACTGATAATCCTGTAGCAGGGTTTGCTGTGGCTACATATATTTCCAAGCATAGTACTGCCAACCTAAACACTAACGGTAATGATCCTTACCTCTGGTCCCTCTGAGCTGTATCTGGTCTCTATATCCTAGTACAGTACATGTATCGCCAACCTAAGCACTAATGATGCTTACCTCTGATCCATCTGAGCATCCTGTATCTGATCTCTATGTCCTAGTACAGTACATGTACTACCAACCTAAGCACTAATGATGCTTAGCTTTGCTCCCTCCGACCGTTCTGTATCTGGTCTCTATATCCTAACACAGTACATGTACTACCAACCTAAGCACTACTCATGCTTACCTCTGCTCCCTCCGACCGTCCTGTATCTGGTCTCTATATCCTAGCACAGTACATGTACTACCAACCTGAGCACTAATGATGCTTACCTCTGCTCCCTCTGAGCGTCCTGTGGCTTCTTCCTCCTCCTCTTCATCATCTTCCTCCGCAAGTGACTCCAAGTTCTTCCCTAAAGCTGAAGCAAACACGTCCAAATGAGCATATAGGTCCTACATACTGCCTGGAAACTTAGAGCATTACTATGAGGTATATGCACATATCACAGCACACTGGCAAAATGAACAATAATTACAAGGAATCATAAATTCAGCATCATTTATTACTTTCTTTTAATATTTGCATTTTACAACTTTTGTGAATTTAGTTCTTCGTATGATTCCTGTTTTAAATTCACACCAGAATGTATTTCTGGCCAGTGATAACACATTTAATTTTTCATACTTCTGTGAAGAAAAGTTACTATGGCCATAAACTGGCTGTGTGGCCCTATGCTGTGAATGAATGATTGCTATTGTTTATTGTATTTCTACATGACAGATTTTATTTAGAATTCTTTCAATAGATGTTTTAGGACTTGAATGAATATTGGTTCACGCAAAGAAGTTCTGCCTTGATATTGCTGGATTAATACAGAGTGTGGCATAAAACAACATTTACTCATTGTATGTCATCAACTCATATAAACATTGTCATCTATTCTAGTGTGAACTATGTGATATATATTACTAAAGGTCAGTCAACTCTCGTTACGCTGACTCTGTTTTCTATAAAAAAATATAATATTACAAATTCTATCAGGTGGTCCCAACAATTCCATGCTGGCACAGATGGCTAACTGATACATATGCTCTCTATAAATCAATATTAATAATATTTGAACTATTAATAACATTTATTAAAATGTACAATCATCAAGAATATTTATCATATCATTTCCCCTCATGGCTATAATAAAAAAGTTGTAATCGCTTGAGTTGGATATACCTGCATATATTCCCCTATAAATAGCTTTCTCCGTCCCTTTCTTGACACTAACAAAACAGCTGAATCTGACAAAAAAATAACTACAAATTAAAGTTGGTAGGTTGGTTTGTTGCATAACGCTGCACTCAGCAATATTCCAGCTATATGACGCCAGTCTGTAAATTATCGAGTCTGGACCAGACAATCCAATGATTAATATCATGAGCATCGATCACCACAATTGGGATCGATAACATGCATCATCCATGTCAGCGAGCCTGACCACCCGATCCCGCAAGTCGCCTCTTACCACAAGTATAGTGGCCTATTATGGCAAGCATGGGTTGCTGAAGACCTATTCTATCCCGGATCTTCACAGGTCTACAAATTAAAGCATCCTTAATTGACGTAATAGTAACATAGAGAAGTTCAAGACAACATATGAGACCCATCTGCTGTCGTCACCCGTGAATAGGTCTCCCCAACACATGCTTGCCGTACAGGCGACTATGCTTGCAAGTGGCAACTAACGGGATTGTGTGTTCAGGCTTGCTGACTTGGTTGATACATGTCATCGTATCCCAATTGCGTGGATCGATGCTCATGATATTAATCACTGGATTGTCTGGTCCAGATTAAATTATTCACAGACTGCCGTCATATAACTGGAATATTCCTGAGTGCGGCATTAAACAACTAACAAACATCTGCTTTCGTACTATTGATTATTATAACATCATTCATATTCCTAACAATGTTGAATTCAAATGAATCCTAACTGTATCCGTGCTCATATGACCGTGTCCAATACTAAACACAACGGGCACCTGCAGAAGATCAAGGAGGAGTATGCGTACTTATACTGCAATACGTATTCATCAATACATACAATCGACACAGACGACAATATACACACTATGGAGCTAGACCGGTTGACATTTCGTATTTCTGGCATGAAATATATTACAAATATACCTCTGTCCATTATGAAAGTCTTGCGGAGTAAACGTGCTCAGAACTGGAGATATTCAGCGATAACCCGCCTCACACACAATCAATCACAACACTGGCCGCCATATTGTATTAGGTGTTGCCATGTAGTTAGTCACGTGACTGCCCGTCAGATTTCGTTTTGATACGGATAATGACTTATACACTGTATGATAAAGTAATTATTTCACAATACCTTTCACGCATATCCCTGTATTAATTACTACGTATCAATTTTCACAATAGATCGTGACGTTATTATATAATCATTTCATGACCAAGCATGGGTTTCATTTCTAACCCGAATCTTCATATTTGTCCAAGTCTGATACTAAAAGTTATTTTTCTAAATTTTCCTGAAATCAGTTGTTCACACCATTGATAACCCTGACAGAATTTGCTCCTCTGCACAGATCGGGCTTTACTGCGATCTCTCACCCTCATCTGCTTCGGGGGCGGTCGGGTAGCCTAGTGGTTAAAGCGTTCGCTCGTCACACCGAAGACCCGGGTTCGATTCCCGACATGGGTACAATGTGTGAAGCCCATTTCGGGTGTCCCCCGCCGTGATATTGCTGGAATATTGCTAAAAGCGGCGTAAAACCACACTCACTCACTCACTCATCTGCTTCGACACCTGAAGATCCGGGGTAGGTCTTCAGCAACCCCGGATCTTCACGTAAAAGGCGACTATGCTTGTCGTAAGAGGCGTTGAGCTGGATCGGGTGGTCAGGCTTGCTGACTTGACTTGAATGTCTCGATCTCAATTGCGTGGATCGATGCTCATGATGTCAATCACTGGATTGTCTGGTCCAAACTCGATTATTTTACAGACCGCCGTCATAAAGCTGGAATATTGCTGAATGCGGCGTTAAACCACAAACAAACAAACACACACACAAACAAACGATCGTCTTGTCTAGATGGTGTAGATGGTCCACAAATGTCCGTACAAATGTAATGGCTACCATGTTTTCTGAAAATCGTTTGATATCCTCATTTAGAGGGCATTCCAATCTTCACGTAAATTCTCAACGCTGCACGAGATGGGTAGTCACCTAGCTACTGTAAGATTTATATTTGGTAGTCTAGTTACCCCTGGACCAGACCATTCAGAGCAACACATTGGCTTACAAGATTTCTCAACGAACTCCATATAGAGTTCCCATGATTTATAGTGCAAAATAAAAAGAATGTGAAATAGCTTGGGTTGTCCGTCTTTGGGACTCTAATGCTGAAGAGTAGTACTTTATAAGTGAGTGCGTGAGTAAGTTGGGTTTAACGCCGCTTTTAACATTATTCCAGTTATATCACGGCATGTCAGCTTGATGTGTGAGGAAAGCCCGAAGTGATGCAGGTCTCAGATGTTTACCACTTCGGTGAAACCCACGAGCACGGGTATGGTGCTGACTAACCCACAAACATAATCGGGGCGAACCGGGATTCGAACCCACAATCATAGGTTTCTGGCGTGCCCAAGGGACGCAACTCTGCACAGCGAATCGTGGCGCCTTAGACGACTGGGCCGCCCGTGTCCCTACTTCATAAGTCCACCTCTATTTACAGGGAAGGATTCCCGTAGTGTTGTCGTGAGGAAGGAAAGAATGTATTCTCCAAGTACAGGGACACCATCAAGTCGATTAAAAACCTCTTCACATACTTTCCAAGCAGTCCTTTCCATTCTGTCATCTTCAAGGATTACATGTTAAACCTTTAATTGACGGGGCTTATATGTCCTCATCAATCAAATTTTCACATTTCTAGGTAGAATTGGATCACTCAGCTTTAGAATTCTCGCATGCTCTATGCGTTTATATTTTATAATCAGACTTAAATATACGACACATTTAAGCATCTCTAAACCTGACTTCATTGTTACTGACGCCGACTCCTGGTCCAGCATCTGTCAGATCGCACCATCCAGCTTTAACTTGTCAATATGTTTGTTTGTTGTTTAACGCCGCACTCAGCAATATTCCTTTTATATGACGGCGGTCTGTAAAATAATCGAGTCTGGACCAGACAATCCATTGATTGACATCATGAGCATCGATCACCACAATTGGGATCGATGACATGTATCAACCAAGTCAGCGAGCCTGACCACATCAAATCGCACCTTTACAGTACCTAGGAATGTTTTATTTTCGTTCAGCCTTTGAAGAGTTAATTCTGACATGTTCTTTTGAGATTTTCGCCGTGGTATTTATTTACACTATACCCCTTGTGTATGTGAAGCGTATTTCAGCATTAACTGTCGCTGGAGATATTGTTTGTTTCCTGTTTAACGCCGCACTCAGCAGTATTCAAGATATTTGGCGTCGGTCTGTAAATAATCAAGTCTCGCCAGACAATTCAGTCATTGATATCATAAGCATCAAGTCAGCGAGACTGACCACCCGATTCTGTTGCTGGAGACCCATTCTAAACTGGATCTTCACGGATTGTTGGGATATAATTGGACTATTTGTCACTTGTGTCATTTAACAACAATGTAAATGTGTTGTTGTAAATACAGACAAATCTAATTGTGTTTGCAAGTTTGTCAGTTCGATTATAACAGACACAGAACTTACAGGCAATCAGAAAACTTATCAAGCAGGAGCTAGTGTTGATATTTTACGGACGCTTCAACGAGTAGATCTAGCGCTTCATTTTCAAAAGCGAGGCATATTATTTGTACCATGTCAGTTGTTCGTCGGGAGTTTTGTAGTGTAGTCAGTGAGCTGGATATGTCTGAGATATTTCAGATACAATTAAGATTTTCTCGTGTCAAGAAATAGTTTATTATTAAATAATATTATGTATTGTTATTGACGATTTTGTGCACAATGTATTACACATGGCCAACAGTAGTCAAGCATCTGCTGCAGTTGTTGCAGAACTGTCCATAATCAGTTTTGTCTGCAGTGAACTGTTTTGAATTTTCTCACATAGCGTGGTATCTGAATAACTTATCAACACTCTCTTGTCCGACCATGTACATATATATGCTCTCCGCCTCATAGCATTCTTTCAGCTGATGAAAGAGTAAGCATATACTCCGAAACGCTGTTTCGTCATAATGCAAACCAATGATATTTAAGGGCTGGCTTCGAGTTATCATTAACCATGAGCTCTAATTACAGTAAAGTGTTGGCTTCTGTTGTCTTTTGTTAATCACCCTCTTTGGCAAGTATCTGTTGGACTCCCTTGTTAGTTTCCACCATTTGTTATCTTAATAATTGTGTTGTCCTTACATGTACATATATATGCTCTCTGCCTCATAGCATTCGTTCACCTGATGAAGGAGTAAGTATATACTCTGAAACGTGTTTCGTCATAATAAAGAAGTTGACATCCATATATTCTCTTCCTTATGTGTATCACGTGTAAATGCCATTAAGAGTTAACACTGAATCTCTTAACACAATATTTTGTGTGTGTACCCAGTTGCCAAATCACTGAAGTCTGAAGTCCCCACCTTCCAGAAATTACTGCTAAATACATCTATCGAGCCCAGGCAATTTAACTTGAATTAAATCATAAATCTCTGGTAAAAGGTTAATGAAGGTTAATGACGTCTTGCAGGACATGGAGTATGAGTCTTGTGTATTCAAGTCAACATTGCTCTTCCACCGCCTTCCTATATTACTGAAAAGAAGTTAAGGACCACTTGACTCTTTCATATTACTATAGTTAGTCAGGCACGGCAGATTAACCATAGCAATATGAAAGAATCTGGCATGGCTTAACTTCTTTTCAGTAGTGTAGGACTGTGGGTTATGCCAGCATCACTGCTTGATGAGCTCCCAGCTGAGTGAGTTTGGTTCAACGCCGCTTTTAACAGTATTCCAGTTATATCGCGGCGTGTCAGCTTAATGTGAGAGGAAAGCCCGAAGAGATGCAGGTCTCAGACGTTTACCACTTCGGTGAAACCCACGAGCACGGGTATGGTGCTGACAAACCTAGAAACATAATCGGGTCGAACCAGGATTCGAACCCACAATCATAGGTTTCTGGCATGCCCAAGGGATGCAACTCTGAACAGCGAATCGTGGCGCCTTAGACGACTGGGCCACCCGTGCCCCCAGCTCCCAGCTGACCCAGCACACACCACCAATCATGCCAATGTTGCTTGTTGCTTTAATAATGCTGCACTCGGCAAAATTCCAGCAATATGACTACGGCCCATAAATAATCGAGTCTGGACCAGGCTATCCAGGGATTGATATTATCGATCGCGTAGGGTACGATGTAATGTAATCAACCAAGTCGCCCAGCCTGACCACTGTCTATGTAACAGTCCCTTACATAGGTCACTGGGCACCAATTCTAACCTGGATTCCCTGATAGTGGACAGGCGTACACCGAGAGTCTTGGTCCCACACAGCAATACACACTGCAGGTGAGGTCTTCATACTGAACACTCGGATACTCCAGAAACAACAATACACAGATTGATTTTTATTAAAAGTGGTTATTATTATGAAACATTAAATTGCAATGCACATAGAATTATAAAAAAGGGGCTTTCGGGAACAGGTATCAAATCAGAAGTCAGGTGTCACAACACGAAGAATTCACAGCGAAACAATTTCACAAAGCTGAAGCATCCATACACCTCTTGTAACTTATGGTTAGCATCAGTGCCAAGTCACCTGACTTTCACAATGTGATATACAAAACCAAACCTATAAGGCAAAGTTATTAAATCAACATATCCTGACCTTACTCTAACATCAAACAAATTGCAAATAAGAATAACAATAAACAAATAAGAATCCAATGAAGGCTGTCCTCATTGACTGGTAGCATTTGAGGTCTATAGTTCTGAACCAGTTGTCAAGGTTTCCATTTTGCTACAAATTACAACTGAATAAAACAGGCTGAAAATGTAAACATAGAAAACTTATTTGTCTTGTTCAAGTAGAACTCACTACAAAGTCGGAGGACCAGTGTAATTAGGTCTACACTGGTCTTCTGGATTAGTCTTTGAAAAAAATAAATTCTTAGTCTGTTTATACAGTACGGGGCGGTTGGGTAGCCTAGTGGATAAAGCGTTCACTCGTCTCGCAGAAGACCCGGGTTCGATTCCCGACATGGGTACAATGTGTAAAACCCATTTCTGGTGTCCCCCGCCGTGATATTGCTGGAATATTGCTAAAAGCGGCATAAAAACCATACTCACTCACAGGTATGTTCCTATGAAATATCAAAATCACTGTATCAGTATTGAATGCTTTTAAGTGGAACAAACATATGTTTTCTCATTGTCATCAGATCCATAATATAAGGCCACAATGAATCAACTACCCCCTATCATCTTTCAGATAACCGGTACGTCTGGCATGAAGCACACACTTCATCAAGCCCTACTTCCCCTTGGAGAGAACTGCTATTCTGGGACTTGCCACCTTGCTGATGGAGGAAATCTGCATGACGACGAATGACAAGTCATGTGGTTCATCTGATCTACTGAGGCAGGGGTGTTTAAAGTGAGGCGGATTGAACATAAAACTTCCAACCAATTCATAAAGGCCTTTTTAGGTACAACATGGTAATCTTCCATAATGGGGACAAGAAGCACATACTGATCAGAAACAGCCAATTTGTGGATCATCTTGGTGAGAAAATAATGAACGACAAAAAGGGGCTTAAAAGGTTTAATGTTTGAATATTTGTATATACAAATCAGCATATATACATAATGGCATATAACCATGTAAAGATGAATAGATCAGACATGAACATTACATGTTCACTTCAATATTGACATCTGATATAGGATAAAAAATTGTATATTTCTTACCATGCTAATTGATACAATGTACATGAAGTACATGGTTTAGTTATTGTGAAAAGGGTAACAAAAAGTGGGCCCACATATTCCTTTCTCAAATTCATATTCTCTTATAAACACTTAACAGTTCTAAATTATCCACAAAGATCAAATTAACTCAACTTCAGACAAGAGAACTATGACTATCCAATGACTGACATACATACATTTGTATCAATACAAATAACGGTAATATCTTCAACAGGGGCCAAAATGACTGTAACAGGATTGTCTAGCAGTAGTGAAAAATAATACATAGCTTTCTGTACTGTCCAGTTGATACATCAATAGCTTAATCATCATGTTTTCTAGATGTGAGTTACAAACAGATGAATAAAAATGACACATACTGCTATAGATCTCGACATGGGAATTATACACGCTGTTCAATGAAGAGAAACTGACTGACAGTGGCACTATTTCTTCTTCTTAAGGGCTTCAAACCTCTTGGTTAGGTCATCGAAGTCGACATCCTCTCCTCCAGCCGTTCCGGACCCGACCGTGTTACCCAGGTCAGGCAGGGTATTGGTGGGCACAGCGGGCAGATCGGGGATATTAAAACCCGGGTTGGGGGGCATGGCTGGCTTGACGTTGTTGTCATAAATCTGGTCCTGACTAGGGTATGGGGGGTAGGCCCCACTTGGCTCTGGGTAGCCAGGGGTGTTGTATGATGGGGGTGGCGACATACTGGGGTTACCAGCAGGGGGTGCATCAGGCAGTGCAGGGGGGACTTTACCAGCGGGGTAAGGTTGCTGAAAAAAGAAGGATGATAGGATAAGTTTTTGCTGCAGTATGATATCGATTACGTACATAACAGGAAGAAAAACAAGTAAAAAACATTCCATCTAAAGTAGCTGTTTACATTTTTGTTATAAACATGGTAATTGTATTGTTAATTTCATATAAAACAAAACACATGTCTCATGTGTAAAATAGGACAGCATTAAGCACATGGCTGTACATAGATTGGTTAATGTAAACTAAACTATGTAACGAGTATACAAATGTAGGTGTAATTTACATTTCAAACAGGAAAAGAAAATAGCGTTTAATATTTGATAACAATGCTGGAAATCAAGTCAGACCATGAGTCTAAAATTTGTAACTTTTAACGATTGGTAACCGGTAACTATTTCTAAATTAACATTATTCTTAAAACAAAAATATTCCCCTTTTGACTTGAAAAATGTTTTTAACATTGTGGTCAATATAGAACTATAACCTGATGAAATTTAATATATTATGTAACAGATACAAATCAACTTTACAGAAAGTCTACTTGCACAATAAGTGATGGCCATAAACCATAAAATGTCAAAACTTTTACTGCAGCCCTTGGAATACCTTTGACATGTTTAACATTATGGAAATTGGCTAGCAGGTGAGTGGATTTCTATCTATGTAACAATAACACTGTATCTACTGCCATCGCACCTGTGGGGGGTAGGAGAAGTTGTTGGCTGGGTAAGGAGCTGATGAGGCAGCGGGTGCAGGTTGAAGTGCCCCCATACCTCCACTTGGGCCGGATCCTCCTCCCCTGCCTTTCCTGTCTTCATTTCCAAAATCTATCAGCATGTTCTCTGCCAACAGTATCTCATCACATGCCATGACTGATGCATCCGGTTCAAAGGGGACATTGTAAGACCTTGCAATCTCAGCCATATATCTTTCCACCAAAGTTTTGGGTGGTGCTTGAACACTGAGTTTGTGCATCACTTTCTCACTGACATTGTTCAGAGAATTTGATCGACATGCCATGCCAAATTCTTTTCCATATTTGGAAGTAAATTCATCGGCAACTGCTTTCAGTTCTTGGACATCGGCTTGGAGTCTGGGTGTTGCCCATAATATGCTTGCAATAGATTCCTCTAATCCAGGATCAAGTTCTCTGAAGAAAATGAATAAGTAATGTTATCGAATGATTTTAACATGTTCATGTATAACCAATTCTTACCCTGAAGACATGAAACTTGTGGGCAGAGAGGGGGATAACAACTTCATCAGGTTCATCATGTTCATCATGTTCATCATGTTCATCATCTTCATTACCATTTACCATTAACCATTACCATTAACAAGGCAGGGCTACTCACTTAATCAGATAATTAAAATGATCACTAAATGATTAAGCCGCACAACAGAGTAATGGGACTTGGTGTGATAACAGAGACCTCACTAGGGTAACAATATGGCAATATAACGATCAAGGGGTCTATCCTTGGTTAATGATTGTCCTATAGCTCAGTAGACCATGCTTGGTAGGTAGGTGCTGTCATCCTTGTTAATGGCTGGATTGTTTTTGTATATTTCTATAGGCCAAGTTTCTTGAAGCTTCCCTGTTTTTGTTGATTGATGTTGGTGTGGATAAAACTTTGTTCTTTCAGGAAGTCTGAAATATCTTTTAGTCATAACACATCTATCATTTTCTCACTTAATGATTAATTAAACTTCGTAACCGACTCAACATGGTCAAAACGTCAGAAATGGCCTTCAGGGTATCTTACTTTTGTGTCTGAATCAGTCCAAACCGTGCCAACAGCAAGTCACAGTACATCTCCAACAGCTCCATAGCTTCTACCAGATAATCTTCTCGAATGATGTGTTCCACCCTGATTCTGGCTCGATCTTCCTTACCAGCTGTAATATAGTCGGCGATTTCCTTTCTTGATTTCAAAGCTATTTCCGTCTTTTTCTTTTCTAACAACTTCAGACGGTTTATCACCAGTCTCAGGTTGGTTTTGAGTTTAGTGTAATTAGGCCCGCTCTTGAACATGGCGAAAGTTTACAGTTAACTTTCAACGACAGATAAATCCAAATGTCACCTGAACTAAACGTGGGTATGAATCAAAACACTGTTTATATAGAAACAAGTGATCACAAGACTCTTAGGTCAGACATGTTGTGACGTCACTTCCTAGGCTCCGGTACAGCGCACTCTATACCGACGCTTCTTCATGTTCATTGAATATTCATCTGTTTGAGGAACGGCTTTATCGCTGTTTGGAGCTAATCTATATTTATAAAATGATGGATAGAAATATAGATTTGAGTTCCGCAATCATGCCCACATTCCAGATGCAAAGCTCGTTAGCCAAACAAAGTGTACCGTTAGATATTATTCTTGTGTAAAAACAAAACCCGGCATAGTTCTCCAAGCACTTATAAGCTGAGTAGAGTTTCCTCAAGAAATTAACAAAATATAATGAAACAGAAAAAAAACCCGTGTTTTATTTTTCTCTTTATTTATTATATTATTTACATCTATATTAATAGTTTTCAACAAGAACTAATTACATATTCATTCAGCCTTCAGAATGAAATGGAACTATGCGTTTGCGATGATTGCAACACTCGCTGGAGGGGACACAACTCTGTGTGACAGAATAAGTCAGAGTTCAAAGGTCTCAGGTCAACGAGCTGTGATATCTCTTGACAGATTGGTGTTATAAGCCTTCATCCAAGGTAAGCACTTTTCATCGAGCATACATTTATTTCACTTTTATCGCAAGTGTCACATGAAAGAAATATTCAGGAGTAAATGTTCATGTCATCGTCCAAAATACAAACTATGTGCAGCAAGAACGCCCCATCACTGCTCTCATGAGCAAGTAAACCAGGTGATATCAGTAACCTGTACGTCGAGACAGTTGACCTACTTTGTTTTAAAGCCCTATATGCAAATAATGAAATAAGAGTCTTTTTAATAGAAATAATATCTTAAAATCTCAGCTGTTGAATGTCTCAATGTACCCTTTTAAATTATATCAATAATAGTACATATTCATAAGCTATTAAAGGTGGGTTTTATGCCTTTACCCTGGATCTATATCACCTGATATAAACTCTGCTTGCAAAAGAAAATTTCAAAATCAGATTTTGCGAGGATTTGATATTTTATCATACTATGTTTTCAATAATAAATCGGCAAAGAAAGATTTCTTCTACAGCTTCTAGACACATTTATTTAGGAGACAGTTTATCTAATTTGAAGGCTCATTCACTGACATGCCCCAATGACATCACTATTTTCTATGGTTCAGTTCACTAGTGGCTCCATCTCTGTATATTAGGTCAACTGTATGCTAGGGCTGGGACAGGTCCAAATTTACAACCCGGGTACCCACCACCCTTTTACCCGACCCTACCTGGGTACCTGCTGTAGATATTTAGAGATAGGTACAAACTGTCCAATTTGGAAACATTTAACCACAGCCCAGGTTTTACATGTATTTAGATTCACGTGTAAAACGATCTGGTCATGCATACATTGAAGTTTACTGCATGAAGTTTTATCTTTATTCAAACATATAAAAGTCCGAAGGAATGGATGCATTGTCAGAAAGAAATGGGAACATTAGTGACTTATAGTGTAACCATAGAGTTTTAGATAATTTTTGTCATTAAACAATATATCATGTGACTAACCACGGGTCCGGGTAGTCCTGTGGGTACCCGGGTCCTGCTCAGGACCCACCCCACCCGACCCGAGTACCCAAATTACCCGTCTTAGTCCTACTGTATGCTATCATAGCATTGGAGGCAGTTTCTTTAGTAAACGTATGTAAATATGTTTCATGATTTTGATAGGATGATATCTTTCTGATCAGACTGAAATATAAATTCCATGGAATAATCCATAATCAATATAAGTATAGACAATATGATGTGTGGATAATTAAAACAATTTATAAAATTGATGTTGTGTCAGTGAGATAAACACCACAGCACCAGCTTAGATGAATGAGCCATGCATGCAGCTCTGCCACACACCCTGTTCTGTAAATCAGGCCTTTGTGTATGTATGTGTTTGCAGAATTTATCTTTATCAAGGGTCTGTGCATGGTTAAAATACTCTGATATAAGCTTAGATACTTAAATTATTATCTTTTTTGTAAACAATTAGCTAGTTAGATCTTGTTTGTAGAGGTTAGGACATCCCTTACACCTGATGTTTATAGTTACAACCAGTAAACAAGTGAGTGAGCCTGGTTTGTAATTATTGTTATGTGACTGTTATCAGGCTGTCCAGCCTAACATGGCTAGGAAGACATACCTCTGCTGTTGTGGTAGCATGCTGATTTTATGAGTGCTTCAAGCTGACTTCCCACTCTTGTTTGTTTGTTTGTTTTTTAACCTTCTCAACATAATATATTTTAAACCACCTATCCTCCACAATCATTGAATGTTTTTGTGACTTTCAATGGATTGGTCCATTTTCTGAACATGGAACAGGGAAGTAGATAATTTATTATTTCATCTGCTAATTTGTTGGTTTACACCGAGACTATATTTCGATGTATGGTATCTGGTTTACAGTAGTTGCTCAAGTACGAAATGTGATACTCTAAAGATGACTACCTGACAGATTCTGTCCTGTGTTAAGATGATTCCAAGTATCTCTTTAAACAGGGATGGAGTGGGCAAGCAGCCTAAAGCACCAGGCTAGCAAATGCCATGAGCTGAGATCGTATCGCGCTAGTGACCAGGTTTTTATTCAACTTGTGGACAAACAATGTTTACAGGTCTATACAGTGTTGTCGCTACCCCTTGTGTACTGTCCATTCACCCTGTGCACTCAAAAGAACCCACTCGTCCGATGGTAGATGACTAGATGGTGGAAACATGAATACGTTCATTCACCCGAAACACAAGTGTCAAAACGTGTAGTGTCACCCGGGCAAGTGACTTAGTTCAAATGTGCCTCTGTTCACCCAGCACGGAATGGGTACTCGATACGTGAGGTGGATGTAAAATACCTCTAGCGCCTGTAGACAGCTTGGTTTGTATACTCCTCAGGGAGTTGAGGACAATAACTCGAATGCATAAGGATCCACTGGTTGGGGAACAAATAAACTGCATTTGAGCAGATACATGTTCCTGAATAAGCATGGTATATAAATGTATATTCATTGCTCAAAATACGTGGTGTGGCTGGTGGATCTCGTGTGGACCTGTAGTTTCAAACTTGTATGTGTCCTTATGGCCTGCGGTAACTTATGTGTCCATTTATCTGTCACAATTAGCTGCAGTTTCTAAAATGAGGGGCTGAAGAGTTTTGTCAGGGCCTGCAGATTCCAAAGTCTGTGGGTCCTGATGGCAGCCTGGTAATTTTTTTATTTCAAACACTGTGTATTAAATCATAAAAATGATATTGCACCCAAGTTCACCACACAGCAACACGATTGACTTTCCGGCTTTAGGCAATTATCAAACTGTTATGTGAATAACACTGAATAAGGAAGATAGCCTTGCTTACACATTGACGCAATCACGTAACTGTCAAATATGAATATGTTCCAGTAAAATAAATAATATAGAAATAAAATCATCATCATGTGGCACATGTTCATAAATAAATAAATAAAAAAAATAAAAAAATAAAAAAATGAATGAATGGATGGATGGATGGATGGATGGATGGATGGATGGATGGATGGATGGATGGATGGATGGATGGATGGATGGATGGATGGATGGATGGATGGATGGATGGATGGATGGATGGATGGATGGATGGATGGATGGATGGATGGATGGATGGATGAATGAATGAATGAATGTGGGCAGGTATACATGTTTACCTGTAGTCCATGTTGTGGTATCGGAAGCCTACCTGGATCGAGGCTGTGTAGACAAAGTCACGTGAAGATTACCTAACTGTTGGGCACACTGAACTGTTACGTTATTGCTTTGACTTGACAACAGCTGATCAACAGCTGACAAACCAAGATATCTATTGCCAATGCAAGAGACAATGCACTGACTGGTCACCCCCACATCGCGTTGTCGGTGATCAATACACTGTGGTGTTTCAGATCTCCCTCCTCAGCCGCTGCTTGTGTGTTAGGTGTTCATACAGACATGGGTCGTGTGGATGGGAAAGTTGTCATTGTGACTGCGGCAGCCCAGGGCATCGGCAGAGCATCAGCTGAGGTGGGTCCACGGCTTCTATCTAGAACTCTTGTTTTTTAAGATGTTTACATCTCATATTCATTACATGCATTGTCCGCACAGTTTGAAGAAAATGTGAAAGGCGGTGGTCTCGAACATATGTATTCTGCCATGAAACAGCTGCAATGTGGTTGATATTGTACCACTAGGTAACAGATGTGCTGATAAATCACAATGCTTTTATAACATTCAGTCACTCACCATCATATAACATTCAGTCACTCACCATCATATAACATTCAGTCACGCTCCATCATATAACATTCAGTCACTCACCATCATATAACATTCAGTCACTCACCATCATATAACATTCAGTCACTCACCATCATATAACATTCAGTCACTCTCCATCATATAACATTCAGTCACTCACCATCATATAACATTCAGTCACGCCCCATCATATAACATTGAGTCACTCACCATCATATAACATTCAGTCACTCACCATCATATAACATTCAGTCACTCACCATCATATAACATTCAGTCACTCTCCATCATATAACATTCAGTCACGCTCCATCATATAACATTCAGTCACTCACCATCATATAACATTCAGTCACACACCGTCATATAACATTCAGTCACTCACCATCATATAACATTCAGTCACTCACCATCATATAACATTCAGTCACTCACCATCATATAACATTCAGTCACTCACCATCATATAACATTGAGTCACTCACCATCATATAACACTGAGTCACTCACCATCATATAACATTGAGTCACTCACCATCATATAAAATTCAGTCACTCACCATCATATAACATTCAGTCACTCACCATCATATAACATTCAGTCACTCACCATCATATAACATTGAGTCACTCACCATCATATAACATTGAGTCACTCACCATCATATAATATAACATATAGTCACTCACCATCATATAACATTGAGTCACTCACCATCATATAACATTGAGTCACTCACCATCATATAACATTGAGTCACTCACCATCATATAACATTGAGTCACTCACCATCATATAGCATTCAGTCACTCACCATCATATAACATTCAGTCACTCACCATCATATAACATTCAGTCACTCACCATCATATAACATTCAGTCACTCACCATCATATAACATTCAGTCACTCACCATCATATAACATTCAGTCACTCACCATCATATAACATTGAGTCACTCACCATCATATAACATTCAGTCACTCACCATCATATAACATTCAGTCACTCACCATCATATAACATTCAGTCACACACCGTCATATAACATTCAGTCACTCACCATCATATAACATTGAGTCACTCACCATCATATAACATTCAGTCACTCACCATCATATAACATTCAGTCACTCACCATCATATAACATTCAGTCACACACCGTCATATAACATTCAGTCACTCACCATCATATAACATTCAGTCACTCACCATCATATAACATTGAGTCACTCACCGTCATATAACATTCAGTCACTCACCATCATATAACATTGAGTCACTCACCATCATATAACATTCAGTCACACACCGTCATTTAACATTGAATCACTCACCATCATATAACATTCAGTCACTCACCATCATATAACATTCAGTCACTCACCATCATATAACATTCAGTCACTCACCATCATATAACATTCAGTCACACACCATCATATAACATTCAGTCACTCACCATCATATAACATTCAGTCACTCACCATCATATAACATTCAGTCACTCTCCATCATATAACATTCAGTCACTCACCATCATATAACATTGAGTCACGCCCCATCATATAACATTGAGTCACTACCCATCATATAACATTCAGTCACTCACCATCATATAACATTCAGTCACTCACCATCATATAACATTCAGTCACTCACCATCATATAACATTCAGTCACTCACCATCATATAACATTCAGTCACACACCGTCATATAACATTCAGTCAAGCCCATCATATAACATTCAGTCACTCACCATCATATAACATTCAGTCACTCTCCATCATATAACATTGAGTCACTCACCATCATATAACATTGAGTCACTCACCATCATATAACATTGAGTCATTCACCATCATATAACATTCAGTCACTCACCATCATATAACATTCAGTCACTCACCATCATATAACATTCAGTCACTCACCATCATATAACATTCAGTCACTCACCATCATATAACATTCAGTCACTCACCATCATATAACATTCCGTCACTCACCATCATATAACATTCAGTCACTCACCATCATATAACATTGAGTCACTCTCCATCATATAACATTCAGTCACTCACCATCATATATCATTCAGTCACTCACCATCATATAACATTCAGTCACTCACCATCATATAACATTCTGTCACTCATCATCATATAACATTCAGTCACTCACCATCATATAACATTGAGTCACTCACCATTATATAACATTCAGTCACGCACCATCATATAACATTCAGTCACGCTTCCATCATACAACATTCAGTCACTCACCATCATATAACATTCAGTCACGCACCATCATATGACATTCAGTCACGCTTCCATCATATAGCATTCAGTCACGCTTCCATCATACAACATTCAGTCACTCACCATATAACATTCAGTCACGCACCATCATATAACATTCAGTCATGCTTCCATCATATAGCATTCAGTCACGCTTCCATCATACAACATTCAGTCATGCACCATCATATAACATTAAGTATTTATGTACAATCTGACAAGAAACATGTATGGCTTTCCTCAATGTCTTTTAGCTAATTTTTAAATACTTTAAGATCATGAGAAAAAAGTGACAAAGCATTGACGGAAATTTGAACCTTTAGATATAAAGGCAGAACTTGGAGCTTTATGACGATTGTAACATTGAGCAAGATGCTCATTTGCCAACTGCATGTATACAAGGGGAACTCACTCCCAACTAGAGTATGAACTAAAAGTAGCTGCCCTTGAATTATCAAAAAGGTCACGGTCATTGCTACAGCCTGTCAACAGCTTCCTTTTTTATCCATCCCAAATTATCGAAAGAGGTATGTTGTTTCTCACTTATTTCAGCATAGACTCAGATGGAAAAAATATTTTAGCTATCGGCTTGATAGTTCTGATTATGTAGATTGGTATCGCGATGGACAACTTTTCTGATGTGAAATCTGTGATGTGTTCTTGGTGATTGGAATCTCACAGTTTAACAACATGAAATGACATTGTTTGAACGTAAAGCAGATGATTTATTGGAAACACACTCTCTCCTGCTGATATGCCATCTTGTCAAATATATTCAAGGCATACATTGTTTTTAGCCGCATGCTCTTAAATTGGTCTGGACAAATTGTAAACTTATTTGTAGATTACAATGATGTCAGCATGTAATGTTGTTCTGACATAATCATTCTTATTGGACTATTTGGTCCTTAACAAAGTCAAGTTAAGTCAAAGTAAGAGGGAGTGAGTGAGTATGGTTTTACGCCGCTTTTAGCAATATTGCAGAACTATCACAGCAGGGGACACCAGAAATGGGCTTCACAAATTGTACCCATGTGGGGTGACGAGTGAATGCTTTAACCACTAGACTACCCAACCGCCCCTCAAAGTAAGACGTGTTGAATAAGTCAAAACCAAATACTCTTCCCCAAGCTTGGGGAGGTCTGGTAGCCTAGTGGTTAAAGCGTTTCGCTTGTCACGCCGAAAACCCGGGTTCGATTCCCGACATGGGTACAATGTGTGAAGCCCATTTCTGGTGCCCCCCGCCGTGATATTGCTGGAATATCACTAAAAGAGGAGTAAAACCATACTCTCTCTCACTCACTTCCCCAAGCTAAGTGTTGTCTTATATGTGAATTTGAATTTCTATATCATTTCAACTATCAAGTAGTTGGTATCATTACAATGTTAGGGAGAAGTTGCTGTTTTTCAATTAGTCAATAATGTGACGTATGACGTAGTAGCGCGTGCACATTGGCGCTCACAATATGTAAACAAACCTAACACAACAACACTGACACTGATTTTCATTGTAGGCACTAGCGAGGGAGGGAGCCCGCGTGATTGCAACTGACATCAATGCTGACAAGCTGAAGGAGCTGGAATCGGTGAAAGGTATTTCATGCTTGTATGGAAGATTAAAACACCGTATTTACAGAAGTTCGACAAGACTTTTGAAAATATGTGTGTGTGTGATTAAAATCAGATATTTTATACCTCTTTGTGATACGATACCTCACGTACTGCTTGAAGATCTGAACGTTACTTCAGGTGAAGTTTTTAATCAACCAATCAGATGCAAGGCTTCTACATTCTCGGGATGACTGAGCAGCTGCATTCAGAGAAGCATATCTGAGCTCTGTATCTCAAAAAATGAACATAAATGTCCAGTTCCAAATGGGGATAGTAAAGACTGCTGTTATGTTGCTGTGAATGTTTTATACATTCTGTTGCTTTCTTTGAGGGTTTTCAGTTGTATAAACTGAATTTCTGAATCGAGGTTGTAAACCTTTTGCAGCTGAATTGTTTTAGTAAGTTGACAACTACTTGGCTCAAGAATCTTTCACTATCTTTCATTTCAAATTGGTGCTCTACGTTAAGTCAGGGTTGATCTGAAGGGATTTTCAGATCTCAACACAGAGGGATGTCAAATGAGAGTGAAAGATCACATTTAATGAGATCGGTGTGCATACCACGCAAGTCTTGGAGTGATGTGAAGACACTAGGGCTGGGACGGGTAACTCGGGTACCAGGGTCGGATGGGCACTGAGTAGGACCCAGGTACCCACAGGACTACCCGGACCGGTTAGTCATTTGATATATTGTTTAATGACAAAAATTATCTAGAACTCTATGGTTACACTACACGTCACTAATGTTCGCATTTCTTTCTGACTGTGCACCCATTCCTTCTGACTTTTCATATGGTTGAGTCAACTTCAGTGAATGCATGGCCAGATTGTTAAACACATGTATCTAAATACCTTTTGCCAGGGCTATGCTAAAACTGTTCCCAAAAGGACATTTTGAGACATCTCCCGAGACTTACAATGGGTACCCAGGTACGGTTGGGTAATAGGGGGTTGGGTACCCGGGTAGTAAATTTGGACTCGTCCCAGCCCTAAAAGACACAGATGTTTGACAAAAGGGGACTATCACTCAAAATCAGCATAGGATAGAATTGGTCTTGAACAACCCATGATTCTCGTAAGACTCGATTATTTACAGTCCACCATCATATAGCTGGAATATAAACAACACACAAACAAACTTTATCGCCATGACAACATTAAGAGTAGTCCCGTGAAGACCCGGGGTAGAATAGGTCTTCAGCAACCCATGCTTGCCCTTAAAGGCTATTATGCTTGTCATAAGAGGCGACTAACGGGATCGGGTGGTCAGGCTCACTGACTCGGTTGAAGCATATCATCATATCCCAATTGTGTGGTCAATGCTCATGATATCAATCACTGGATTGTGTGGTCCAGACTTGATTTATTTACAGACCGCCATCATATAGCTGGAATATTGCTGAATGCGGCATAAAACAACCAACCAACCAACCAACATTTAGAGTAGATATTCTTGAAGGAGCACCTTTGTGTATTATCTTCACTGAGCTGATGTTGATGGACTGTTGATCACTCGTGATACCTAGACTCTGACGTGTTTGTATTTTGAACAGGTGTTGTTCTGAAGCGTCCAGGAACAAGTGTCATTTTCCTGGACACAGTGGTTGGTTCATAGGTACACAACAGCTTCGCGCAAAGCGTTAAAGTTGGCACATGCTTCTTGCTTAATGAGCGTAAAATGCGCATACTCTGCAAACAGTGAATTTCAGTTGGCTTCTCGCGTTTATATGTGCAAGTAGTAAATGGATATCTCTCTCTAAGTTACAAAATAGTGAATTAGAATTGTACAGAAATAGAATAGAATAGAAATAGTTGAGAGAGTTACCCATTTACATTGTTTACATACGCTAATCAAACGGCAACTTCATTTTAAGTTTCAAATCCATTTCATTTTATCTTATTACATTTTCATTGTTTAGTTGATTACAAGGGGATTTCACGTTTAGTTGATTACAAGGAGATTTCACGTTTAGTTGATTACAAGGGGATTTCACGTTTAGTTGATTACAAGGGGATTTCACGTTTAGTTGATTACAAGGGGATTTCACATTTAGTTGACTACAAGGGGATTTCACGTTTAGTTGATTACAAGGGGATTTCACATTTAGTTGATTGCAAGGGGATTTCAGGTTTAGTTGATTACAAGGGGATTTCACGTTTAGTTGATTGCAAAGGGATTTCACATTTAGTTGATTACAAGGGGATTTCACATTTAGTTGATTGCAAGGGGATTTCACGTTTAGTTGATTGCAAGGGGATTTCACGTTTAGTTGATTACAAGGGCATTTCACGTTTACTTGATTACAAGGGGATTTCACATTTAGTTGATTACAAGGGGATTTCACATTTAGTTGATTACAAGGGGATTTCACATTTAGTTGATTACAAGGGGATTTCACATTTAGTTGATTACAAGGAGATTTCACGTTTAGTTGATTACAAGGGGATTTCACATTTAGTTGATTACAAGGGGATTTCACGTTTAGTTGATTACAAGGGGATTTCACATTTAGTTGATTAAAAGGGGAATTCACGTTTAGTTGATTGCAAGGTAAGTTCATTTTTAGTTAATCTGAGTTTAGTCTTCCACTGCAAACCAGGTGTACAGGAACAGGTTCGAGATGCCTTCAGTAAAGTTCACTAAACTGAAGCACTCGTGAAATTTACCAAAATGGGAGCTAGTGAGCAGTCGAGAGGGCGCTGATTTCAACATGGCGTCCACCTTTCGCGATACGGTGCATTGTCATCACAAATAGCAATAACTCCACATCTGGCCCCCTTCCTCCTCAGAATGCGTGGAAACGCTCGTTCATTAGGAAATATACAGAAACGCTCGCTGGCTTATCGGCACACTGTGGCTTAATGAACGCACAGCTGGATATTCTGTTCATAGAAATTGGCTGCTAATACAAACCCAGACCATATATTTAAGCTCAGTCGTTTTATGAAGCTTTTTAGAATAGAAATTTGTAACATAAACGCAAGGAATATGGTTGTTTTTAAGTTAATATAATTGACAATGATTCATTCTGGTTTGGCATAAAAATATGCATAATTTTCAAGTGAGATCTCTCAAAAGTGGATAAACATTTAAATTGATGGTAAAATATCCTTTGGCCAGCATGAGTTGAAACAATACCTTATTTCTCTGATTGTGAGGTTGTGAACACAGTCTTCCATCTTTGACTGTTACAGGCATCGAGACACAGCTCTTGGACGTCACATCCACAGCGGATGTTGAAGCATTTGTGGCCAAGTTTGACAAGATTGACGTCGTATTCAACTGTGCTGGGTGAGAGGTTTCTCAGAATTAATTAATTAGGTTACTTAGTTTTTATCACTGCCTGCCTCACTTTTAGAACGTTTTTCCACAATGACCACTCATTCTCATCATTCTGTAAAAATGATGTTTGACTTCTTTAATGCATTTGAAAAAAACAAAACAAATCAGCTCATGCTTTTTGTATAGTTTTAATATACTTGCATACGCTTGCATCCCAAGTACCAAATTGTCCGACTCCCCATTGTTCTCGGTGCCTTAGGTTTGGCACCTCCCAATCTGTTGACTGACATTGGGAGAGTTGACTGATAATGCAGAAGGCTGCAGTGTTGGGGAGTCTTCACATTCTCCGAAAAGTTCTGGGTGGGTTTGACTAGGCAGCGCTTCCTGGGAGAAGTCCCATTGACTGTCTGGGCTGTGTGTAGAGGGGGCAAGGGCCCTGAGCTGATGATGAGCCTAACCAACCTAAAATGTGCCAGGATCATCCAAACCCTCTTTACTGCATTTTTTAAATTTTAATCTGTAAATAATAATAATAACAACAACAACAATACAAATAACAACAACAACAACAACAACAACAACAATGCCAGCAATGGGGTTGAAAGCATACAATATATGATATCATGTTATGTGATATACCCAACTTGCTGTGGTATGTTTAGTTTTAACTTTCTGATATTTCCTTCTCTGACAACAGGTTTGTTCATACTGGCACCATATTGGACTGTGATGAAAAGTCGTGGGATTTCGCCTTCGACATCAATGTGAAGAGCATGTATAGGTTGTGCAAACAGGTCATTCCCAAGGTGAGTCATGGAGGTCACAGTCAGGGGGAGATAATCAGGGCCAACATGGCCTCACTTCTACTGTCACAGACATGTAAACTGTCCTCATCGTCTGAGCCTGCAGTTGGTGGGGTTTGATGCGGTTGTTTTTCTCACTGTGATGTCATCAATGTTATGTTATGTTACTGGTGACCGCGTCCGTGGTGTGGTGGGTAGAGTGTCTGCCTGGAGAAGGCTGGTAGTTCAATCCCCGGCCTCCTCATATCAAAACGTTTATAGATGGCACTTTTAGGTCGGGGGTACATAGTTATACCAAGGTTTGTCTGTCCGTCCGTCGGAAAACTTTGTCCACGCGATTTCTCTTAAACTATACAGTAACTGACACACTAGGCGGGTATAAATCTGGACCTAGTACAAACAGAAACTTTCAGTCACACTCACATGCACACTCACCGGTGCATGCGCGTCGCTATTTAAGTGCAATTATCTTGGAATGCAGTGTATGAATTTGTTGTCACAGTTCACCAGATGACTTGTCAACAAAAGGTCTTGCAAGCCCTCGTCATATTTTACTAGCCTACTTTATGGCTACAGCTGACATACTTTGTGTTAACCTAAATGTATTTTGTGTGTTTTGAGACCATTGCAGCAAACAACAGTTAGGCTGCTTGGCCGTTTGGTTCAATACGTTTGTCTGACATTTGTGGTGGTTCTTAGACTTTCACACACACCACTAATAATGGATGTACAGGTATTTCAGTCATGATCAGTGTACAACAAAACCCCAGTTTACTACCTGTGCGTGGGTTTCTGATAAACTACGAAATGACAACAAAATGACAACAGACTTTGACATTAAATGATGACTTAATTAACTGCAGTGTTCGCAATAAGCGCTGGCCCACAGGCCTGTGGCAAGTGGATCCCGTGTTGGACCCATAGTTTCAAACTTGTAGGGTTCCTCATAGCCTGCAGTAAATTATGTGCCAATTTATCTGTCACAATAAGCTGCAGTTTTATAAAAAAAAAGGTCCTGAAGAGTTTTGTCAGGACCTTGATGATTCATAGAAATAAATGTGTATTGACTGTAATTTTCAACTAGACAGTTGGGCCAGCTTCATGGAAATGTTACGAGACCAATTTAAAAATCACTGGCATTTGGCTTGCAGGCAGGCAGCTGTTTCCAACACGGCTTAAACGCAACATTAAGCCCAATTTCATTGTCATGGTCTACTTGATTTCAGATGGTGGCCGAGAAGAGGGGCAGCATAATCAACATGTCCTCCGTGGCTTCCAGTATCAAAGGTAGAGAAGTTTTTGTATGCTGGTAGAGAAGTTTGGTAGAGAAGTTTTTGTATGTTGGTTGAGAAGTTTGGTAGAGAAGTTTTTGTATGTTTTTGTATGTTCATAGAGAAGTTTTCATATGTTGATAGAGAGGTTTTTGTATGTTGGTAGGGAGTTTTTTGTATGTTGGTAGATAAGTTTTTGTATGTTGGTAGAAAAGTTTTTGTATGTTGGTAGAAGAGTTTTTGTATGTTGGTAAAGAGGTTTTCATATGTTGATAGAGAATTTTTTGTATGTTGGTAGGGAGTTTTTTGTATGTTTGTAGATAAGTTTTTGTATGTTGGTAGAGAAGTTTTTTTGTATGTTGGTAAAGAGGTTTTTGTATGTTGATAGAGAAGTTTTGGTATGTTCGTAGAGAAGTTTTTGTATGTTGGTAGGTAAGATTTTGTATGTTGTAGAGAAGTTTTTTGTATGTTTGTTGATAAGTTTTGGTATATTGATAGAGAAATTTTGCGGGGAAACTTTGGCTCCATCTGCCTGTCACATTTTGTTTCCGGAGTTCAGTATTTCCTCATGAAACTTTGTGTACACATCAGTCAAGTTCTGAACTGGTACCTTGTGCTTATTATTCAGTCTATGTAGTCATGAATCATGTGATAACAAGTTGGTGTACATGACAGGTATCCCCAACAGATTTGTGTACAGTACTACCAAGGCTGCTGTCATTGGGCTGACGAAGGCCATGGCTGCCGACTTCTGCTCCCAGCATATCAGACTCAACTGCATCTGTCCAGGTATGATCTAACTGTTGCTAGGAGACATAGGGTAGTATACAATTGGTTGGTTGGTTTGTTGTTTTACGCCGCACTCAGCAATATTCCAGCTATATGACGGCAGTCTGTAAATAATCGAGTCTGGACCAGACAATCCAGTGATTAATATCATGAGCATCGATCCATGCAATTGGGATCGATGACATGCATCAACCAAGTCAGCGAGCCTGACCACCCGATCCTGTTAGTCGCATTTTACGACAAGCATAGTCGCCTTTTACGACAAGCATGGGTTGCTGAAGACCTATTCTACCCCGGATCTTCACGGGTCGTTAGTATACAAGCTCATCCTAGAGGTCTATAATAATTGTGATATGTAACCAGGGGGATGTCGTCTGGCAATCATCTGATATATAATGGTTGATATTCATGATTGTATTTTACACCATTGTTGTCTGTTGTGGTACCCACGGTGAGAATATGACCCCTGGTACGCCATGCCTGACCTGTGAGTTGACTCCATGCTTGACCTGTGAGTGGACCAAACTTAGTGTCAGGGAAATCCGATGTGTCACCTTGCTGACTGTGTGGTATCCTATCCTCATGTCATGGATATTGCTCATGCTGTCAAACACATGTTTGCATCCCCCAGATTTGATTACCAGTTTTTGTTGAGAATAATATGCATCCAAGCATAATGCACATCCTGCTCTTGGAGATGCAAGATGTTTTTAGTACTATGCACAGTAAAAACTTGTATACCTATCAATGATATGAGTCATTTTGCATTTGTGATAGAGACAACATTGAGGTGGTCATATCACAGTGCGTGTAATAACCAAACTCGTATTCCACCCCCTGCCAGACTGATATGGCTTGTCAATGCATTTTCAACAGGCGATTGATATGAGCCCAGGTGGTAAGGAATTGGAGTTACGTCCCTTGGTGCGTTATCTGCTCAGCCAGCTCTCCTGTGACAATGTCGTCCAAACAAGGTGGAAATGTATTGCATTTACTTGAAATAGATACGTATGATAAAAAAGATATTATAAGGCACTTTTCTTATCATACCCATATCATACTCAAGACTCGGGCTGATATGGGGGTCTTGCTAGATATGGGGTAGGATATGGCCCATCAGGTGAATGAACAGGTGATAGCAAACTTGTACAGTATGTAAATGCTGCCATCATATAGGTGCAACATAAAACAATATTCACTCACTGACTGTGTTGTGTTATAGGCACTGTGGACACGCCTTCGCTCAGGGACAGGATCAACGCCCTCCCGGACCCAGAACAGGTCTGTATGACAGCGACATGCCTTGTCTGGGTGATCATGTTGTTTGGTTTATTGATCAGCCATCCAAGGTTTCACAAAAAAATTGATTGTACAAACATTTTCAATATGTCAGGTCAGTATCGATGCTTAAGTGTCAGCAAACACATTGATGATTGCAGAAACGGGAAATTTATTATTTTTTTGTTTTATAAATTGTATACCAGTAACAAGCAGTAGAGACTGGAAAAAGAACAAATGTTTATCCAATTGATGAAACCCAAAATGAACTTAATACATTTGTCATTTCAATCGTAAACGTTACACTGCTACTTTACAAATACTGTATATTTTAATTCAAATGTCTCCCTACAATTGTTAAATTACTTGGTGTCGTTGCTGGAGTGTGTAAATACATTATGACGTCACAGTTGTAATTTATGACATCATCATAAGTATGGCGTCATTTATATGTCATTTTCAGTTACACTGAAGAGCTGTCATGAGACAGTGAAAGTACTATGTCTGAAACTTATATAAAGAAGATGTTGGACTAACGTGAACTTTATTATTTTTATATATATATATATGTCTCTTGGCAACGTGTATTGTGATGTGTAATACAACACATATCATAATGCCGAGTATCACAATGTGTTTACATGCATAGGATTGTAATGATTGGGGCGTCTCTGTTCAGCCAGGCTTAGGATTAAAAAAATAAAAGAATTGGTTCTCAGGCAATGGCTTTTGAAAATACAGTGCAGGCGGCAGTGGTTTGGTTGTTGAAACTAGTATGTAACCAAATAAACAGTTGTGTAGAATCAACCTGGGAAAGGGCCTCCCTACATCAATGTATTCTTTGATGAGTAAAATGCTGGAATACAGCATTTGACCTGTAGTGTGTGCATAATACACACATACAATGAGTTGTGTGTTCGAGACATGGAATATGTAAGGATTTTTTGTTGGTTTTGAAAATGGAAATAAAAATGAAATGTGTGGTGGACTTGATGCAGGCGGTGCCTGAGAACCAAGACTATTATTTTTTTAAGCCTTATGTGTAAATAATTGTTTTATTCTTTACAAATATTAAACTAAAGAACTCCTTATTTTAGGGTATGAAAGATTTCATTGCTCGTCAGAAGTTTGGCCGTCTGGGAACAGCGGAAGAGATTGCTAGCCTGGTGCTGTATCTAGCATCAGATGAGGTATGTGTGAGTGCCGAGGTGTTGCACCTGTCCCTCTTGAGGGGTCCTGGGAAGGTATAGGTTCCAGGTTCAGCTTGTGGTTATAGCTGACAGTATGCATCTTCCCGAGGCAAGAGAGTTAACTTTAAAAGTCCAGTTTCCACCCTTGCCGAACTTGGCTGGAATTACTGGGCTCGATTGTTGCGCCACCAGTGGCTATTACAAGCTATGTCCCTTCTAAGCCTCTCCTATGGACCAATGAGATTCCACCTCTCGTATCACTTGCGTTTGCTTCACACAAAATGGTGGCGCCGAGTCAGGACGATCTGATTGATAATCAAGATCTATATTGTGATAAAACGGGTCTTACATCGCGAAATGCATCAAATCACATGAGCACCTTGATTAAAAACATGAAAAGATTTGGAAAATATCTGCTGACGAGTTGGCGGTGCACATGCTTTGCAAATTCTGCAATCGACTGAAATCTGCACGACAGTTTACGAACCAGATTTCGATTTCGGTGTGCAATTTTGATTGGACTATGCATAGACTCGTTAGTCAAGCCAAAATGTAACTCCATAATACCAGCCTAATTCGGCAAGGGTGGAAACTGGACTTTTATAGTCAGTTAACTCTCTTGCGTCGGGAAACTGGACTTTTATAGTCAGTTAACTCTCTTGCCTCGGGAAGATGACAGTTTGAGGTATGTGTGGTTACAATGTTTGACCTGGGGTTGGGATGTATGATCATACAGTCTACCACTAGTTTGCCTGACCCAGACTAATATAACTGAAACACTGATGTGGGACATAAAGCAATATATGTGAGTTAACTTCGAGTTTCGGCTCATGTGAAATGAATGTCATGTATGCTCATTCCATGTCGTGATTGTCTGGCGTCACAGCGGAGCACAACACCTATTTTGGCTTTTTTACATTATAAATTTTGACCTTTATTTGATCTTTGCATATTGGATCAAGCCATGTATGTTGTGTCAAGGATATATTGTTTGTTTCAGTCCTCGTATGTAACCGGGCAGGAGTTCATCATTGATGGTGGCTGGAGTCTGTAACACACTGGCTCCTCACAGCGGCTCCTCACAGCTTGTGCTGGAGGATTCCCCTGTGCCCCCCAAAGTGGGCCTTTGTGACAAACCACCCCACCCACCCCACCCAACCCCAAGTAGAAAGTCCCCTGTGTCTCCAGGTCTCCTCCACTCTCACCTCCACTTGACCTGGCATCTAGATATACCTATTCAGAGTGACGTGATTATGACGAAAGGGAAGGAAATGAACAACCCTCAAGTGTCCTTGACATTATGAGGGGGCCACACACAAGGATTATTAGCAATATGTGCCTTACTTTCGTACTCCAGAGACGACGATGACGATGATGATGATGATGGTGTTTATACACATTGATTTCTTTCTTATTAATACAACTGATATATTTTACTCAAGATTCCATAACACATTAACTGTGGTCATATGAAAAATTGGTGTTCTTGAACTTGTTTTGTGTACTGGTAGTATACATGTGATTATCATTCTCCACTCCCTGGGGAGTATACACATTTTTGTGAACACATCCGCATCCAAACATAGAAGCTTGAGTGTACAAATCAAAGTGATATAACATTATCGTTTGTTTGTTTGTTGTTAAACGCCGCACTCAGCAATATTCCAGCTATATATATATATGGACTTCAGATATCCGGAAACCTCGGTTCCCGGACGATTTTCATTCAAAATGAAATAATTACTATATAAATTTACCCGTATATACGGAAATTCAGTTTCCGGAACCGGACGGTCATTTTCATATACAAAACACTGAAATGCACACAAAATTGTCTCACTTATCCGGACAATACACTTCCGCTGGTGGTAATCCTTTGATTCGTGAGAAGTCAATTAACCCAGTGACACTGAGTTACGTTTGAGACAAGCTTGTTTATTGTACATGTAATCCCCTTTGATAAATATGGCGTCTGTGGAGGTCAGAGGTCAAAGTTGTGTAAGTAAGTAACCAGCGAAACGTAAGCGACACGCAGTTACAGCACGCGAAAAAAGGGAAATTTGTCTGTTTAAGGAAAAACACCCGTCAGCAAGTAAGCATCAGTAAGCATTATGGCACTGAATTTGGCATGACAAGTTGTAATGTGATGAAATGCTGATAGAGAAAGCGACTTTGGTGGCAAAATGGACATTTCTGACTTTTCATATTCTCGTGGGTGGCTCACTCGACATAGTGTATCATGAAGGGAAGTAACTCTTCCAGTAAGAAGCTGGTTTCAGTTATACGGAAATTCGTTTATACGGACGAATTGTGAAATGACGCAAGTGTCCGTATAAACGAGGCACGACTGTATATTCCGGGCTGTAAATAATCAAGTCTGGACCAGACAATCCAGGGATTGATATCATGAGCATCGTTCCACACAATTGGGATACAATGCCGTGCATCAACCAAGTCAGTGAGTCTGACCACCCGATCCCGTTAGTCCTCTCTTATGACATGTATAATGAGAAAAGTAGGTGAGAATTAATGAAAACATCAAAAAGTGTAGGTAGAACAATATTTCTACAATCTTCTGAATGTAGCATTTAAGGTTGTTGTTAAACTTAAATTCACTTAAGAGTTTAAAGATGTAGATTTGCTTTAGGTCAGGTTTATGATGTAATAAGTTAAGGTTTGATAAAGTTTGCCCAAACTTGAACTGTTTTGTTTTATGTTGTTATATTTCTTGGTCTTGGGTTTTGTCTGCACCAGATGCAACCATGTAACTTTATCTGCACCAGAACAGATTTCTGTGGGTTTGTCTGCACCAGAAGCAACCATGCAAGTTTGTCTGCACCAGATGCAACCATGTAACTCTGTCTGCACCAGAACAGATTTCTGTGGGTTTTTCTGCACCAGAAGCGACCATGCAAGTTTGTCTGCACCAGAACAGACCCAGTTGTTGATTTGTCTGCACCAGAACAGATCTATAAGTGTGTCTGCTCCAGGACAGATCATTGGGGTTAGTCTGCACCGGATGCAACCATGTAACTTTGTCTGCACCAGAACAAATTTCTGTGGGTTTGTCTGCACCAGAAGCGACCATGCAAGTTTGTCTGCACCAGAACAGATCATGTAAATGTGTCTTCTCGCGAACAGATCATTGGGGTTTGTCTGCACCAGAACAGATCATGTAAATGGGTCTGCTCCAGAACAGATCATTGGGGTTTGTCTGCACCAGAACAGATCATGTAAATGTGTCTTCTCGCGAACAGATCATTGGGGTTTGTCTGCACCAGAACAGATCATGTAAGTGGGTCTGCTCCAGAACAGATCATTGGGGTTTGTCTGCACCAGAGCAGACCCAGTTGTTGGTTTGTCTTCACCAGAACAGATCATGTAAGTGTGTCTGCTCCAGAACAGATCATTGGGGTTTGTCTGCACCCAGATGTTGGTTTGTCTTCACCAGAACAGACCATGGGGGTTTGTCTTCACCAGAACAGATCATGTGTGTTTGTCTGCACCAGAATAGATTATGGGGGTTTGTCTTCACCAGGACAGACCATGCGGGTTTGTCTTCAAGGTACAACCAGACAAGGGTTTGTCACCACCAAATTGATCAAGTGGGTGAATTTTTATGAGAACAGATTTTGTGGGTTTTTTCTTCTTCAGATCTCTTGGGTTGGTCTCCAGAGTGATCCTGTTGGTTTTGACTTCTTCCAACGATTGCTTAAATTCAAACGTACTCACACACACAGCTAAAACAGCAGATTATTTCCATGCTCCAACCAAATAGTGGAAGTAGGATCGTATAAATGTTGATTGTATGTAAGGATTCCACTGTCGGGACTGATTTATAGAAAACTTGTCGGCCATCTTGAAATTGGTGGCCATCTTGAATTTGTGAAAATCTTTTAATTGTTGAAAACATTAAGTAGGGTATGAATAGCTGAATATCTTTCTAGGTCTTTGGGGCCTTGTAGAAATGCATTGTGGTAAAATAAATTCTGTTGCAATTTGTTCCAAAGAAACCTTATTTTGCCTGGACTACACCTGTATGAACAACTTAAGAGGGTGCTGGGCTAGCTTAATGTGTGGCTCCTTATATACAAATTCTTGGTTTGACTCCCCATTTTGGCATGGAGCTCAATCGTTGTCTCTCTAACTGTGATGGCTGGAATAATGTTAAACCAGAATAAAACCATACTCACTCACTCAAAATAAAAACAAACACCAACAGGATGTACAAAATAATAGGTTTATTTCTAATAAATAAAAACAGTGATCAAAGATTGCTTGATAAAGATAAAGTGATGTGTATAACTGTCATATACATTGTGATGTTCAAGATAAAGTCTCTCACCCTACTCACACACACAAACACAACAACGCTCGTTCTCACTAACCAATCTCATACTTGGGGAAACTAGCCTCTCTCTGGCCAGTCACTGGGCAATAACACCTGATATCACCCACTCAGGATATACTCCCAGGGTGCTATACTGTAGCAGGTTCATGGATTTCTAAGGTTTTCACAGCACATGAAGACGGCATTCACATTACTGCCACGGCCTTCAGTGCAGATGGTGAATAACAACATCTGATATTTTATTGTATTTATCTTTGAAGAACTAGGTTAAGTACAAAATTTAACCAGTATAACATATTTATTAAATATGTAAACTTTATAGTTATTTCTTGGAAGAAGACACAGAAAGTAATAGTTACACAGTTATGATCAGATCTATACTGTTTACAACCCTATATTGATAAAAACCTTAAACAAATTGTCTCAGTTGTTCAAATGAGTCTTCCCTAAATATCTCTTTTTCTTCGAACCACCTTTTTTAGTGTGGAAAATTAGTAATCATGATGAATATGATAATCATAATAATACTGTATTCGACGTAATAAGCGCCCAGGTCGCTCTCAAAATTAGAAATAGGGGGCTCTTATTAGAATATTATTTTGGTGAAAAAAACAGTTGAAAGATAAATTTCGTGATTTATGCTGACAGCCTGAAATGTTTATATACGAGAGATACATTTTTCCAGAATTTAATTGCCCATAATTAAGGGTGCATATAACACATGAGTGCATATTATATGCCAGTATATAAGTGTTGTGTACATTGATCAATCGGAAGGGGTGCTAACTGGTATTGTTCACTAGCCAATATATTAGCAAATATTGCCGTGGGCGCTTATTAGAGCGGGGCGCTTATTTCGTCGAATACGGTAATCCTGAATTCTTAAATCACAAATTGTATATTTGATGTTTTTCTACTTTAATTGACACTGAACCCTGACAAAATAAATTATTTCTTTATTTCACATCCTGCATCATTGCCTAGAAATAAAAAAGAAAAGAATTTATGCTAATTAGGCCATTGATAAATAAACTACCCCAAAACTCCTGCCGGCATATGGCTTCCTCTGGACTGGTCGAGTGGCTTGGATCCAGCCATCTCACTGATGTCTCCATTGGCCCAGGTGAGACAAAAATTTGAAATAAAATACTCAAGTGAAAATTGAAGTGGATGAATCAAGTGTACATATAAACTATCAAAACTAGCATCAAGCAATGCAAGTCTGACATACGTGCAAATAAATACTGGTACATTGCACAGACACAACTAAGCATGGAGGAGAGACACGATGCCCCCATGTGAGAGATGTAGCTGCCATAGTGTACTTTATATATTACAAGGGATAGGCCCGATACAACAGCCCATCAGTGCCGACCTGGGACTTGTCCTGCAGAGTGATCTCAGTGCTACGACTGTCGTAACTGCAATGCTCTTACTTGGACTTACGATGGTTGTAATGTTAAGAGCACTCTGTGGAATGAGTTCTAGGCATATATGTTAAAACAGCCCATCAGTGCCGACCTGGGACTTGTCCTGCAGAGTGATCTCAGTGCTACAACTGTCGTAACTGCAATGCTCTTACTTGGACTTACGATGGTTGTAATGTTAAGAGCACTCTGTGGAATGAGTTCTAGGCATATACGTTATAACAGCACATCAGTAGTGACCTGGAACTTGTCCTGCAGAGAGATCTCAGTGCTACGACTGTCGTAACTGCAATGCTCTTTTTAGACTTACGATGGTCGTAATGTTAAGAGCACTCTGTGGATGAGGTCCTGGCATGTGTTAAAGAGGCTGGAGAGTTATTGGGGAGAATGGAAAAGTCTGATTCAGGGTGAGGCTATGACAAAGTACATAATTTCACCGAAAACATCAATAGTTATTTCCTGGTTAAAATATGTATAAATAATATGTTGTTTAACCTATATCACTTAGCATGGCATACCTTTTGTTTTGTACACTCATGTCCCCCCATATACAACAGGCACCTCACAGGAGTTGTCCTGCAATCTTAAATGTACTAGAAGTCCTGTAGTTACAGATCATTATTAGAATCTTTCATTTGAGATTATACATCTGATTTTAATGATATTGTTTCATTTTCAACAAACAAAACAATGCTTTTCACTTTTCATACAATGATTGACTTAAACGAATAGGTTGAATTTTTTTTAGGTAATACAAGCTAGAAAGCGGTGAACTTTTAAAGCTTTTTATGGCTCATATTACTGACATTAAAGTTATCAAATTGTATACAAAATACATAACAAGATATCAATTCTGTCTTTACTGATATTAATTCTCTCCATATGCTTAACAAAAGGATCACCATGGTCACAACTTAATACACTGTGGGGCTTTGCCCTTCTACAGTAAAATAAAAACGGCTTGTCTTATAACTGAAAATAATTAATCAAATATCACTGTTAAAGTCTCACTGAATTGGATTATCATGCTAAAACATCATTTTAATCTGTCACAGAACCAGTATATCTTTGCATATTTGAAAAGTATCACATGAACACTCATGCATATATTCATCCTAAGATCCTATTCATCCTAAAATAATTTACCTGTTAAACATTGATGTGTAAGAGGCATATAATCTATACTGCTCAAAAGGGGGCGGTCGGGTAGCCTAGTGGTTAAAGCGTTCGCTCGTCACGCCGAAGACCCAGGTTCGATTCCCGACATGGGTAAAATCAAACTCACTCACTCACTCACTACTGCTCAAAAGAAGTTAAAGAACACTTGATTTTTTCATATAACTATAGATAAACTGTCATGGCTGGTGGGTATTGAACACACACAGCTTCCCATTGTGGGTGTTCTTTAACTTGTTTTGAGTAGTATATCGCATCATATCTTTGACACAGACCCGTTAATTCACTTGTCTTAAGGATGCTCTTAAGCTACTAACCTTTGTAGAAGTATGCAGACCTCATAATAATTAAGCATGCTTTTTAAAGCATTTTTCTACATGTATATTTGTAAGATCTAGTTTTTCCGGAACCTAACCCAGCCCGGACAACATTGCTTTACTGTGTCCTCTGTCTCTCAGCATCCTGACCAAAAGACAAGGAAAATATTCAAGTTGTCTGTTCTCAAAAGGTTTTGCAAATGACAAAGAACTAAGCAGTGTTGATAATTATTCTACAAGACGGAACATTCTGAGCAAGTGACAGACGTCAGACGGAGCAATAGGTTAAATGCATCAACTAGTAAATGCAGTTTCTGCCATATACTTCGATACTGGTTTCCCAACACATGACCCTCATACACAATCACACAATGCATGTGGAGGAAGGTTTCTATGGGTAGAGAACCCAGGACGTTGTCTTCAAGTTTACAATTCATGTTTGGTGTACCATTATACGTATAATAGTGACCCCCATCCCCCTCAACCCCTGACAATGAGAGATTTAATGGAGAATCACAACCAATGCCATGATTTGCCTGAAAACAGCAATCATTGTCCTACATCAGCTGAAAGCCCTAGAAATAATTTATTGAAATGCCAGTAAATGGCATTACTCATTCCAAAATATTTAATATTTTTTATTCTTCGTTGATGCCCAATTGAATTATGCCAAACATTTGTTTCCTACGAGCTTATAAGTAGTAAAAAAATTGCCTGCTCTGATTGGCTGCTACTAAGCACCGTAAGACCACTTGCTTAGTGTGGCACTTCCCAACTGGGCACAGTAACTGTACAGACAGGCACTATGAGAACAGAAACATGTATATGTTCATAACCAACAACAAGTGTAACAAGACTTCAAGGCTGTAGATTCCCTATCCGCCTGGACTGCGTCCATTCCTTTACTTTGGTACCAGGGCCAGTTTCCACAGAGCAATCGTAGAGCTAAGGCGATCGTAACACAAACTTTACCACAAACATACGACAGTTGTAGTGCTACGATCATCGTAAGTCCCAAACTTTAACACAAACATACGACAGTCATAGTGCTAAGATGATTGTAAGTCACCAACTTTACCACAAACATACGACAGTTGTAGTGCTACGATGATCGTAAGTCCGAAACTTTAACACAACCATACACCTGTCATAGCGCTAAGACGGTCTCAACTCATATACTTAAACATAGACTTATGACAGTCATAGCGCTAAGATGATCATAAGTCCCGAACTTTGACACACACTTATGACAGTCGTGGCGAAAAGACAATCTCAACTCCCGAACTTTAACACAGACTTTTGACTGTCATAAAACCAAGATGATCTTAATTCCCAAACTTTAACACAGACTTAGGACAGTCGTAGCGCTACAATTGCTTCGTGGAACAGGGCCCAGCACTGCAGTTACCAACTCAATCGGGGTACCTGTTTTGTGTGTATTCATCACCCAATCTTGGAAACAAATAATGATACATGTACTCTATTAGCTGATTCGGTTCCAACAAGCATGAGGTATTCCCTGTATTGTGTCACAACTGATACACCCGTCTACATAGTACGCCAGGTGAGACGAGGAACCATGACCAGATTCTGTCCCATAATTACACAAAGATAGATATCAATGTAACACTTTCTTAAAATAACATCTGATACATTCTTTGGATAAAATAATATCAGTCTTGTACTTCGTTTGCTGTACAACTTTAAGGCTTACAAAAATAAAAGATTTGGTTCTCAGACATTTGCTTTTGAAAATATAGTGCGAGCAGGCAGTGTTTTTTGTTGTTGTTTTTTGGTTGTTCAAACTAGTATGTAACCAAATAAACAATTATGTACAATCAACCTGGGAAAGGGCCTCCCTACATAAATGTATTCCTTGATGAGTAAAATACTGGAATACAGTATTTGACTACTGTTGGACTACCAGTGTGTGTATAATACACACATACAATATTTAAGGATTTTTGTGGGTTTTTTTTAAAAATGGAAATAAAAACGAAACATGTGGCGAACTTTATGATGATGGAGTGCCTGAGAACCAAGACTATTATCTTTTTTAGCCTAACACAATGTATGAGAATATCTGCGTATGATTAAACAGTGTACCATTTTTGCCATTCCCGGGCCTAATTGCATTAACTCATCTTAGCATTTTGCCTCTTGAATCTCTTATGCTTGTGCTGGTGCTAAGATGACAGTGAGGAATGGTTCTAACATACAGTACAGGACAGCCATGTCACGTGAGCTCCAAGCGGAGGATATGGTGTGACGATAATAAAACCTCCGTGATAAGTACCAATGAATATTGCAAACAGGGGTGCTGAAAAGTGTTATAAATGTAATAAAAACTTGCATGACATTCTGACATAGATCAGACGTGTGGGATGATTCCTATAAGTCCCTGCCAGTCAGAGTTGTCTCCCTTGGACTGTAACTCATTTTTGGATCACTGCTTCAGAAGAACTACCAATCATTTGATACACACTTATTGTTGAAGTTATAATTTAGGCAGACTCTTTTATGCTATCTAAGAGTGGTAAAGTAACGTATACTTGTGTCAATATACTGGCAAATGACTTTCTCCAAATGCTACCAATTTCTTGACAAGATCTGTAATATCGGTTTGTTCAAGTAATACTGACATCGTAAGCTGGAACTTCACGGGCATTGTATTTGTGGAGCATGTGGGTCATCCTTGCTGTAATTATCCAGTAACTAGGGGCATGTCATAGTATTTTCTAAAATAACTTTTATACGATCATCAAATCTTTTGAAGTCACCAAGATGCTGGAACAACATGAAGACATGACACTTCAATGGACAACAACTTCTCTTTTATAGAAGCTACTTCTTGTACATTCACTGGTGAATGTCGAGGTGAATGTTCACCAGATGATTGGGCAAGAAATAACGTGGAAACTTTGGAGACCACCCCTGTGGTCTTACCGTATTCGACGTAATAAGTGCCCCGGGCGGTCTCAAAACTAGAAATAGGGGGCTCTTATTAGAATATTATTTTGGTGGAAAAAACAGAGTTGAAAGATAAATTTCATGGTTTATGCTGACAGCCTGAAATGTTTATATACGACAGATATATTTTTCCAGAATTTAATTGCCCATAATTAAGGGTGCATATAACACACGAGTGCGTATTATACACGAATAAATAAGTCTTGTGTACTTTGATCAATCGGAAGGGGTGCTAATTGGGATTGTTCACTTGCCAATATATTAGCAAATATCGCTGTGGGCGCTTATTAGAGCAGGGCGCTTATTACGTCAAATACGGTATATATGTGGTAGACTGGTTTTGATCACAGACCGCATGATACCAAAAGATGCTAAGAGATGTTACGTGTTACCCTGCCTGGCGCTCGGCATTAAGGGGCTAGAACAAGGACTGGTTGGCTCGGAGTCAGTATACTGTGTCTGAGTGGGGTATTCACTGTGGCATGGTATCTCAGTGGGCTAGCATTATAAAATCGGCATCAGTCCGGACTAGTACTAGCAGCCACAGACACACACGTGCATGCATGTTGCAATATAAGTGCAATTATCTTGAACGAGACGTTAAACCCCATTTCTCCTCAACTGAAACATTGTTACAAACAATGAAATGGTTGTTATTCATGAGCGTTTCATGTCGTCATGTCTTCCCACAGTTAGGATTAGAAAACCCTGAATGCATAAAAGGCTGACTTGTCTTACAGATTTTCCTGGTCAATGTCGCAAGATGGCAAATTGATTAAATATAGTTAATTTATTTTCTCCTTAAATACACTAAAGCAAAACGACAATACAAACAATGTTTTTCTCAAAATGTGCATATTTTCAATCAATACACCGTTTTGATTTTTTAGGGCAATTTCATCCATAAAACAAGACAAACAATATTATAATATAATGACAATTAGGATTTTTTTTTCTTGGAGGGTTCAAATTTTTAGAATAATTACAGTAGTTTGATCGTTTGTTTGATAATTGATGTATGTGCCATTATTTCCTGAGAGAGAAAAACACACTCATATATATATATCTTTTATATGCAGTCAAACAGTGTTGTGGCCAACTTTGATGTGTCGAACTTATGATTGTCTTGAAACAAAAGCTTTTTCCTGCGTATTCCTTCTTTATTCATCATTTTTGGTTGTGTTCGAACCTCGGATAAATTAAAATATTTCTGTAGGTCCCTTCGACTTTGAAACAACGGTGTTTGACTGTATGTCTTTTTAGGACTTCTTTTACAGGTCAAGTATTTTGAATTTGGAAGTACTTCCTTCTAAGGAATCATAAGAAGTTGTAAGATAATATTACATGAGAAAAGATAACATGATATATTTGATATTGCCATTAAATTTGTGACCTTAAAACAACCTTGATGAAGTGGATGTGGTTTCCCCGATCATGGAATGCATGTCACGAGCAATGAGAGTAGGAGTATGTCCGCAGGTCGATGATCATTGTTACATCTTCCCACGATTCCAGGAATGTTAAATGCTGGGCGGAGAGCCTTGCACGATCATGGAATGTCAAAACAGTTTGCACCTTCACGGTATACGTAAGTTCACTTTCCAGATGCCCATTCACAAAATGCCCTTTCACCCAAGCAGTTATATGTGGGTTGTTGCTATACATGGGTCTGCTTTGTATCAGAAAGTGTATCCATGCTAGCTACGCATCCAGACACTTTGTACCATGCTAACTACACGCTTCGTACAGTCACATTGCATCACGGATGTTTACCTCGCAGTCCATGTCGTGTGAAAGTGGCCCTGACGGTACTGTATGGAGGTTCCACTGACTGTTACCATGGTACTACATATCTGGGTACAGCATATCACGGTATTGGTCATAAGGTCAGATATTTTAAGGACCAGTTCATCTGATATTTGATTCTACACATTAAGGTACCAGTCACTGAAGTGAGATATTTTTTAAGGACTAGTTCATACGATATCCGATACTTCCTATCCGATATTTTAAAGGGACAGTACGTCGATGGGTCTGTGTGTTTTTAAATCATTCATGAAATAATTTCCGAGAGTGAAGTCACATGCCTGACTCAATTCTGAAACCAAAACAATAAAGCTCCACACAGTGACGCCGACAACACAAGCTATATGCAGAGTAAAATGGCATCAGTAGTGTTTTTTTTCAATTCATGTGTTTTTCATCGGTTTCATCTTGGACGAGTCTAGATATTGAAAAAATATCCTAAAACATAAAAAACTATTTTCATTTGCGTTTTTAACCACCTCGTGCAGTCACCGAAGTTCTTAGGAGAGCTAGCGATACGGTCACTTTGAAGTGTAAAGCTGTATTGTCATGCACCTCACCGTCGCATTTGTTGTAGCACAACAAAAGGCTTGCATTAGGCCTGTCTGTTCACATTTCATTTCATTACAAAACCAGAGAAAACTGATACTGTCTTTAACCTACACACATGGTATGCAAGGTCATTGGAGCAGAACATTCTGTCTCTGAATAAGGCGAGCAGAGCAGAGCAAGCTCGGGTTTTATTGGCTAATGTTTACAAACAAAGCTTCCGAACCGTCAACGTCCTGTTCCTTAAGGACCAGGGCACCGTTGTACAAGGCGATCTTTGCGCTAAGGTGATCGTAACTCCCATATCTTAACATAGACTTACGAGAGTCGTAGCAACATAGACTTACGACAGTCGTAGCGCTAAGGCTGCTTGTACAATGGCGCTATGTTCAGCTGATATCCGATACTGCATATCAAAGTACTAGTCGAGTCCGACTCTTTGAGCACCGCAGTACTAAGATGACAAAATTGAATCAAATATTAGACTAGAAGCTACATTAGTTTCAATGCTGGCAATAGCTGGAATTTAAAACCTTACTTTTTCATGAAATGCACCATCATTTACGACAAGATGAAGGTGATTAGAGATGGCTTGCTGGGAAGATGGGACTTTGAAGTACATCAGGGCAAGGGTGACACACTCACCTTCTCCTCACGGTGTAAGTGACATAGTAAGGTACTTTGAGTCTGTTAGCATACACATTTGTAACCCATAACAAACAACACGAACCATGGTCTGTGTATCTGGTTACTGTGTTTAGGTAACTGCATATACTTCGAGTCAATCTAGTATGTACCATGGTACAATGTATCCTCTAACCAGGGACAATGTATCCTCTAACCAGGGACAATGTATCCTCTAACCAGGGACAATGTATCCTCTAACCAGGGACAATGTATCCTCTAACCAGGGACTGTGCCTCCCTTACACACTACACTCTGGGGTTCCTAAAGGAAGACGTCTGCTTCTGTGTGCCAGGCATGTGTGTTGATTCTTCTCCCGCCACTGAATGTCCTGCCACTGGCCTAATACTGTACAACACTGTACATCTTGTGTCAGACTTTCACACTTCGGTTATTTGCTGGTTCTGTCTCCGTACAAAATGTGAATGTATGATGGTGATCACTGTAGCTTTTCTCAGTGACTGTCAGCCATGTTGGTCCTGAATGACCTTGAACTCTGACCTTGTCTCCTATTGGCCAACGTCAGCCTGCTCTAGGTGCGTTGGTTGTGCAAGTCAGCAGGGGTCACGCCCTGGCACTGACATGTGCATGTGCATATGGTGCCTGCATACTGGCACCTGATTGGTGTGGATGTACGGATCGGAGTCAATGCTAGGAATTGTCCTCTTTACTGGAATCTTTTCCTTCTGTCATTTTGACTAGCTTATTCATTAATGTTAACATCTGGTCCATCTTTGTATCCAAACGATTAACCTGGAAACATAAACCTTCAACATCAAACCTATCATCTGGGAGGGTCACATGTTCAGTACAATGCAAAGAAGAAGATCCAAATATAGTGTTAAACAATCTTTACCTTCTTTGGAGTGTAAAATTAATTGACATGTTACACAAATCAAAACGCCTTTGCCGTCAACTGCTCCGATTATGATCCTGGCATTCCTACAGAGATGTTCATCAGTTTCACCGGTCAAGGCTCCATTCGTTATGGCCGTACTCCAGGATTTATTGATGTAAGTGAAATATTACATTGCTCTTGCAGTGTTGAACCTCAACTTACTCACTAGCTTCAGCTGTGGTCTGCCTGCTCTAGGTCTGTGTATTGAGTACTGCAGTCATTATATCCCTAATCAGCCCATGCATCCACACAATGCACCCAATCACACACCCACACCCACAACTCTCACACCCTCACACATACACCCTCTCTCCACACACACACACACACACATACACTCAACTCTTGCACATACACCCTCTCTCACAAACACCCTCTCACACACACAGAGACACACACACACTCTCACATGCATGCACGCACGCACGCACTCTCTCTCTCTCACACACACTCTCATACACACACACTCTCTCACACACACACACTCTCTCTCACACACACACTCTCACACACACACACACTCTCTCTCACACACACACACACACACACACTCATTCACCTGCCTATTCCAGGTCTGTCTATACAGAACTGCAGCCATGACATCGCCAGTCAGTCAGCCCATGCTTCCACCCACTTCACCCTTGTGACTACAGTACCTACCTGATTTTCTACCCTTGTGACTCGTGCACATAGCGTGGACTTTTCCCTGTCCTTGTTGTTGGCACCGAAGTATACTGGCTTGCCCAGAGTCTGGTCCAGCCTGGAGAACAATCAGACACTGAGTCAAACAAAACCCATAGCCCATCTGTAGCCATGTACTCCACACCACACGGCATGCTGAGTGACTGCATGCCACTATTTAAGTTCATAATAATCTCAACTCAACTCTTGAAAAAAACAAAATCATGCCTACTTAACAACCTGTATGGGATATCATCAAAGCCCTAGAACTCTCTCATGTTACACCATCTACACACTACGTTCCAGTGACCTGTCGTGCCCTTCTGTTGTTGTGTTGCATTAAGTGTTAAAGAGTTCGCCTTCTGCCTAAGCAATTTCGGCTGACCTGTCCCTCTTTGGGGCTCCAGTGTGTGAGTTTGGTATTCACATAATTTCTGTTTTTGTATTGATATGATTTCTATTTTCTTATAATTGATATGATTTCATTTTTATCCTTGGTTGCTCTGTTTATATACATTCGAGTAGCTGTCCATCTCTCAGAAATAGAGTTAGTGTTGTCTTCGCTATTGCATCTCTTGGCTTTAGGAGTTCTATGACAGAAAGTGCCCTTCTGCAATAGACCGGACCATATACCCTGACAAATACAAGCTCCGTTCACACCTGCTCTCATAGGTTTGTCTAGATGACCAATCAGTTGTCAAGAAGAGTCACATATTACCATACACCCAACTGTGATCAGACATCACATGGCTTGGACATATGAAAACATTCCTATCTTAATTGCAATCAACATTCCATTTTTGCAAAGAGAAATCTCACAATTTTGTAGATAAAGTTTTCCAGACTCATTTCTATAATATTTACAGTTCCAAGGTCACCATGGCCATTGACCTTGATTGACCTTGACCTGCTCACCTCCTCTGTAGCTCTTTGATTCTGACCATCATGTTGAGATGTCCCTGAGAATACTGCTCTATCACATCACGTACATCGTACGGCTTGCGAGCTTGCTGCAAACAACAACATTACGTTTGTTATCGGGGAAGCTGATGATGTATGAATGTCTTCCTTCAGTTGGCAAATTTCCAGAAAAGGCGGAAACAAATTGTCTGAAGTTTCTTTTCTAGGTTTTCCCAATTTACAAACTCAACTAGATTTTAGAACATGTAATGAATTACCTGTCCATTATCTATATCTTAAAATTACTGGCAATGGCATGGTTTGAACAGACAAACCTCACATAGCATTGTTTGAACAGACAAATCTTAAGCAGCATTGTTTGAACAGACAAACCTTGAGTGGAATTGTTTAAACAGATAAACCTTCAGTGGCATTGTTTGAATCGAAAAACCTAGAGTGGCACTGCTTGAACAGACAAACCTTGCATGTCATTGTTTGAACAAACAAACCTTGATTGACATTGTTTGAACAGACAAACCTTGAGCAGCATTGTTTGAACAGACAAACCTGGAGAGGCATTGTTTGAACAGACAAACATTGAAAGTCAGTGGTTGAATAGACAAACACTGATCTAGACTACCAGTTGTGGAAGCCTCGGTGGCTGAGGGGTTTAGATCGCTGCCTTTGTGTGCTGGCGATTCGGTGCCACACCTTGGCATTGTGGGTTTGAATCCAAGAGAGGACTCAACCCCAAAAAGTACTAGAATCTGTACTTTACTGAGAAAGAGTTATACCAAATATAACATTTGTTACACTGAGAGGCATTGTTCAGATGTCTGACCAAAATGTACTCACTGAGAATTTTCTTCTTGCTACAAAGAACTTGATCTTGCGAATCACCCTGATCATGACCTTGTGAGACTCCGTCAACCTGGAAACCACATGGGCTGTAACATGACAGGTGCTCTAGTATGTGTGTGGATGCCTGCCACCTTGCTGAGACCCGACAGAGAGTAGGAATATCCACATTCGGACATGGCCACTGTAAGTGTTAACTTATTAAGTGAGTGCGTGAGTGAGTGAGTGAGTATGGTTTTACGCCGCTTTTAGCAATATTCCAGCAATATCACGGCGGGGGACACCAGAAATGGGCTTCACACATTGTACCCATGTCGGGAATCGAACCCGGGTCTTTGGCATTACGAGCGAACCCTTTAACCACTAGGCTACGCGACTGACCCTAACTTATTAAGTCTTTGAAAGGCATTTACAAGTGATACACATAGGGAGGAGTAAGCATATACTCCGAAACGTTGTGTTCTTCATAATAAAGAAGTTGACATCCATAAAAGCATATACTCCGAAACGTTGTGTTCTTCATAATAAAGAAGTTGACATCCATAAAAGCATATACTCCGAAACGTTGTGTTCTTCATAATAAAGAAGTTGACATCCATAAAAGCATATACTCCGAAACGTTGTGTTCTTCATAATAAAGAAGTTGACATCCATAAATTTTCCTTCTTATGTTAACTTATTATTTTAAAGAATTGACTTCAATATTTTGGGGGGTTAATGTTGTCAATACCGTATTCGAATAAGCGTAATAAGCGCCCAGGGCGCTCTCAAAATTACAAATAGGGGGCTCTTATTAGTATATTATTTTGGTGAAAGTTGAAAGTTGAAAGATATATTTCGTGGTTTATGGTGACAGCCTGAAATGTTTATGTACAGCAGATATTTTTCCAGAATTTAATTGCTCATAACTAAGGGTGCATATAACACACGAGTGTGTATTATACACGAATAAATAAGTCTTGTGTACATTGATCAATCGGAAGGGGTGCTAATTGGGATTGTTCACTAGCCAATATATCAGCAAATATTGCCGTGGGCGCTTATTAGAGCGGGGCGCTTATTACGTCGAATACGGTATGTGAAGCAACAGTTTGTCATTTATACACTTCATGGAGTGCCAAATAATTTCCCCAAAACGTGACTGTTAAAACTCATCATCATTAAAATTCTATTTCAGTAAATAAGCCTGATAGTATGTTCATTTAGCTTACACAGACACTGTACACGCTGCTCTATTACCCAATTATTTATGAAATCAACATGTTTCCCACAGAGGTACTTAATTGCTAACAGCAATGATTACGAAACAGAAGGAGCATCATTTAAACACTATGTAACATAACTGCATGTTTTTATCAAGAACACGTTCTCTCTCAAGGACAGACAATTATTGAAGAATCAATGTAATTATTTTTGTCATTAGTGTATAAAAAAAAACCTGCCCCACTGAAGGTGGCTCTTGTACTCACTTCAACAACTCGAAATATCGACAAACCTAGCTTACGGATTTCAGTATAATTATTTTCACATCAGGATTCCATGGTGATTTTAGATTAGATAAGGATGTAAAGATTTTTCTATCAAAAAAAGATGAGAAACTTTTAACATTAATTGCTAAAATCGTTACATGTTTGTCATGCAGTACATTGAAACATTTTCTGATGGTACAACAATCACATAGGAAAGAGTTGTCTCCCCTTTGCAAGAAATTTGCATTATGAAAGAGCTGACAGATTATGTAAGTTTTACATGAAAACAAGAATGTGCTAACAAGGAACTGATCTAACTGGTATTCCAAATACCAAATTTACCTTCAGTGTCTGCATGTGTCAAATAACCCTTATACAGCTGAACCCCACTTATCTGGACACTTGTGTTTTCTCCAAAAGTTCCTGAATACATTAGTTTCGGCATATCTGAATACCTTGATAATTTATCAGAGTTTACACCCTTACCCCAATTCTATCGAGGCATAAAACCATTTGCATCAACAAAAAAGCTTTAGGATTAGTGTAATATTGACAGATTACCTTCCTTTTCCCGGAAAACAGATTTCAAAAAATAGAACAAGCATTTTATTTGGTATTTATTTTCTTTTTGCTTAAGTATCCAAGGTAAGTGTTCCAGGTGTCTGGGGTCTGGATAAGCAGGGTTCCACTATATATCCTAAAACTGCCAATCTGCAAGATGCTGCTAGGTTGAGAGAAGAAAACAGAAAGCTATCAACTAAAACTATTTTGATAAGGGACAGACTCTAAAACATGGACAATGTTTGATGTTTGAGATCTTGACCCTGGGATATGACCTACTGCTCTGGCTTTATGATGCAATCACCATCCATCTCATCCTCCAGTGACATGTCAGCATCGGAGCCGCGACCATACGACCCACAGCGGGTCGGGGTACCTGGAATAACAGTGAGTGCCGGTTGGTTCATTGTACACACAGGTGGTATTGCTAATGTGTGGTGTGTGGCAAAATTGATGAATTTCAATATTTTCTGGTACTTTGATCAACACTCAGGTTTAGAATAAATCGGCTACGTGATTAATCTTGTCAAATAGTCATTCTAATCTCGTGGCTTTACGACTCACTAAATATCTGTCACTTGATGAGAAACACAGAGTTAGATGAGCCAAACTACCTGTGTTGGATCTGCTTGTGCGTGTCTACATTTCCCCAGCAGTGATCTAGTGGAACTGTCTCATTAAGGGACAGTTTAATAGCTGTCAGTGAAGTGGTACATTGTTTCGTAAAGGTTCTAGAATCTGTACCTTAGTGTCACATTGCAGGAATAAAGACTTTGAAAGCCATATCAGCTTATGCCTAACTCTGCCATACTTAAGCTATATGACTGCAGCCTGTAAATAATTGGGTCTGGACCGGACAATCCAGTGATTGACATCAAGAGCATCGATCTACGCAATCTAGATAAAATGGCACACATCATCCAAGTCAGCAAGCCTAACCACCCGATCCCGTTAGTTGCATCTTATGACCAGCATGGGTTGCTTAAGATTAATTCTAACCCCAATCTTTTTAGGGGGGAAGAGGGGGCAAGCATGGGTTGTTAAAAAACAATTTTGTACAAAACAACCTTAGCACTACGACTGTTCTACGTCTAGTTAAGGTATGGGAGTTACGGTCACCTTAGTGCCAAGATCGCTTTCTACAACGGCACCCTGGAGTATTTCTTTGTTTGTCATTTAAAGCCGCACTCAGCAATATTCCCAGCTATATGACGGTGGTCTGTAAATAATCAAGTCTGGACCAGACAATCCAGTGATTGACATCATGAGCATCGATACGGGATACAATGACATGCATCAACCAAGTCAGCAAGCCTGACAACCTGATACCGTTAGTCCCCTCTTACGACAAGCATAGTGGCCTTTTACGGCAAGCATGGGTTGCTGAAGACCTATTCTACCCCGGATCTTCGCGGGCGCCCTGGAGTAGTACCTGGTTTAATGGCATCCAGCTGGTAGTTGGACAATGAGGAGCAACTCTCCTGTCTCTCCAGCATGTTGGGCCCGCGAAACGACCGCTTCTTCTTCAGAAGACTGGCTCGGCGGGCCATGCGTGAGAGAGCCGAGGGGTTGGCGTTGAGCCCGTACTGCTTGCTACCATAAAAATGATGGTGGCCGTTCTCCTGCACATGCACCTTCCATGTAGCGTTGGAGTTGAAGGACGACTCGGCAGCATGGCACCGCCACAAGCACTGGAGGACAGAACACAAGGATGGAGGTTATTCATCTGTAGAGCAGAGTTGCTATGAAGGGCATTACTCCTTTTGCAATAGTATTGCTAGGGTGAAACACACTATTGGGAAACTGATTGCAATGCTATTGCCATAGAAGTACAAAACTTGCTATTGTTAATACTATTGGGAAACTGTTTCAATGTAAGGACAACTATTGCAATAGTACTGCAATAGATAAAGACACTATTGCAGAACTACTGCAGTATAGCAACAAAAATTGCAGTAGTGTTGCTATTGGTAACACTAATGGGAAACTGTTTCAATGTAAGGACAACTATTGCAATAGTACTGCAATAGATAAAGACACTATTGCAGAACTACTGCAGTATAGCTACAAAAATTGCAGTAGTGTTGCTATTGTTAACACTAATGGGAAACTGTTTCAATGTAAGGACAACTATTGCAATAGTACTGCAATAGATAAAGACACTATTGCAGAACTACTGCAGTATAGCTACAAAAATTGCAATAGTATTGCTATCATTAAACACACTATTATGAAAGAATTGCAAAGTACAACTATTGAAATATACATACAATAATGAGTGAGTGAGTTGGGCTTGGTGCCGCTTTTAACAGCATTCCATTTATGTCAGGCTGTGTCATCTGAATGTGGGAGGAAAGCCAGAAGTCCAAGGTCTCCGACGTGGACCACTTTGGTGAAACCCATAAACACAGGTACTGTGCCGACAAACCTAGAAACATAATCGGGGCGAACAGGGATTCAAACCCACGATCATAGGTTCCTGGATCGCTAAGGGACGCAACTCTGCACAGCGAATTGAGGCGCCTTAGATGACTGGGCCATCCGTGACCCCGAGACATACAATAGTTTTATAGTGAGTGAGTGAGTGAGTTTGGTTTAACGCCGCTTTTAACAGTATTCCAGTTATATCACGGCGTGTCAGCTTAATGTGGGAGGAAAGCCCGAAGTGATGCAGGTCTTAGACGTTTACCACTTCGGTGAAACCCACGAACACGGTATGGTGCTGACAAACCTAGAAACATAATCTGGGCGATCCGGGATTCGAACCCACAATCATAGGTTTCTGGCGTGCCGAAGGGACACAACTCTGCACAGCGAATTGCAGCGCCTTAGACGACTGGGCCACCCGTGCCCCCCAATAGTTTTATAAGTACCATCTTACAACACAGATTAACCTGCACTACATGACATGATGACAAAGCCTCACACATGTGCCAGATTTAGCCGACGGCACCGGGAGGAAGGGAGATGCTCTACATCGATATGGTCTGGTGTAAAGTAAGGAATGGTTTCTAAGTGGATACCCATGTTTTTCATGAAGCATGGTGTAGTTTGGACAAAAATAAATTGAAGAGTATATGAGTACTAGTATTTTTTGGCATTGTATTACATCTGTCAATACTATCAATAGTGTAAGGAAGCATCAGCATTAACGTTTGATATTTTAAGTTGTCACGGATGTATTGTCATCGTGTCATTGATAATGCTAATGCATAGTTTGATCAATTTTTAAACCTCATGTGTGAGAGCTTCTGCTATATGTAGCTCACCTATATGAGAGATGCGGCTGTATATAACTCACATGTATGAGGTATGTGTCTAATATAGTTTACCTGTAAGAGATGCTGCTGTATATAGCTCACCTGTATGAGAGATGCTGCTGTATATGGCTCACCTACTTGAGAGATGCTGCTGTATTTAGCTCAACTGATGAGAAATGCTGTATATAGCTCACCTGTATGAGAGATGCTGTTTTTAGCTCACCTACATGAGAGATGATGCTGTTTTTAGCTCACCTACATGCCAGATGCTGTCTTTAAATCACCTACATGACAGATGCTGCAGCATATAGCTCACCTATATGGGATGCTGCTGTGTATAGCTCACCTGTATCAGAGATTCTTCTGTGTACAGCTCAGAATGAGTGCTGCTGCTGTATATAGCTCACCTGTATCAGAGATTCCGGTGGGTATAGCTCAAAATGAGAGAGGCTGCTGTATATAGCTCACCTGTATGAGGGATGCTTCTGTATATAGCTCACCTGTATGAGGGATGCGGCTGTACATAGCTCACCTGAATGAGAGTTGCTGCTGTACATAGCTCACCTGTATGAGAGTTGCTGCTGTACATAGCTCACCTGTATGAGAGATGCTGCTGTGGGAATCTGTCTGTTAAAATGCTTTTGCCTTTGCTTTTGCTGAACCTTCAAGGCAAACCCAGACCCCAAGATACCCTGGAAAACAATAATGAGAGTCAAACCCAGACACTGAGACACACTGGAACACTCCAATAGCACTCAGACCCAGGCTTCAAGATACTGTGGGACTAAATCAGTGATGCTTCACACACACACATTCCCAGAAGGCTACACAGAGAGTAGTCTATCTGACCCTTGTCATGCAGCATTGGGGAACTTGATGACTCTCACCATATTGATTCAGTGTGGCGCAACATCCTGACGACATTCACCAATAATTCACTGGGGACCGATAATCCGTATATCCCCGTTTTTTATACTCAAGACTTAATACTTAATTGATTTACCCGTTACTCAAATATTTCCAAATCGTATGTCTTGATGGACTCTAAATCAGGATTCCGTTAAAGACTTATATAGTACCATCGGTTCACTCGACTATGTATTGTAAAGCTTTATAAAACATTTGGTCAAGGTCAACTTCGCATTATGGTTGTTGTAATAGGTTCAATCTTACTTGCATGGTTCAGCTGTGTAAAACATTTAGTCAAAGTCAATTCACGATTCTGGTAAAGGTTTTAATGATACCATCGGTTCAACACTCCATGAACGGTTGACCTTTATGAAACATTTACTCAAAGTTCACCTTCAGTTTAAACTGCCATGGATTGTTCAGTTTTATAAAACATCAGGTGAAGGTCAACTTATGATTCTGTTTAATATTTTAAAGACACAATCAGTTCAATAGTCCATGCATTTTTCAGCACCATCAAACATATAGCCTCATGGGTATCCCGGAGTAGGTGGAAGAGTACCACAATCTGGTCTACACTTTCACGGGGGTTTTCTCATCCATTTAAGTTTGATAAATGTCATTCCGTTTAATTTTGCAAACATTAATTGCATTGCAAAGCCAAACAGAAGGGTCTTCACAGACAGCCCTTCCGAAACCTCATCAAGTGACAGTTTCTTGAATCACTGTGGACTTAACAAAGTCCACCAGAATACAAATGTCAACCGTACAAAACGATCGATACTCATCAGGCATTTTTTCCTGTTTCTTCTTAAGTATATAGGAGGCAGTCTGCCTATTTCCTATTGATGTGGCACACCTATGACAGCATCACCTTAGGTCATGCCTACGGCAAAAGCAAAAACCAGCTCCAATAGCATAACCCTTCAAGGCTGGCTGTGAACCTTAAGATAATATTACCTATTTGTATACAGTTTTAAATGGTGACCTACGAGGCTTGCTTCTGATGAATAGATATAACCCTAGGGCTTAAACAGTTATGCGACAATTAATTTCTTTTGGAAATAACTTAATTTCGCTCATTGATCTTTGAACATGCAGATTAAATAGTTTTTCAAAAACATAATTAACATGTTTAAGATTTTTTCAAATTAAACTGCATCGGCACTTGTTTACAAAGGCCTTTGTTGCCGAGTCCTTGAATTCATTAAACTGTTGTTATTACCCTCTCACACTATGATGTAATTGTAGCCAATCAGCTGGTATAGATTCAGCATGAATAAATTACCACAATTTTCAATTTGAAATTACTTGGAATGTGGTTTTTTTAATCTGTAGTGATTCTTCCCACTAACATGGTACATGCTCACATTTCCCTCAATAATCGCACATGATCTTGGCAAACAAATTTTTTCACCAATTGCATGGCTAAAACTGGTATTTCACAAACAAACACTGTTTTCTGCCACTGAGTTGTCTAACATGAAGCAAGCTGTGTTATTTCCTCCTGGCATTATGGGTATGAAGTGCACGCAATGAAACAAAGATTTTGATGAGCTGCGTGTCAATCTGGCTCACTAATGTTTAATATTGATCGACGACTCCCAATCATTGCCCCAACATGCTAATCTGTCAGCGGTTTGTGTCAGTGCCACTGATTGCGATACACCCACCAACGTTAAGTAAACACACTTCGGCCTTTCTGTCTTCAAGGGGAGGAACATTTTTATATCATCGTCCTGTCTCGCGTCTCTTTATCTCAACCAATCAGCTGATTACTCTATTTGATTAACCATTTAAAACATCATTGCTTTCCTCTTTTAGCTTTTTCTTGTTTGTCTAATTCTTTTCCCCATCAAGGAATGTTTTTTAACAGCCTGTTTAGTAGACCTGTGTCTATTCCCCAGCAATCTCCAGTGCAATGCAAAGTAATGCTTGGCACAAAAAACAAATCAAATCAACATATTTTTTTTCAAGAAGCTTCAGAACACCAGATGAGGAGATCCCTTCCTGAGCCAAGAAATATTGATAAAAGCTCATGTTTCAGAAGGTAGAAAAATTAACTTTATAGAATACTGTGGACTAAAATTAGCTAACTCGAATCTTCCCTTTTTTATGATATTGTAAATCTGCCTTGAAATAAATTTATTCTCAACACTATTTGCCCAATGGGACTGCTGTGGAATAAATGGAATATTTTTTCCAGATTTCATTTTTTTGTCTGTGCCTGTACTTGCCAAATTATTAAGCATCTTGTAGGGACCTAAAATCGACTTTTCACTACACCAAATTCCTACTTTTTTCTCACAAGTCATAAAAATTTCAATTTTAGTTTTTGCCTCTCTGTTATAACTTTGGTTACACCACAGTCGCATTTGGTGGAAATTAAAAATAATGAAGCCAATTCCAGCTCCCCTTGAAGGTAAGGGTGTTGTTTAAGTTAAAATTCTTGTTCCTCGGGCGCCGACAGCATCAACAAGACGTCACAGCTGGATGTCATTTGCTATATAACCACAACAGACCTGCCAATATCAATGTTTGTAAAGACTTATGCTTGCTAGCAAGCAGTTCAAGTTAATTGATGTTTCTGTAAGTAATAAATCTAAAGCTTTTTTGGAGGTCCTGCTGCAACAAGGTCGAAGCTTGTTTTAGCCTGAATAGTGCCCGACTAGTTAAGTTTACTGACAACAAATAGAACAACAAAATACAGATATAACACCTACTGTCAGTCCAATATTATATATATATATAAAGAGAGTTTTAGAAAATTAATTATTTGTTAGACACATAAGTTGCCACCTATAAAAAAAAATATATGCTTTATTTTAAGTGGTGTTTTATTTAGGTGTAAAATTAGGCTACAAAATTTCCCCCTTTGAAAGGAAGCATCCCTGCTAAGCAAACCTCCAAATGCTATCAGCCCAATGTATATATCGGCAATGCATTGTTAAATAAACTACTAGGGTAAAACATATCATACATATATCTCAAGAGATATATCTTAATTTTACATTTCATACTTAAAGAATTCTTATTTCTCAACAAAGATTTTCTCAAGGTATTGCTGCCATGCAGTTCTTAAATTTAACTTTACTAATTAATAACAGATTGTTTGCTATCTGTGATCAAGAACAATAGTCAAATGCTCGTATGTACCTCCAATGAAAGCATTCTGCCATGTAAGCAGTTTTAATTTTTTTTTTTAATATTACACATCACAATATAAAATTTACTGAAGGAAATATTAAAAATAATACCTGACATTATTACAGCCCATATCCCCCCCCCCCCCCCTGTCAGTAATAACAGAACTATACATACTGCAGGTAAGGCGAAGAATGAGATAGCAAACACGGAGAAACAGGAAGCCACGATACGTCCCATCCAGGTCTGCGGAACCGTGTCGCCATAGCCTATAGTGGTAACCGTTATCTGAAACACATCAAGCAGATCAATTAGCGCCTCACTGAACAAAGCTATTAAATGCTGCTACCAGCCGTTTCAGTCACTGACGGCTTTCATACCATCGAGGATCAATCCTTCATTATACGTTCCAAAACAACTTGAAACTATTTGATTCTTAGCCTTCTTTCACTTAGCACTGACAACTATTATTGATTAAGGTTGTTGACCTATATTCAAATATTAATGAAATGTCAATCACAGTATGCTATTTTTTTATCACTTTTATTTGCGGGAACATGTCTCTACTGCAGCACTCATCTAAATTATACGTACTGCTCCAAAATACTTAAGGATCACCCAATTGTCTTATACAACTACAGTTAATCTGTCATGGCATGGCACATGAACAATAGTAACATGAAAGAAATGGGTGGTCCCTAACGTTTTTTATTAGTGCCTGATCACCTTCACTTACATTTGACTGAGTGCGTGGGCTTGATTTTATGCTACTTTTAACTCACTCACTCACTCACTCACTCACAAAATGACACAGCTTGGCTCAATCTCATGAGCAGGGCATGGTGCTGACTAACCAAGAATCATAACCAGGGTAAATCTGGGCTTTGAACCAACAATCACTGGATCCTGGCATGTTTAGGGGACATAACTCTCCCCAATGAATAGATATATAAGGTAAAATACAGAGGTTATAGGTGTAGGAACAACCTATAGGTGTGTCAGATAATGAAAGCACTCACCACACCCCACCAGAGGGCGTCTGCATAGCTGGTGAAATCTGTCGTACCATCCTCGCCTACCGCGTCTTTCTCCGCCAGATACACAAAGTAGGAAGAGAAGATGAGTCCCAGAAACCCTATATACAGTGTTGTTATTAATTCCTGCAAAGAAACAGACAGCCTATATACAGCATTGTTATTAATTCCTGAAAGGAAACAGACAGTTTATATACAGCGTAGTTATTTATTCCTGCAAGGAATCGGACACCCAGTAAAAAATGGTTAATAATTCCTGCAAGGAATCGGACACCCAATGTACAATATGTTAATTAGTTCCTGCAAGGAATCGGACACCAAATATACAAAATGGTATTTACTTCCTAAAAAGGAATTGGACACCCAATGTACAATATGGTAATTAGTTCCTGCAAGGAATCGGACACCAAATATACAAAATGGTAATTAGTTCCTGAAAGGAATCGGACACCCAATGTACAATATGGTAATTAGTTCCTGCAAGGAATCGGACACCAAATATACAAAATGGTAATTAGTTCCTGAAAGGAATCGGACACCCAATGTACAATATGATAATTAGTTCCTGCAAGGAATCGGACACACAATGTACAATATGGTAATTAGTTCCTGCAAGGAATCGGACACCCAATGTACAATATGATAATTAGTTCCCACGAGGAATCGGACACACAATGTACAATATGGTACTTAGTTCCTGCAAGGAATCGGACACCCAATGTACAATATGGTAATTAGTTCCTGCAAGGAATCGGACACCCAATGTACAATATGGTAATTAGTTCCCACAAGGAATCGGACACACAATGTACAATATGGTACTTAGTTCCTGCAAGGAATCGGACACCCAATGTACAATATGATAATTAGTTCCTGCAAGGAATCGGACACCCAATGTACAATATGGTAATTAGTTCCTGCAAGGAATCGGACACCCAATATACAAAATGGTAATTAGTTCCCACAAGGAATCGGACACCCAATATACAAAATGTTTTTTAATTCCTTAACATAAACAGGAAACCATTATCCTTTGATTAAATATAACCTTATGTTACATTTCACCAATGGTATACTTGTCAAAACTCTTGTTCTAATTTCTAAAGCAAGCAAATTATCAAGTGAACTTTGACATTCATACCACAAAACAGGAAACCAGACTGGCCTACATGTCAAACATACAACTGAAGTCAGGGCTGTCTGCCCACTAGATCTGCCCACTAGATCTCTAGGCTACATTCATTTAAACCCTGCATCACACAGCTCAAGGTGGTCTTGAAACTGTGTTACCAAATGTTCACCTGTCAAACATAAAGATTAAATTTGCATACAAGTGTGTCCAAATCTACTTGGGTATCACACAGAAACTCAGTTCCTGCAACATCTGATATTATGACCTTTAATATGATCTTGGTGTCAGTATAACAATGTTATAAACTGAATTAACAGAGGCAAAGACTTCAATTATAAAAAGGTCAGTTTTACCCACATCTGAGCTTGACGAAGCAAGAAAATAATCACTGCTGGAAATGATTTTTTTTTCACTTCCACAAATCTCAACATTCGCGACGCTTAATCTGAAAAAGCTACAGCAGCCACACACTGGGGGAAATGAGTCCGTTCATGCCCGAGATTCCATAACATATTTCTATTTCCTGCATGTTATTAAATCTAAAATGCTTCCTTCCCACTAGGCAAATTAGTTGAAGCCCTCTTGAAAACACGGCACCAAACCAAATACGGCTCTTTTGAGGAGACATGTTTTTCATGTTGCGTTTTGAGGGCTGTCGTGCTAGGAACAACACAGCCTCTACAAATACCATTCTACACGAAATCTAATTCCGAACAATATCCCAATTCCATTATTTTCCCCCGAGGAAAACCACACTGGCAAAACAAGAGCGATCATGATGACAATAAAAGCACTCTACCAGGACGATGACTTCAAGGATAGTACTGAATAAAAGAAATCTCTGTACAGAGGAAAATGATGGTTGCTAACCATCCTCTCGAACAAACACATCGGTCTGCTACAAGATCAACAGAATTCACTACATCAGCGTGGTGTATCTTATTTTCCTTCAAAACTTCTCTTCGTCAATATGTATCCATTCAATCAGTTCATTCATAATGTACAAGTCTCACAGCTTCTAGGACTGTCTCTTGTTGGGAAGCTATATTAGTTCTGACATCAACTTTTACTCTGTTTGTATAATGAAGAAAGATGTCAGTTTTTTCATTGCCTCATACAAAACACCAAGCCAATGTATTTTCATTCAGGATTTTATAGGGTAATATGCCACTGTGGGAAGTGTGAACAGAAACAAAAAGTCGTTTGGATTGATTTGAAAATAACTGCAACAACAAATTGATGTTGATGAAACTTTAAATTATAGTTATATTTCTAATAATGCCTACGAATTGTAATGTTTTTAGTTTGTGAAGATAAGGTGTTTGAAACAACACAGGGAGTTTTTCAGAATCTGTATTAGTTTTATTCAGTTCTGATGGTCACAGGGGGCACAGGTGGCCCAGTTGTCTAAGGCTCCGCGATTTGCTGCTCAGAGTTGTGTCCCTTGGGCACATCAGAAACCTATGATTGTGGGTTCGAATCCCGGTTCGCCCAAATTATGTTTCTAGGTTTGTCAGCACCATACCCATGCTCGTGGGTTTCACCGAAGTGGTAAATGTCAGAGACCTGCATCACTTCGGGCTTTCCTCCCAAATTAAGCTGACACGTGTGGATATAACTGGAATAATGTTAGAAGCGGCGTTAAACCCAACTCACCCACCCACCCTAATAAAGTAATGAAACATCATCCACTGTCTATTCTAGCTTGTGTGTGTTAACAACCTCGATCGGCTATACAAAGCATGCACCAAAGCAGCCTATTACAGAGCAACCTGTACAAGCTTCCAATATGGATAATTGCCTTCTGTCGGTATTTATCAGTTGTTGAGATAAGTACGTTGACAATCTAGCTGGGTGTTCTCTAACATCATGTCATTCAATACGATAACATAACCACAAATTTCATGTTTGATTTCTTCTACCTTATGTATCTGTTATAGTTTGTCTGAAATCTGATTGACATATTGAACCTAAACGTTCCTTTAACATGAAGTAGGATTTTGAGACATAATCAATTTGTTCAGGGTCAAGACAATCAACTTGTGAGCGATGATGAGACTCAGATGTGCTGAATGAGTCCCCCTGATAGAAAGTGGACATTCACACAGAAATTCTGCCAAACTGAACACAAAACAGTCAGGTAATGTTGTTGTTGTTTGTTGTTTGTTGTTTGACGCTGCACTCGGCAATATTCCAACCATATGACGGCGGTCTGTAAATAATCGAGTCTGGACCAGACAATCCAGTGATTGATATCATGAGCACCGATCCACGCAATTGGGATATGATGACATGCATCAACCAAGTCAGAGGTGGGTTATGTGAGTGAATTGATCAGCTTTGGGCACGATTGAAACCCATAGGTGTGATGCAGAGAAACCAAAGATCATAATGGTGGATTTAAACCCCTGATCAGCAGATCATGGCAGATCAAGGGAGGCAACTCTTCACTGTGACTTTCTGAACCACGTGCGCTGCCTCAAGATGACATGAGTCATTAGGCAGTGATGGTTATTGGTTGGGTTTTCACCTTTAGTTGTTGCTCATTCCCAGGACTCTTTTGTTTCCAAAAGATAATTCAAGGACTGTAACCGAGTATTTTGCATATTTTCAAGCAAGCACATGTCAATCAATTGACAGGTCTTGATTTGAGGAACTTGATTTAACTTGCACCAGGTGCATGTTAATATGAAAACTTAGTTGCACCAGAGAAAACCAGGTTGTTGTGTAAGTAAGGCCCTGTCAGATGCAAATAGGAATTCCACCACCATGCACTTGGTGCAAGTAGACATAAATATCAGGTTGCACTTTTCAATAATAGATTGCACTGGTGCAGTTTTACATGGTTAAATCAAGCCCTGGATGACCTGTTCACTCGGCGTGATGTGGAGGACCTGTCCACCTGAACATCTGTCATGACGTTTTTATTTGTACAAATGATTCTTGACTCTTTCAACCAATCATTGCATGTGTACAGGATAAAAGTCAATCTTTGATTACAATCTGTCTCTGCATGTGTACAGGATAATAGTCAATCCCTGATTACAATCAATCACTGCATCTGTAGATGATTACAGGTCAATCATTGATTACAACCAATCATTGCATGTGTACAGGATAATAGTCAATCCCTGATTACAATCAGTCATTGCATCTGTAAATGATTACAGGTCAATCATTGATTACAACCAATCATTGCATGTGTACAGGGTAATAGTCAATCTTTGATTACAATCAGTCTCTGCATGTGTACAGGATAATAGTCACTCCCTGATTACAATCAATCACTGCATCTGTAGATGATTACAGGTCAATCATTGATTACAACCAATCATTGCATCTGTAGATGATTACAGGTCAATCATTGATTACAATCAATCACTGCATCTGTAGATGATTACAGGTCAATCATTGATTACAACCAATCATTGCATGTGTACAGGGTAATAGTCAATCCCTGATTAAAATCAGTCATTGCATCTGTAGATGATTACAGGTCAATCATTGATTACAACCAATCATTGCATGTGTACAGGGTAATAGTCAATCCCTGATTAAAATCAGTCATTGCATCTATAGATGATTACAGGTCAATCATTGATTACAACCAATCATTGCATGTGTACAGGGTAATAGTCAATCCCTGATTAAAATCAGTCATTGCATCTATAGATGATTACAGGTCAATCATTGATTACAACCAATCATTGCATGTGTACAGGGTAATAGTCAATCCCTGATTACAATCAATCACTGCATCTGTAGATGATTACAGGTCAATCATTGATTACAACCAATCATTGCATTTGTACAGGGTAATAGGTCAATCCTTGATCACAACCAATCATTGCGTTTGTACAGGGTAAGAGGTCAATCATTGATCACAACCAATCATTGCATTTGTATGTGGTAATTGTGTCATCATCAATATCAATCAATTGTCAGAACACAACTGCTTTATGGAAGGAAACTTATTTTGAAAGCTTTGTTCTAACTGCCATGATCTGAGGTTCATTTTCATCAGTCTGTGTTCTGCTTTATATATCAGGCATTAAGCCAAAAGGGCTGTCCTTGAATAGGTATTGGCTAAAAATAGATTGCAAAGACTGATTGGAATAAGATTAATTAAAACTCCATGCCTCTTCACCATCAAACACAAGGAAACATGGGTGCATGAGTATTGCTATTAACTAGCATGTGCACATGTCTTTCCTCAAACATACCCCGAAAAGAAATTAACCCCATTTCTGGTGTCCCCTGCCGTAATGTTCCTGGAGAATTGATACAAGTGGCGTAAAACCATACTCACTCACTTAACAAAAAAAAAAAAATGATTCAATTTCACAAAATATTACCTTATCAGAATACTGGCATGCAAAATTCCCATTGGCCTCACAGAAAGATAGAATTCTGAATACACTTTAAAACAAACACAATTCCCAGATTGAAGTATTGACCATAAAGAAACATAAGCTTCACCTCAGCTTAAACAGAGAATGAAAGAACGCTGCCTGGAACAATTTATGGTTCCAATACGCATGGTATAACATTGTTGTAATGAAAGAAAAAAGTTTTAATATGCAATTTGTGGACTGGTGCATGCCTCGGTGACCTTTAGGAAATATGGTATTTCTTAAAAGCAGGCATTAATCAAGTCACATGTAAGGTTTATGTTAGTAAACGTACAGGTCTTGGTGCTGGCTGGAGTGCGAGGCATACTGCATGGGACGGAGGTTGGGATAAATAGATAGTCACTCTAACACAAGGCCAGTTCAAGGGGGAACGACATACCAAAATATTCATTATGAAAATGATAGACAATATCTTGTTTTCTACTGAGAAATTCTTGATAATATTTGTTTGATTTGGGAATAAGGATGAGGGTCATCAAAATACAGAAAATCATAAAGAGGATGACCCCTCCCCTCTCCCTCACCCCTAAAAAACATTTGAAAAGCGAGTATGGTGTTACGCCGCTTTTAGCAATATCATGGCAGGGGACACCAAAAATGGGCTTCACGCATTGTACCCATGTGGCGAATAGAACCCGGGCCTTTCAGCGTGTGGATTGAATGCTTTAACCACTAGGCTAACCCTCTACCCCTTGAAAAGGGTAACATGCAATCACAAAATGTATTCGACCAGGTTTGCATCTTTTCCAGAGAAACATGGCCTTGTTCTTCAAAGCACAAAGTCATTTATTGTGATTAGATTGCAAGTCAATGTAAAAGTTGTGAAAGTCGTTTCATAAAATTAATTTGGTGGAAAAAGCCCTAGTCACAAAATCTGTTGAAAAATGTAGTTTTTCAACTAGACAGTCAGGCCAGCTTTACGGAAATGTAACTAGCCGTATTTCTAAGTCACTGGCATTTGTCTCTCAGGCAGGCAGCTAGCTAACACTGGTGTGAATGACGTACCTGTCTATGTATGTACACTACTGAACCTAGAAGACGCCAGGTGCCTCCCTGTCGGTCCACGTGCAACATACGCAGAATCTGCAGGAATCTCACTCCCCTGTAAACAACACAGCAAGTTTCAATACATTAAACAAGGTCATCATACAAAGAGTTAAATAGGTAAATCATTTACCAAGATGAACCTGCTACCCCAGTGTAAGGCAATTGTAGGAAGGAACAAAGCAGAAAGCCTGTTCTCATTAAAACATGATGGAAAAATGTCTAGACTACACGTGTAATAAAAACTAAATTAGGTATACAGAACACCTAGAACAGGTCCTCATTCGCTCGAGTCTGTAGTCAGTGGTATGTCCAACACTGGTGCCATGGTGGCCAATGGGGGGTGGAGGGGTGGGGGTTGTGGAGTGGAGTGGAGTGGAGTGGAGTGGAGTGGAGTGGAGTGGAGTGGAGTGGAGTGGAGTGGAGTGGAGTGGAGTGGAGTGGAGTGGAGTGGAGTGGAGTGGAGAGGAGTGGAGTGGAGTGGAGTGGAGTGGAGTGGAGTGGAGCGGAGCGGAGTGGAGTGGAGTGGAGTGGGTGGAGGGGTGGGGGTTGTGGAGTGGAGTGGAGTGGAGTGGAGTGGAGTGGAGTGGAGTGGAGTGGAGTGGGGTGGAGTGGAGTTGGTGGTGGGGTTCGGTTGTGTTGGGTTGGGTGAATGTGTGAGTGAGAAAGTGTGAGTGAGTGAGTGAGTGGGTTTGTGTGTGTGTGTGAGAGAATGTAAGTGAGTGGGTGGGTTAGGGGGCAGGTGAGGGAATGGGTATGCGAGTGAGTGATTGGGTGAGTGAATGATTGGATGAGTAAGTGAGCGAGCGAGTCACAGTGAGTGAGTGAGTCGGTTAGTGGGTGAAAGAGGGGAGTGAGTGAGTGAGTGAGTGGGTTGGTGTGAGAGTGTGTGAGTGAGTGAGTGAGTCGATTGGTGAATGAGAGAGGGGAGGGAGTGGGCGAGTGAGTGAGTGAGTCGGTTGGTGAATGAGAGAGGGGAGGGAGTGGGTGAGTGGGTGAGTGAGTGAGTGGGTGAGTGAGTGAGTGAGTGAGTGAGTGAGTGAGTGAGTGAGTGAGTGAGTGAGTGAGTGAGTGAGTGAGTGAGTGGGTGGTTGGGTGAGTGGGTAAGTGGGTGAATGGGTGGGAGTACTAGTCATAACAATCCACTTTGTTGTGATACAGTTGATATTTTCTATACCTGTATTGTTTTGTATCAGCACAAAGTATTGCAAAGAACTGAACCTCTCTCATGACACTACGCCATGTCCACAAGGATACAGCTGTTTCTAAAGCAATGGGTACATCTTGTGACTGTTAGTCAACATACGGGTGTGTCTTGTGGTTATTTCTCACCTGATTGCGGAGGTAGCGAACACCTGGCCATTTGAGCCTACTGAGAGAACCACTATAGATGCGATAACTACAAGGAAATCTGAAAAAAGAAAAACCAAACACACAATCTGATGTTTGTTCATACATTCTCTGATTGTCTGCATTTGCACTATACATTTGTGTCTTGATTGAACAGGTATATCATAAATCTCCCATTAAACCGTTTATGGTGTTGTTTGATGCAACAGTAATCAATATTAACTTTATATCTTGGTGTCCTGTAAATTAACAAATCTGAACCATAAAAGCATGTGGTTGATAGTATGATGTCAGAATCAAATTTGAGTCAGATTTTTACTGCAAAAGATGAATGTCAAATGTAAAAAATATAAGATTGAAGTTTATCGCAATTACTGAAATTTATTTGTATTTAACTACATCTAATGATAAAATGAAACAAGGCATTGGACACAATCACTACCCAGTACATGACACTGCCCCAGTACAAGACACTGTCTGCCCACACTGTCTGCCCAAGTACATGACACTGCCTTCCCCAGTACATGACACTGTCTGCCCCAGTACATGACACTGCCTTTCCCAGTACAAGACACTGTCTGGCCCAGTACATGACACTGCCTTCCCCAGTACATGGCACTGTCTGCCCACACTGTCTGCCCAAGTACATGACACTGCCTTCCCCAGTACATGACACTGTCTGCCCCAGTACATGACACTGCCTTTCCCAGTACAAGACACTGTCTGGCCCAGTACATGACACTGCCTTCCCCAGTACATGACACTGCCTTCCCCAGTACATGACACTGCCTTCCCCAGTACAAGACACTGCCTTCCCCAGTACCTGACACTGTCTGCCCCAGGACATGACACTGTCTGCCCCAGTACATGACACTGCCTTCCCCAGTATATGACACTGTATGCTGCAGTACATGACACTGCCCCAGTACAAGACACTGTCTGCCCAAGTACATGACACTGCCTGCCCCAGTACATGACACTGTCTGCCCCAGTTCATGACACTCCCTTCCCCAGTACATGACACTGTCTGCCCCAGTACAAGACACTGTCTGCCCCAGTACATGACACTGTCTGCCTCAGTACATGACACTGCCTTCCCCAGTACATGACACTGTGTGCCCCAGTACAAGACACTGTCTGCCCCAGTGCATGACACTGTCTGCCCCAGTACATGACACTGTCTGCCTCAGTGCATGACACTGTCTGCTGCAGTACAAGACACTGCCCCAGTACAAGAAATGGTCTGTCTAACAGAGGAGCAGGAAAGGGACATATGATGCACTCCGGTTGTGGAGTGACACCTTGACTCTGCCCTGAACATGACGTAGTGCCAGTGATGTCTCTCACGCTGCACCTGACATTGAGCCCACTATTTTCTTAGGATTAACCGCACTTCTTTACAAGTAAGTTTGGCTTCATTGTGGTAGGGCTTGTCTCTGGCTAATGGTGGAAGCAGACAGTCTCATTCCAATCCAAGTCTGCATTTAGGTCTTCGGATCAAACTTCCTCAGAAGCTGTAGCACTGCATGGCCATGATAATTAAAGTTTGGCATGCACCAGTCTTTCTAAGCCAAAATGTATCATTGTCCATTTAGTCACCAACAGAGTCAGCATGGTGCTTATCTGGCCTTGAAATGACAGCCTCTGATTGGCAAATAAACTACCCACTAGGGCTTTCCCCGTCGGATCAAGTCTCATGAAGGAAAACTTAACCTACAAAACCGTGTCCTTATGATGTACTATTGTGTTCATGACAAGGAGTATTACGGAAACAACTTCTTTATTATACACGCGTCGCACCTACACAATGTTTCAGGGCTCCGTCTTGCCCCATCATCACCTCACTGTGGGTATATGGTACAGAAGTTCCGATCCATAGCACTCCTCATCATGATTACACCCTACTTCCATATGCCGATAAACACTCTCAATATTGTGCTACAATCACATTACCGGGACGGGGGCCCCTCTCACCTGACACTCACAACTGGTAAATCCCCACTGAATCTGTCAGCTGCTATTTCTATGTTAAAACTAAATGTTCTGAATCTCCTAGTAAAACAATAGAAAGCTGATCTTTGAAAACGCCAAAAAGATTCTTGATGCTTTTATCTCCTTGAGATCCTTTTTTTGTACCCCACCCCCCACAAATACATAAAAGAATCCCTTTTCTACTATTTAACCTACATTTTCTCTCTCTCAGTGTTTGATTGATTGAATAAGTTCACTTAGATGTCCGAACATGGCCGTCAGACATTAGCTACTCAGTGGTGTCATTTATTGAAGATTTATTAATGTTTTATTTTTACTTTCTCAAAATATTTTAAAAAAATCCAAATATGATCAGGTGCTCAAAATGAAACTAATTTCCTTCTCCTCCTTTTCAGTCTCTCAGACCGATCTAATATATTTCCAGAGATCAGCCTTAATTATACATCATTAGTGGATCTTAAACTTCAATTATTAGGAAAATGCTGTGTTTGATTAAAAATGATTTTTTTAATCACTTTACAATAACTTGAAATCAACCCCAACAGCATTTATTACTTTAAAATTTTGCTTCTGTTTCTTGGCATATTGAGCAGACGTCAAGTTGTAATCCATTACGAAGTCTAGCCTACTGATATACCCGACCCTTAGCATTTCATATCGATAACCAGGATGGATAAATAGTGTCAGTGGATGCTTCTTTTAAAACTAAATCATCCTAGAATAAGTTGTCAAGGAAATAGTATGCTGACATGAACTCTTAAAAAAACAATTGTCTGGCATCACTGGCTCCGTCTATGAAGACGCAGAGATGACTCAAACTGGCGAGAGATTTGACTGTTATATCACCAACGGTATGTTTACTCAAGTACCAGCAAATAGCCATTGATTTCGCCACTTTCTCAGCTTTCTACGTCAAGTGAAATCTAATCGCGCGTCACATCCACGCATGGAATTCAATTACTTTGTGGTGAGAGATGCTGAGAGTAAACAAGGCACTTCCACCATCAAAAGAACCTACACCCTTCAAGGAGGAATCTACAGCAAATCAGTTTGAAAATCAAATATCAATTAGCTATGTGTCAACAAAACTAATATACCCACAAATACTTCCTAGTGGCATGAAAGTTTAGGAATGTAATGATCATTAGTCCCCACTCTGCAAGGTTCACGTATTGCAATCGCCAAGGTAAATGTTTAAGATTGTGATTGGGCGCAATTAATCAGGAGTTGGACCGATCTTGTGAAGAGAGTACATGGACATTGATATGAAACATGGTGGTCGATGCTCTGCGAATCATGCATCAAGGCTAATTTCCACATGCATTTAAAGTGGGTGGCAGTATGCTTTCTTCATCAAGCCCAGCTAAAGCTGTTGTGCTAAATGATCGCCCTCCCTAGAGATTCCCTCTTCAGTAGCGGTTTGCCATACACCAACACCACGGCCAGCAAGTGCAAGGGCTTCAGTGTCGATCTCCTCAATTCCACACAAGCACTCTGTTAATAGGTTCCTGACGACTGCAATGTTCACTTTCATCATATATCATTCCAATGGGGCTACAGAGTATAGAATCTAAACAAGGCCAATCACAGCTATTCTCTATCAAATAGACTCTCAGATACTGGAGTGGCTGGTCTCGGAGTTTCCAAAGTTCGTTGTGCTGCTTGGAAGACCTGCAAAGGGCACTGTTTTCCCCATCGCAGGTACTCACCTATAACTGAAATGGGTTTTCGTGCAAATCGTAATCGTCCCCGAGCTCCCATGTACTTGCTCCTGCATCCGGCCGACCACAACCGGATTGCGTACTCCAACCCAAAGAACACAACCAGGACAATTTCCTGAAATTGATCAAAGAAAAACTCTTAACAACAAGTAAAATCATTCAAACTTTCCCAAAACACACTTCCCCTATTGGAAAGTTTGGTCAGGGATATAATGCCCTTTGAAACTTTGACCTTTGCTGTCATTAATTGGGGGTAGAATAATTTCACCACGTAAATTTGTTCCTGCGACTTCACATTCTCTGGTAAAACTTTGGCCTTTTCTGGTAAAACTGTTGGCAAATGTGGGACTACTTTGCCTTGTAAATTTGGCCTACCACTACATTTGCTGGCAGGACTTTGAGCAAGAACAATTTTTCCAGGTAAAACTTTGACCAAGGTCTATTTTCTTTGGCAACACTATAGTGAGTGAGTGAGTATGGTTTTACGCCGCTTTTAGCAATATTCCAGCCACATCACGGCTGGGCAACACTATAGCCTAGAGTATCCTAGACTAAACCATTATGATGACCTGCTATTGTTGCAGCTAATTCTGACCCAGGAATCCAATGGTCATTCAGAACCGACATTATAAGAAGTAAAAGTGATGCAACTATTGCTCATTATGCAAAATTTTAGAGAAATTAGATATGAACAAGAACTTTGTTAAAGTGAAAAATCTTGAATCTGTTGATTCCAGAAGTAGAACCAACTTGCCCCTCTGGGGTTAATTGATTCTACATCCGGAACCAAGCGCCTATGCTTGTCGTAAGAGGCGACTATGCTTGTCATAAGAGGCGACTATGCTTGTCGTAAGAGGCGGCTATGCTTGTCGTAAGAGGCGACTATGCTTGTCGTAAGAGGTGACTATGCTTGTCGTAAGAGGCGACTATGCTTGTCGTAAGAGGCGGCTATGCTTGTCGTAAGAGGCGGCTATGCTTGTCGTAAGAGGCGACTATGCTTGTCGTAAGAGGTGACTATGCTTGTCGTAAGAGGCGACTATGCTTGTCGTAAGAGGCGGCTATGCTTGTCGTAAGAGGCGGCTATGCTTGTCGTAAGAGGCAGCTATGCTTGTCGTAAGAGGCGACTATGCTTGTTGTAAGAGGCGACTATGCTTGTCGTAAGTGGCGACTATGCTTGTCGTAAGAGGCGACTATGCTTGTCGTAAGAGGCGACTATGTTTGTCGTAAGAGGCGACTATGCTTGTCGTAAGAGGCGACTATGCTTGTCGTAAGAGGCGACTACCAGGATCAGGTGGTCAGGCTCGCTGATTTAGTTGATGCCTTTCATTGTATCCCAATTTCGTGGATCGATGCTCATGATGTGAATCACTTGATGTTCTGGTCCAAACCCGATTATTTACATAATATAGCTGGAATATTGCTGAGTGCGGCATTAAACAAGAAACTTCTGGAATCAATGTTCTCATGATTTCTCCATTACCGAAAGCCTCCACCTGCATGGGCCTCTGTCTGGTCTGATGCAGCCATCTACAGCCAAGTGAGGCTGACACTTGGATGTGCAAGACGCCAGATTACAGATAGATCTGTGGTCCAGCGTGACACCTTCATTTGTTTCCTAACCTACAGTAATACACGGTTGCCCAGATAAATTGTTTCTTCAGCTGACCAAGTCCACTCAGACAAACAAAGACCATGATTGCAGCAGTTCCCCGCCAGGTCGGGCAGCCTGGTTGTGGCGTCCATGTCACTTCACAGACACATACATTCTACACACGTGGGTCAAGAATGTCTTCAAGGAGAACGTACCGAGTCAAAATTCCAAAGCTCCAGCAGTGTGCGTGGGGTGGGGTAGGGTTATTTTTTGGGTGAAATTAGGGGATGGGTGGTTGTATGGATTTGTGCTTGGGAGATTCTCTTAAAGTCATCAGGGTCCTTAAAAAGTTAAAAAAAACTCTCAATTGCCTAAGGAAAAGTTTTTAAATGCATTGGAGTGCCCGTATTATGACAAAATAATGTTTAATTCACTTTTCCCTATTTTAACTGTTATAATGATGTCACACTATTTTTGTTGCCGTTTATTCTGAGCCAGGAATTCACTGGCCATTCTAAACGTGCATTTTAACAAATACATCTGACGCAACTCTAGATTCTCTAGGAAAAATTATAGAGAAAATATATATCAACCACACACGGTTTAAGTCAGAGAAATTACTCGAATCTGTTAATTGTGGAACAGAATCATCAAGACCCAAACCAAAAAGGCTTATTGATTCTACCTCAAGAATCAACAGATTCAAGTGATTCTCCATCACATATTTCACTGTGTACGTCTGTGTGGGATTCTCAATGTCAATGTATATGAAAATAATAAGTGAGTGAGTGAGTTGGGTTTAACGCTGCTTTTATACAGTTATATCATGGCATGTCTGCTTAATGTGGGAGGAAAGCCCGAAGTGATGCAGGTCTGAGACGTTTACCACTTTGATGAAACCCACTAGCACGGGTATAGTGCTGACAAACCTAGAAACATAATCAGGGCGAACCGGGATTCAAACCCACAATCATAGGTTTCTGGCATGCCGAAGGGACGCAACCCTGCACAGCGAACTCTGCACAGCGAATCGCGGCGCCTTAGACGACTGGGCCACCCGTGCTCTCAAAAATGAAAATAGGTAACCAAACATATTGCAAATTCCGGAACAGATTTTTTTTGAAGTCATAGTAAAAACATCTACTCGAAAAGAAGAAGAGTTTGTTCCCAACAGCCTGGCACAGTCATCCATCTACCAACAGCCTGGCACGGTCATCCATCTACCAACAGCCTGGCACGGTCATCCATCTACCAACAGCCTGGCACAGTCATCCATCTACCAACAGCCTGGCACAGTCATCCATCTACCAACAGCCTGACACAGTCATCCATCTACCAACAGCCTGGCACAGTCATCCATCTACCAACAGCCTGGCACAGTCATCCATCTACCAATCTGGGTAAATGAGACAACAGTTTATCTGCATGTAGAGAAGACAATGATCATGTCCGGACGAAGTTGCCGTGTAACGATGCAAGTACTGAGGCCAAACAGTTCACTCAACTGCTTTACTACCATCAAGTCTAGCACTAAAGGTCAACTCTAACATAAAAACTTACATAAAATGTCTGTTTATACATCCAAATCAGAGAGAGTCTAAACAGACAATTACAACATCGATTGGCCCTAATTTGGTCGCCAGGAAATGAAGCATTCTGGGGGAAATGGAAGCTGTCTTTACTTGCCATCTTTGGCACAATACCTGGCTACACATGAACTCATGAGTTGATTCGTAGGACACTGTGTAGTTAGTTACATTGGGCAAACCGGTATTGACATTATGTGTCTGTTTGGCATAAAGGAAACGGTTATATTTGTACAGTCATGAAAGAATAATTAATTGTATTGATATCTCTTGTGAGTGCTGTACCAAATACATGTGACATTTGTGACGAAATGGACGAAGTTTTGATAATGAGGTGGACACATTGTTCATCATCTGAATGGTTCATGTGATTCATGATTCATGTTGGTTCATTTTTAACTTGTAATTTTATAATTCTATGAATTCTTCAATTTGGTGTACCTGGCAGGGATCTATATTGTGATCGATAACTTTCTTATGGACTACTTTTTTGGTATCCTTGATAGGGCTATGGGACAGTCATATCAGACAAATGATGAATATTCTTATGATCTACTTTCTTGGTATGGAGCTATGGGACAATCATATCAGACAAATGATGAATATTCTTATGATCTACCTTCTTGGTATGGAGCTATGGGACAATCATATCAGGTTATTGGTGAACATTCTTATGATCTTCTTTCTTGGTATGGAGCTATGGGACAATCATATCAGGTTATTGGTGAATATTCTTATGATCTTCTTTCTTGGTATGAAGCTATGGGACAATCATATCTGATTATTGGTGAGTATTCTGATGATCTACTTTCTTGGTATGGAGCTATGGGACAATCATATCAGGTTATTGGTGAATATTCTGATGATCTACTTTCTTGGTATGGAGCTATGGGACAATCATATCAGATTATTGGTGAATATTCTTATGATCTACTTTCTTGGTATGAAGCTATGGGACAATCATATCAGACAATTGATGAATATTCTTATGATCTACCTTCTTGGTATGGAGCTATGGGACAATCATATCAGACAATTGATGAATATCCTTATTATCTACTTCCTTGGTATGGAGCTATGGGACAATCATATCAGGTTATTGGTGAATATTCTGATGATCTACTTTCTTGGTATGGAGCTATGGGACAATCATATCAGATTATTGGTGAATATTCTTATGATCTACTTTCTTGGTATGAAGCTATGGGACAATCATATCAGACAATTGATGAATATTCTTATGATCTACCTTCTTGGTATGGAGCTATGGGACAATCATATCAGACAATTGATGAATATTCTTATGATCTACTTTCTTGGTATGGATCTATGGGACAATCATATCAGGTTATTGGTGAATATTCTTATGATCTACTTTCTTGGTATGAAGCTATGGGACAATCATATTAAGTTATTGGTGAATATTCTTATGATCTACTTTCTTGGTTTGGAGCTATGGGACAATCATATCAGGTTATTGGTGAATATTCTTATGATCTACCTTCTTGGTATGGAGCTATGGGACAATCATATCAGGTTATTGGTGAATATTCTTATGATCTACTTTCTTGGTATGGAGCTATGGGACAATCATATCAGGTTATTGGTGAATATTCTTATGATCTACCTTCTTGGTATGAAGCTATGGGACAATCATATCAGGTTATTGGTGAATATTCTTATGATCTACTTTCTTGGTATGAAGCTATGGGACAATCATATCAGGTTATTGGTGAATATTCTTATGATCTACTTTCTTGGTATGAAGCTATGGGACAATCATATCAGGTTATTGGTGAATATTCTGATGATCTACTTTCTTGGTATGGAGCTATGGGACAATCATATCAGGTTATTGGTGAATATTCTGATGATCTACTTTCTTGGTATGGAGCTATGGGACAATCATATCAGGTTATTGGTGAATATTCTGATGATCTACTTTCTTGATATAGAGCTATTGGACAATCATATCAGGTTATTGGTGAATATTCTTATGATCTACTTTCTTGGTATGAAGCTATGGGACAATCATATCAGGTTATGGGTGAATATTCTTATGATCTACCTTCTTGGTATGGAGCTATGGGACAATCATATCAGACAATTGATGAATGTTCTTATGATCTACTTCTTTGGTATCTTTGATGGTGCTATGGGACAATCATATTAAGTTATCGATGAATATTCTTATTGTCTACTTTTGGGGTATCCTTGATGGTGCTATGGGACAATCATATTAGGTTATCGATGAATATTCTTATTGTCTACTTTTTTGGTATCCTTGATAGTGCTATGGGACAATCATATTAGGTTATCGATGAATATTCTTATTGTCTACTTTTTTGGTATCCTTGATAGTGCTATGGGACAATCATATTAGGTTATCGATGAATATTCTTATTGTCTGCTTTTTTGGTATCCTTGATAGTGCTATGGGACAATCATATTAGGTTATCGATGAATATTCTTATTGTCTGCTTTTTGGGTATCCTTGATGGTGCTATGGGACAATCATATCAGACAATTGTTCAATATTCTTATGATCTACTTCTTTGGTATCCTTGATGGTGCTATGGGACAATCATATTAGGTTGTTGATGAATATTCTTATTGTCTACTTTTTTGGTATCCTTGATGCTGCTATGGGACAATAATATTAGGTTATCAATGAATATTCTGACTGTCACTTTTTTGTATCCTTGGTAGAGCTATGGGACAATCATATCAGACAATTGATCAATATTCTTAGACACAACTCCTTACTTCACAGCCATGTTGACTCATGTTGACAACACAGTGGCTTGTATCAGGGAATAGATAAAAATAATATGTACAAATCTTTGTTTTAATGTGAACATACCATCCAGAAGAGTGTTTCGTTGGCGAAGGCTGTGTACTGCTCTATGGTAGATAAGACACTGAAGATGAGGCAGATGAGCACCATCATGAAGCTGCAACACAAAACACAACTTTCAGTATTGGGACTCACACGCTGGAGAGATGGGTATTGCAGGTACACAGAGGTAAGTATAGGGCCAGGCAGGTATACAGAGGTAAGTATAGGGCCAGACAGGTAGACACAGGTCAGAATAGGGCCAGACAGGTACACACAGGTAAGTATAGGGCCACACAGGTAGACACAGGTCAGTATAGGGCCAGACAGGTACACACAGGTCAGTATAGGGCCAGACAGGTACACACAGGTCAGTATAGTATCAGACAGGTACACACAGGTCAGTATAGGGCCAGACAGGTACACACAGGTCAGTATAGGGCCACACAGGTAGACACAGGTCAGTATAGGGCCAGACAGGTACACACAGGTCAGTATAGGGCCAGACAGGTACACACAGGTCAGTATAGGATCAGACAGGTACACACAGGTCAGTATAGGGCCAGACAGGTACACACAGGTCAGTATTGGGCCAGACAGGTACACACAGGTCAGTATAGGATCAGACAGGTACACACAGGTCAGTATAGGGCCACACAGTTACACACAGGTCAGTATAGGGCCAGACAGGTACACACATCAGTATTGGGCCAGACAGGTACGCACAGGTCAGTATAGGGCCACACAGGTACACACAGGTCAGTATAGGGCCACACAGTTACACACAGGTCAGTATAGGGCCACACAGTTACACACAGGTCAGTATAGGGCCAGACAGGTACACACAGTTCAGTATAGGATCAGACAGGTACACACAGGTCAGTATAGGATCAGACAGGTACACACAGGTCAGTATAGGGCCACACAGTTACACACAGGTCAGTATAGGGCCACACAGTTACACACAGGTCAGTATAGGGCCACACAGTTACACACAGGTCAGTATAGGGCCACACAGGTACACACAGGTCAGTATAGGGCCAGGCAGGTACACACAGGTCAGTATAGGGCCAGACTGGTACACACATCAGTATAGGGCCAGACAGGTACACACAGGTAAGTATAGGGCCAGACTGGTACACACAGGTCAGTATAGGGCCAGGCAGGTACACACAGGTAAGTATAGGGCCAGACAGGTAGACACAGGTCAGTATAGGGCCACACAGGTAGACACAGGTAAGTATAGGGCCAGACAGGTACACACAGGTAAGTATAGGGCCAGACAGGTAGACACAGGTCAGTATAGGGCCACACAGGTACGCACAGGTCAGTATAGGGCCAGGCAGGTACACACAGGTCAGTATAGGGCCAGACAGGTACGCACAAGTCAGTATAGGGCCAGACAGGTACGCACAGGTCAGTATAGGATCAGGCAGGTACACACAGGTGAGTATAGGGCCAGACAGGTACGCACAGGTCAGTATAGGGCCAGACTGGTACACACATCAGTATTGGGCCAGACAGGTACACACAGGTCAGTATAGGGCCAGACAGGTACACACATCAGTATAGGGCCACACAGGTACACACAGGTCATTTTAGGGCCACACAGGTACACACAGGTCAGTATAGGGCCACACAGGTACACACAGGTCAGTATAGGGCTGCACAGGTAGACACAGGTCACATGGGTCAGAATAGAAACTTGCTGCAAATCTGCTTGATGCTAATACATCAATAAAAGTCATATGGATACTCATTGTGAACTTGTTTGCACTAAATGTCATTTAATGGCACGATATTCAATTCAAAGTCACCCCACAAGTGCAGCTTCTACCCTAAGTGATGGAAAACCGCACATGAACTGAAGTCATGAATAGACACACATTGCTAATGTGTGTAACAATAATGCAGGCTATTAAGTAAAACACAAGTCAGTATGGATGTTAACTACCTAGCAGCAGCAGTCTCACCCAACCACATCCAAGCTGCCAGAGTTGCTGTTTCAGCACTAATGGACCTTAAATGGAACAGTGTGTTGATAAAGTTAGTGGACCAAATGGACCTGCCAATACTTGACCATGCTCTGCTTTGTACTTCTGGGACTGCCCCGGGGTCTAGTGCATAGTGGCACTATCATTTTGGTAAATCTAGTTTATAACGGTGTTGCACGAGACATTGTCTATTGTTCAGGACACAGTCACAATGAGAATGTGGAGACTCATCAGATGTCTGACAATTGCAGGGCTCGGATGTCTTCTTCAACATTTTGAATTCAAGACTAGATGTTGAAGATGTGTGTATGATGAATGTTGCTTGTTGGGACCTAGCTTTATCTAATATACTTCAACCAGAGTGAGTGCAAAACTAAATGTCTAATGTACAAGGAGTGATTTCACTACCCACAATAGTGACTGTGTGAGTTCAGATTTATAGTCACATCAGCAGTGGTCCAGCCTTATCACTACCTACAATAGACTCCTTGGAGCATTAAGGTGACTCATAAAAGATTCATCATCAGCTGACAGCAATGTTTCAAGGCCAAAAGGTTACTCTAGAATCAGTATGTACATTAACACAAAAAAGAGCAAATTCTTCACACCATTCCAACACTTTCGAATGTCCTTATGCACTCAAATACAGGATCAATATTTAAAAACATATTTACATAACTCTCTACATCACAGTTTGCACCAGAAACACATTATTTAAAAAATATTTATTATTGCTGTTTCAATAAAACTGATGTTAGTACAATCTCTGTTTCATTCATAACTAGAAGATAAAACATATTATGACAAAATAAAGTAGCTTTTAGAGTGTGTGCCTAAAACCTCCAGTGCTGCAATCCAGAAGTCTGGCGGCCAATGCCTCCTAACATTGGTATGGGTCTCCCAGGAACTCATTTCTCATAACACATACACCTATCAACTCATTCAATACTAAAACTTTGATGATGAGAATCGAACCATGGACCTATCATCTGAGGTTGGTTGCCATGGACCTGTTATCTGAGGTCGGTCATCATGGACCTGTCCTCTGAGGTTGGTCACCATGGACCTGTCATCTGAGGTTGGTCACCATGGACCTGTCCTCTAAGGTCGGTCACCATGGACCTGTCCTCTGAGGTCGGTCGCCATGGACCTATCATCTGAGGTTGGTTGCCATGGACCTGTCCTCTGAGGTCGGTCGCTATGGACCTATCATCTGAGGTTGGTCGCCATGGACCTATCATCCGAGGTCGGTCACCATGGACCTATCATCTGAGGTCGGTCACCATGGAACTATCATCTGAGGTCGGTTGCCATGGACCTGTCCTCTGAGGTCGGTCGCCATGGACCTATCATCTGAGGTCATTCACCATGGACCTGTCTTCTGAGGTCGTTCGCCACGGACCTATCATCTGAGGTTGGTCGCCATGGACCTATCATCTGAGGTCGGTCACCATGGACCCTTTCTTATGAGGTTGGTCGCCATGGACCTATCATCTGAGGTCGGTCACCATGGAACTATCATCTGAGGTCAGTTGCCACGGACCTATCATCTGAGGTCGGTCACCATGGAACTATCATCTGAGGTCGGTCGCCATGGACCTATCATCTGAGGTCGGTCGCCATGGACCTTTCATCTGAGGTCGGTCGCCATGGACCTATCATCTGAGGTCGGTCGCCATGGACCTTTCATCTGAGGTCGGTCGCCATGGACCTTTCATCTGAGGTCGGTCGCCATGGACCTATCATCTGAGGTCGGTCGCCACGGACCTATCATCTGAGATCGGTTGCCATGGACCTATCATCTGAGGTTGGTCACCACGTCCAAATGACCGCAGAGGTTAACTCTGTCAGCAAGTGATACGGTAAGTATGCTTGTTCATCCATTCCTTATAGAGGCATGGTTGGCCCAGTCATCTATGCAGAGTTGCACCAGGAACCTACAATCGTGGGTTGCATCCGGGTTCGCCCCAATTATGTTTCTAGGTTTGTCAGCACCATACCCGTGCTCGTGGGTTTCACCAAAGTAGTAAATGTCCTGAGACCTGCATCACTTGGGGCTTTCCTCCCACATCAAGCTGACATGCCTGGATATAACTGGAGTACTGTTAAAATCAGAGTTAAACCCAACTCACTCACTCCATTCCTTATACATCTCTTTATCCTGTCATTGAATGAATGTCATCATATTACATTGAGTTATTCCAAAATCAACAGAATAAAAAAAAAAGAAGGAAAATGGAGAGTTCCCCATTGAATCACAGCACGTGACACCACTCCCAACCACATACACAGCAATCCCAGAAAATGCAAATCTAAAGCAAATAAACTAACATAATCTTGTCCAACATACTTCAAAAGTAACACATCAATGTGATATTTTGATGTCTTAATTCGTCAATATGAAACAAACATGAAAAGGGAAGTTTCCTTTGGAGGTAGTGTGACCATGAATGAAACATTTCCACAATAATCAACTAATAGTTCTGCTGATCTTCTCCCCATTCCAGATCACAGAATGTCTTGTCCTTCTGTCCACACCATGGGCTCCACACAGGGTTTCATTATTGGAGCCCCAGGAAGAACGTGTTTGACGGAGGGTGGGAGTCCTCGACCCTGGTCACCTAGCGACAGGATAGAAGGAAACTGCTAGCCGGAACTCTTTCAGGGAAATTACAGTTACTAGCCATACTGTAAAGTGACCACAGATGAGCCCCGGCCTACCTCAGCATCACGCCTCGCAGGCCTGGCCAAGGAGGAACAACTGGCGAAAGACATGCACACAACTTGATGGGATGTGTGCTGTATCATTAAGATAGTGCTGAGCTTTGCTTGGACAATAAGATCAGGATGTAACATATTAATGTGATTGCTGAGTAATGTGAAGGATGTCTTTGGCTACTGCATTTTCTCAACTCTTGGGTTAGATTTCACATTGCACCCATCTTATCTTCTGATTATCAAATAAATGAATACCTGGATGTTATTTGACAAAACGTAAGCAATACAACCATATGACAGAAGTCCGTAAAGAGTTAAGTCTTGGACAGGCAAACCAGTGGTTGATAGTGAGAGCATGACTCCACAGCATCAGGGTATGGTGACAATGTACTGTGCTGTAGACCAC